CCGGGAGCAGAGACTGGCCGGAGCGAAATGTTCTCTACTTCACGGTGTGGTTGACGGCGGATGGTTGTCACCGTCTGCACCGCGACGTGTCAGGGCAGCCCGCGGCCTGCGCTCCTCCCCGCAGGGTGCGGGGCTGCCCCCCTGGCCGCCCCCCAGTGCCCCAGGACTCAGTTCAGAAAAGGGAGAAAACGGCAAAGGGCGAGGGAAACTGCAGGGGCCCTGTTTGCAGAGGCACCCTTGGGTGACTCACAGCCCTCCGCACCGTGCCCCTCGGGGAACCACTTCTGGGTCTTTCTGGGGCCGCTGCCCAACGCTGTCCCCGCGTCTCCCTGTCCCCAGGTGCAAGCCCCCGACGGGGGCCCTGGCAGGCGGTTTCTTCCCCCCCCACCCCCGCAAGCATTTCCCCGGGCTGCTCCTGAAAACTCCCCTCCCCCTCCCAAGTCTCCCAGGACTCCCCTCTACGGCCCTCGTTAACAGAACCCCATCGCCAGCACACACGCATGTGCGTGCGCTCACACGCACACACACACACACACACACAGCACGGAAGCACCTGGTGGGCCGCCAGGCAGGGCAGCAGAGCCGACGGCACTGAGCACAGGCGGGGCCAGGAGGGGAGACTCGAGGGGGGGCGCTACCAGCGCCCGGGAAGGGCCGGTGGTCCGGGAGCCAGCCCGAACGTGGGGTGGGGCGGGGAGACGGGAGGTCTGCGGGGTCCTCACCTGCCCCCCGCCCCGAGGCCCAGGGCCGCGAGGGGCCTGGGGGAAGGTCCTGATCAGAAAGGCCCCCGCGCCCACGGGAGTCCCCGTGGAGACTTCTGGGGTTCACTGCAGGAGGCTGGCAGCGTCCGGGGGCGCTGCTGGGGGGCGGCCCCCCTCGGCTCTGTGCCCCGGTCCGTGCTGCGCCCTGAACGCCAGCGCCCCTCCCCAGGGGGACACGGTGAGACCCCCACGGCCAGCCACGCAGCGTCCTCCCCGCTGACCCTCTGCGGCCGTCAGGAAACACTGGCTCCCGGGAGCCCCCGCGGGTCTGGGGGGGCCGCGGCCGCCTGGCAGCGCCACAGCAGGGACAGGGCACCACTGCTGAGGACGCCGGCCTCACGGGCCGCAGCCTGTCCTGCGGGGTCCTTCCCTCCCACGGCCACGGCCACGGCCCCGCCCACCACCCCCTCACACTGACGGCTCGGGTCCCACTCTGCCCTAACCAGCTCCCCGCCCCAGCCCAGGCCCCCGCAGCTGTCCTCTGGGGGGGCCCCGGGCGGCTGGGAGGCGTGCTCCCCCGGCCTCGGCCGTGTGAGGAAGGGTTAGGGCTAGGGTTGTCAGGGGCAGAAGCCACGGCCACGGGCCCGAGTCAGGGAGGCCACGGGCCCGAGTCAGTGTGGCCCACGGGGAGGCCGCCGCCCACGCACCTGCGGCCGAGCCGGAGCAGGGGCCCCGAGGAGCTGTGTGCACCGCGGCCACTCAGCAGAACGTCTTTCTGAGCAGCAAACCTGCTCCGAACCTTTTCTTCAACCCGTCCAGGCGGCCGGTGCCCCCTTTGTCTTGTGGCTGAGCACGGGGAGGAATTGAGATGTCCCTGCGCTGCGATCTGCATCTGATTGGAGACTCATCTTGCTCTTGGGTTGCTCTTGCTTCATTTCTCTGGGTTAGTCTGCCTTCCCGAGTTGTAAGGCTTGCGAACACGGCACCGACAACACACAACAGGCTAAAAAAATGATCCTCTTCGGCTGAGTCGCCAGTGACTCCGACTCCCCAAACTGCCCGATCGGGACATCGTGGGGACGACCCCACAAGGGTTGCCCTCGCCCTCGGTGACCACGCGGAGGTGAATGCTGGGCCTGCCTCCGGCCATGGCCACCGCGGAGCCGCAGCCCACGTGAGAACCCCCCCCCCCACCCCGCACTGTGACGGTTAAGAACTGGGCGGGCTCTCGGCTGCAGAGGCCCCACACCAGGTCCCCCGCCCGGAGCACCAGGGCCGGGAAGAGGCGCCCCCACAGCAGCTGGCTGTGACACTCGGGGGGGACTCCCCCCGAGTGAGATGGAGGGAGGGCTGCCGGGGGCCCAGGAGTCTTTGCAGGGGCCCAGGCACGGACGCGGCCACAGACACTCAACCCAAACTCAGCGAGGGGACACGTAGGGTGGGGCCGGAGGTGCCAGTGGTCCTCTGCCGACCCCTCCCCCCCACCTGGCAGGTGCAGGTGCAGCCCGAGTCTCCCCGGACCTGCTCACCCTGCTCTCTCGCCCCCCCCCGCCCCGGGGGTCCTCTGAGACCCGCTCCGTCCAGCTCACAAGCTCTGCCGGACCTCCTTCCGAGGCAAACCCCCACCAGCGGCCAGCCGGGCCGTGCGTGCACCTGTCCTGAGACGTCTCCGAGGCCCGCAAACCCCGGACGAGCAGCCGCTGGCCCCGGTGCGTCCGCACCCCCTGCTCGGTGGCCCTAGCACGCTTGGCCACCAGCCGAGGGTCACAGCACCACCACTCCCAGGCGCCTCCTCGCCCAGCACAGGCAGCTGCGGGCCGGAGATCACTCTGCACCTCCCGCCAGAGGGCCCCAGGCCAGACACAGGCAGCAGCTGACCTGGGGCTGCAGCAGAGCCCCCTCCCCAGAGGCCTAAGACCCAACACGCCAGGCGGCGGCCTCAAACCCCACCAGAGTCCCACCTGGTCAGCTCCAAAACGAGGCACCTGGGCCCCGTTAAAGCAGGTCAGCGGGGTTGGCACCTGCCAAACCGCCAGTCCGCTGGAGTCGTGACCACTCCTCCCAGCCGGTCAGCCCGTGGGTCAGGCCCACCCACTGACCTGCCAGCAGCAGCCAAGGCCCAACTACAACAGGAGAGGACACACAACCCACCCACGGGACACTCCTGGGGCGCCCGGCTCAGGCAACCGGGAGCCTGCACCGCGGGGCCCCCGCCAGGCCAGGGGACGTAGCAGCTGCACCCAACACAGAAACGAGCACAGGGAGGCAGCCGGAATGGGTGGCCAAGAGGCAGGCCCCGGATGAAAGAAAAGGACAAAACTCCAGACAAAGAATCAAATGAAGTTCAAAACGCTGGTTCTGAGGACGCTCGGTGACCCTGGGGAGGAGCGGGTGAGCTCTGTCGGAGCGCCAACAGGGACCACAGGGTCAGGAAGGACAGGAGGGCGAAGGGAGAGGACCGGTCAGAGGGAAGACGGCCGTCTGTGATGTGGAGAACCCACCGGGAGGAAAGGCCGGCCGCTCGGGGGAGGCCGAGGACCGAATCCTCGATGGGGAAAAAAAGGCAAGGTGGCAGGGAACACCCACTCGGGGCGGCAGAAGGAAAAAAAAATCAGAGAGGTGAGTGCCGTGTGGGGACCTCGGGGACCTCGGGGACAGCGCCAGCGCAACAGCGTTCTCCGCACGGGAGCCGCCGGAGGCGGAGAGGGCGGGCGGGGGACGAGAACCCAGGTGACGAGGTAACGGCTGAAAACGCCCCTCCCCCGGCGGGGGGAGCGCCCACGAATCCAGGCCGCACGGAGCGCCCCACAGGCTGGGCCCGAGGAGCCCCTCCGGACAGGGAATCAAGGGCCAAGGGAAAGGACGGGGGAGACCCCGACTCCGAGAAGCGGTGGAGACAGGCAGCTTCGGGTTGGCCAGAGAGCTCACCGTCTTCCCTTCCACGCGGTCACCCAGCAGCGCTGAGCGGCCTGTGCCCCCGCTGGAAACCGCCCTGTCGGAGCCTGTCCTGACGGCTGTCCTCTCAGCGCGCATTTAAACAAACTCACCAAAACCGGTGGGTTTCTGTGCAGCCACTTTGACACTGAGGACGGGGGAAACACGCAGCCTTCTCAGCATGTCATGCGCATCACATCACGGAAGTTAAAGACACGGCCGAAACGCCAGGGCTGGCCCGGCCCACGGACCCGGTGCCGGGACCGCTCGGACGCGGCACAGACCGTTTGCGGAGTTCCGTGCCGGAGACGCCTGGCGGGACAGCACTCCCCGGTCGGGCAGGCCAGCGGAAGTGGACAGCGACCCACTGGGACATTAATTGGGAACAATCAACATTATAGCACACAGGGGAGAGAGCCAACCTACGCCAAATATCCAAACAATAAAGCTATTGGTGAAAATGAAAAATGTGTCTTTTATTTTGCGGAAAAACCACACAAACATCTTGCCCGGCCTGCAAGGGAGCTCCCGTAGAACTGTCGGCCGAGTTCTCAACAGACACAGAAGCGGAAGGAAACGAAGAGAGGAGGTCACTCTCCAGCTGGACACGGAGCCAGGCCCGCCGATGCCCAGCTGGCGGGGGGGGCGCCCAGACAGGCTGCCCTGCTGCCCCACCCGGGCGCGCGCCCCGACACAGCCCAGTGCCCTCGAACCCAGGTGCCAACGCGGTTTCCCTGCGACCCCTCTCGGCGGGACACGCCCCTACGACACGGTAAGGGAGGAAGTGGGGCCCGTGTCCCATCACCAGCGCGACACCCCACAGGTGTGTCTGAAGCCGTGACCCCGGTCCCCGTGACCAGAACGGGGAAGCCAACCTGCCACGTGATCTGGTGACAGCGGAAACTCGGTGACGTGCAGAGCTGCACCCACGGACGCGCCTGTCCGGGAAGACGGGATCCCCACCCCCGCCGCCGCCGCCTGAGAGAGACGCTAGCGGGACTCCCAGGCGTGCTGCTCTCCACCCGGCGACTCCCGCTGCGCTGAGACGTGCCCTGAGCTCAGGGGACCCCGTTTCCCCCTAAAACACGTCGAAGAGACGGGGTGCGCTCGCTGACACGGTGGTGGGATGTCGCCTTTGCCGCGACAAGCGTGGCAAATCGTGAAGGAAAAATGCCCCGGGGTCCTCAGCAGCTCGAAGCCCCTCGCGGCGGGGAAGGCTGGCCCCCCGAAGCTCCGAGCAGGGCCCTCCCGGTGAGGGGCCGCCAGCAGATGCCCCCCAGCAGCTCCGACCCAGGGGGCCCGGGGGTGCTCCGCCCCAACCAGCCCCCGGTGCTGCTGATGCAGCAGAAAACTGGGCACTTGACATAATTTTTAGAAGGTAATTTTATTAACACAAATTAAGGAACAGAAAATACATTCACATCATATTTCTTTTATACTCCCCTAAAACTATACTCTGTGAAATTCTGGTAAAAGTTGTATAAATGCTAGAATGCCAAGTACAATTTATTTTATTTTGCTACAGTGTTGACTAAAAAGGTCTCTAGTCCCTACTTCTTTTAAAAAGCATCTTTTAGAAGAAAAAAATGGCAACTTTATTTTTCACGTCCTATCACACAATGCCACCCAGTGTGAGGAGCGGTTTGCATCCAACTCACTCAGCTTGTGTCGCAACACTGGCGAGCACCTGTAGCACAGAGACGACGGGGTGACGGGAAGTCTGGGGTGCCACCTCCCCCAGAGCGTGGGGGGTGTGCGACCCCGGGGGCCTCGAGTTCCTCGAAAGGAAGCGCAAACACTGGAGACCGGTGATGCCCAGCTCCAAGCCGTGGGGGTCTGGGCTCGGACCCCGCCCAGGCCCGGTCGCAGGGAGGCCGGCCCCCACCCCGGGGCTCCTCGGCCGAGAGCCGCAGGACCCCCACGGAGGAGGACCCCCCGGCGTCCGCGGGAGAGAACGACCGCCCGACCGCTGGCTGTGAGCTCGCGGGGCGCCAGAGCGGGAGAGGAAGCAGAGAGAGCGGTCCGAGCGCGGGGGGCGCTGCCATCCGCTCCGCGCCGGCTTCTCCACGAGGGCCTGGACAAAGACCGGCAGTCCCCCCGGCGCCCGTCCCGGGACTCACACCGGCAGGGGGTGGGGCTGGCCGCCGTCGGCGCAGAGGTCGGGAGCGGCTGCTGGGGCCGGCTGCTGCTCCGCGGCAAAGTTGATAAACACCTGAAGGGCGGGAGGGTGACCGCTGACCGTCCGTCCGCCCTCCAGCGCCGTGAGAAGGGACACCCTCCCAAAGCACTGCCCAGCTTTCCTCCAAAACCGCGGGTCGGCCCCTCGCACCCGCCCCCCGACTCCCCGCACTCCCCGCACCACCTTTAACGGGCGAACCCTGAAACTGGACCCCAGGAACGGCAGGTATGTCCGGAGAAACCGGACCCCAGGAACGGCAGGTATGTCCGGAGAAACCGGACCCCAGGAACGGCAGGTATGTCCGGAGAAACCAGACCCCAGGAACGGCAGGTATGTCCGGACAACAGTAAATCGCCCGGAAACCTGCTGCCCCAGGCCGCCCTGGGGACGAAGCTGTGATTTAACTGTGCATGCGGACTCTCCTGGGGAACCAAGCCCCTTCTTCCAAGGTGCCCCTCGGTCCCTGGGGGTGGGACAGGGGCGGCGCGGGTCACCCACAGGACGGCCAGTGTTGGGAGCCGCCCTGCCTCGTTTCAGGAGCTGTAACCCCCCAAGGCTAAGGCTCAGTGAGTGACCTTCAGACCATAAGCCACTAAGGAGACAAAGCTTGTCTCCCTGGCAGGAGCACCGCCTCTGCCCCTTTTACTTCACCCTGCCTGGCCCCCAGTGCTTGGTCGGTTAGCCAATGACGGGTAACATTCCCTCGGGGGGGAACGACCTAAGACAGGCACGGTCACGTAGGAGGCCCCCAGGGAAGGACTTTGGGGGACTATAGCAAAAGGGGGTGGTGAACCCTTGCCCCTCGGATTTGACAAAGCCTAAGTCCTCACTGTCTGCGAGAAATCCCCTAATCCCCTGGTTGCCTTACTTCCCGTGTCTGACTTAAGCCTGAAACAACGACAGAGGGCGGTGCAGCCCTGTGCTGGAAAGGGCGGGATCCCTGGGTGATCAGGGAAAGAATATGTAAGATCCTGTGAAACCTGCTTTGCTAAGAATACCCTCAATTTAAATGATAAGGGTCCAAGCAGGAAATGAGTTTGTTTCCCAAAGTTTCGTAGCTCTTTAGCTATCTGACCCTGACTCAGAATAAGCCCTCCTAGTTCTTTGTATGCTATCCATTGTTTGACCCTCACTGCCTGACAATGGCTGACGAGCTTCACCTGCGCTCCTGTGCAAACTGAACCCCACGAAACCCCACTGAGGAACAGGCTCCTGGCCCTTCTCCTTGGAGAGACAGGCCACCTTTCCTCCCCCAGCAGATCACGTCTTGGTGGACTTATTCTCATCCGGCCCTGCAGACGGAGCCCCCCCACAGGCCAGTGTCATGGTGGACGAGTGGAAGCAGGCCCCACAGGCACCCTGGGCGGAGAGCACCCGATCAGCGGACCACCGACACCCACCCTCCCCCTCCTCCTCGGCTTCTGTGAACCCGACAGCAACTCACTCCGGGAGACGGGACCTCCACTCCGCGGCCCCGACCCGCCCGGGCGCCCGCCAGGCCCTACCTGCTCCAGCGTGGCCTGGCTGATGGCGTAGCGCTCAATGCGCAGCGCGGCCCTGCTGCTCTCCAGCACCCGGAACAGGGCGGCCAGGCCGGCCCGCGCCCGCGGCACGTGGTACTCCAGCAGGTTCAGGCGCCGGCCCTGGAAGCCCCACGGGCAGGGTCTCGTGACACGCTGTCACTGAAGGAGCTCGTCCCGCTGGGTGTCACCGCCCCACGCCAGTTCCGCAAGTCTCCAGTGCAGCCGGGAGCGACACCGCCCCACGAGGGCGCCCTGCACGGTGGTCAGTCACCCCGCAGGGTGCACGGCCGGCCGTCCAGCGGCTCGGTCCCCACTGTCCTCACTGTCACACCTCCCAGGACATGACTGTTCCCAGTGCCCCTCTCAGATGTGCCAGGGGCGGGGGGAGCAACAGGGGCTGTTCCGTGGGGTCCCCGAGGGGCGCTCCACGGGAGCCTGTGAGCCCCGCACGGCCTGCCTGCCCTGGTCACCATGGAAACAGGGAGGCCGCCACTGCCGTGGGACGCCACCCCACCCCCCGCAGTGAGGACCAGCCCGCACTCGGGCCCCAGGGCACCGGAGGTGGGGCCCTCACAGGCTAACCCGCAGGGCGAGGTTTGGATTCCGAGGGCCGGCACCCGAGAACCCGCGGGTCTAAGCCGGTGGCTCGGGGGCACTGCACCCGCCTGGAGGAGGGGGTGCACCCGCCTGGAGGAGGGGGTGCACCCACCTGGAGGAGGGGGTGTGGCTGCCAGCGCAGCTGCTGCTTGTGAGATGACGCTGGCGTCACCAGGCCTGAGACCCCCACACTCCCGGGGGCGTGGCCCGTCCTGAAGGCCAGGCCTCGCAGTGCAGCTGGGCCCGCAGGTGCGGAGGGTGTGACGCCCGGGACCAGCAGGGCACCGTCCCCAGTGGTCAGCCTGGAGCGCTGTGCCTGCAGGGCCCTGCCCCTCCATTGCCCCGAGGCCCCGACCACGAGCAGGCCCTCCCACCAGCACGGGGCTGACCACGAGCGTCTGTGAACACCTTCCACCGAACCCGGACGCACGCAGGACCCCCCCACTCGGGACCCCCACGCGGGACCCCCCACGCGGGCCCCCGCCCTACCTTGAACTGGGCTCCCGGGAAGTGCCGCTGCAGGCAGGCGGAGACGGCGGCGTGCGGGCCGCCTTCCTCGCAGACCCACACCCTGACGGTGTACCCGTCCCCGAACCTGAGGGCGGGTCGGCCTTAGAGCCCAGCTGCTCTCGGGGGACCCGAGTCCGTTTCCCAGGGACGCCCCACACCCCCTGCTCCCCACAAGGCTGCAGGCACAGCACCCGCCCCGCACCGCCGCCTGAGCGGGGAGAGAGGCACGCACCTGTGTCTGAGGTGCTGGGGGGACCCGAGGCACCGGAAGCGGCCGTCGACCATGATGGCGAGCCTGGTGCACAGGGCCTCGCACTCCTCCATGCTGCGGGGGGGGGGGGCCGGGGGGCACAGGGGTGAGCGCGCAGCCCGGCTCGGCCCCACGCCTCGCGAGTAACGACGGCGCAGCGCCAGGGCCGCACGCCAGCCGGGCGTCTGTGCGGACACGGCGCCCCAGCCACAGGGACACCGTCCAGGGCAGGCGGCACGCGGGCGGCCAAGGACACGGCCAAGGACACGGCCAAGGACGCAGCTGCCCCGGCGTTTCCGCACGCCCAGGGTGGGGGAGCAGCCACAAAGGGGAGGGAGCGCGGGGCTGCAGACCCGGCCCGCAGGGAGGGGCGCCCCCCACAGACGTGCGGCAGCTTCATGGAAGGAAACAGGGTTTCCCAGCGGAGTTCAAGGAAATCTGGAGTCTACGGCGAAGTGTGTCGAAAAGAGGAAAAATGAACACTTTGAACACGGAAGATTATTGTAACGTAAAAGGTGTTATAGAAAACGATGTAATATAAAATAACCCTGGCGTCTGTAAGCGTAAGATGTAAGCAGAGACCTTAACTGTGATGAGGAAGTAAGTTACATATTTACTGCATACGAGTAAACGCACACGATCCTTTCACGTGCTACAACATAAAACGCAATGGAATTAGCGACCTGTAACTTATCTGTGGTGTACACTCACATTTTAACAGGAAGCACTTAGTGGAGGTTTGTAACTTTAACTACACCGTTACAACTACGTAATCAATCACGACGACCCCGTGCAGCGCCCACCGACACCGTCAGCCCCGGGACAGAGACCCGGGTGCCCCCTGCACCCTGCGTGCGCGGCAGAAGCCACCGAGCCCAGGGAGGAGCGACACAGGACCCGCTCCAGGGCCTTCGGGGGGCGAGGGCGCCCCCCACAGGCAGAGGCCGGCTCGCCCCTCAGCCGCCGTGAAGCAGTGGGGTCTGCTCACACCCCCATCCCCACCCCCCGCTTGGTGTGGGGGCCGGGCTCGGGGAGAGGGCGACCCTGAGGACACGCTGGCGCTGCCCTTGCGGGGAGCGGCGACCTCCTCCACCTGCGACCTGGAGTCTGCGACCCCCGCCAGCACCCACAAACCGGGTGCGCCCCCACAGCCCGCGACGCTCCCCCCGCGGTGCGCCCCCCACTCCGGGATCGGTCTGAACTCCGGGTCCGGCCTCCGCTCCACCTCGGAGCAGGCCGGGCTGGGTCTCGGCGACTCGCACGGCCCCTCCAGGAACCGGCCTCCCGGAACCTGAAGTCGCACTGCCCTGCGGCCGAGACCGTTCCGGAGTCCAACTACAGGACTGACTCTGGGAGGAAGGAACCCGAGACCAAACCCCGAAACCTGTGGTTTTCCTGCGGCCTCTTCTCCTGCCGGGACGGGTGGGCAGCCCCGGACAGAAAGGGCCGGACGGGGCTGCGGGGGAAAACCTGCCGGGGGAAGGGCCGCACCGGGTGGGTCCCCGGGGGCCCCCCCGCACCGGGGCCCAGCTCTGTGAGGCAGGCAGGCAGGCCACGGGGTGGGGGGGGGCCTGCGGCAGATGTGAGGTTCGGACGCCAGCTCAGCCGCGCTGGCTGCGTGGCCATGCTGACGTGACTCCCTGGCCCCCGTGTTCTGGTCCCCGTGTCCCGACCCCCGTGACGGCGTGAGTGACGCCACAGCAGCGCAGTGTGGCACCCTCGGACAGGCAGACCCCGCGGCCCCCGCCTCGCTCCGCGGCTCACCTGTGCGAGGTCAGCACCACCGCACAGCCTTCCAGAACCTCCGTCCCCACCGCTTCCCACAGCAGCCGCTTCGAGCAGGGGTCCATCCCCGAGCTGGGCTCGTCCTGCGGGGGAGAGGGCCCCGGCAACGGTGACGGGCTCAGCCGGGGCAGGGGGGGGGGGCGCCTCTGCTTCTGAGCTCTCTGGGGCCCGCCGGCCGGCTCTGCATGCGCGTCTCTTACGGGCTCCGGGTGCCGGGCTCCAGCCACCGGGCCACCAGAACGCCCGCGCCGCGCGGCACCTGCCTGTTCGCTCAGGGGCGCGGCCGCTGCCCCCTCACAGTCAAGTTCAAACACAGCGGCAGCAGCCAGCAGCGCCCGGCGTGAGGGAGTGGGACCACGCCTGCGCGCTCTCCTCTGGCCAGGGACGCGCACGCCTGTGGGCGCGGCCAGCAGGCTGGCCACCGATCGGCGCGTGGGTGCCGGGGGCGTCAGAGGCGGAGGTCGCCGGGCCGGGGGACAACTGTCTGCGGGTTTCCCGACTGCAGGTGAGCTCTGGCGTCCTTCAAAACGCTGTTTCTAATGTCACCGTCTCACTGGCATGCCGTTTGGTAAATACAGGGGACTCACCCAGAAACACACCTTACTTCCGTAAAACCCCGGGGCTGCGGCAGGTCGTGGGGGAGGGGGGGCTGACCCGGCAGGAGTAGCGGGTCACCGCAGAGGGGCCGTGCGGCCCCAGCTCCCGGGAGGGCGCCCCCAGGTCACAGCGCCAACGCCCCTGGGATCCTCACCAGCAGCAGGAGGTCAGGCTTCCCCAGCAGGGCCAGGGCCGTGGACAGCTTCCGCTTGGTGCCCCCGCTGTAGGTGGCCACGGGCCGGTCCACGTGGGCTTCCAGGCCTAAGCGCCGCACCAGGTCCCCGGCGACCTGGGAGACAGGAGCTCTCCGTGGGCCCCCCTCACCCACTAGGGCCCCTCCTGCTGCCCCTCCCTCCTCCCTGCCCCTGCCCCAGACACACTGGCCCCGCGGGACCCGGGAATCACTGAGGGTGGACGGACGGTGCCCCGGGGCGCGCTGGGATCTCCGGGCCTGCGGGGTGAGCAGGCGGCGCCCGAGCGTGAGGTCTGGGCCTGGGGAGCCCCGGGGGGCAGCAGACCAGGGGCTGAGTGGACACGGGGAGGGAGCGGACCCCGGGGGGCAGCAGACCGGGGGCTGAGTGGACACGGGGAGGGAGCGGACCCCGGGGGGCAGCAGACCGGGGGCTGAGTGGACATGGGGAGGGAGCAGGCTGGGGCGAAACCCGAGGGAGCGTCTCAACCAGCGGAGGCAGGAGGAGGGAAGAAAGGCCCCCCCCGAAACCCGCTCCGAGACCCCCACTGGGAGGCGGGTCCACGGTGGCCCCGGGGTGGGGCAGGCGGGGGCAGAGCTGCCCGCGGGCAGTGGTGGGGGGCCAGCCCGTGGCGTCGGGGGGGCTCAGGGCACCCTCGGCCCGGGGAGCTGTGCCCGCCCCCCCCACAGGCACGTGGGCTCGCCCACAACCCCCGCCCCTGCAGCACCTGTCCGCCGGCCCTTCTCAGCCAGCCTGGGAGACCGGCTCAGCCGCTCCTCGCTCCGCAGCCCAGGCAGCTGTCCCCACGCGGGCAGGGTCCGCATGCCCTCCGACCTCACGCCCTGCACGGCCCTAACCCTAACCCTCCAGGCCCCGTGGTCTGCGTGCAGGTCCTGGGCTGGCTGCCGCCTGGGGGGCCAGTCGGCTGGTCTCCAGCCCCGCTGCTCTCCGCTTCCGCCCCTGACCCGCCCGAGTCCCCCGGCCGCCTGCGAGTGCCACCGTGCGGTCTCGCTGGCCCGGTCCCAGCCTCCCCCGACAACGTGGGGGCGGAAGGGGACACCGGGGAAACGGGCTCATGCCGGTGCGTCCTCCGCGGCTCCCTCCTATGGACTCTGGTCCCGCCGCCCCACCGAGCAGGCCCGGGGAGCAGACCCCGGGGCCCCAAATGCCAGGGGGCGGACGGGAGCCCCCTGCTGCCCACCCGGGAAGTCACCGCTCACAACAGGTGGGGGCCGCCCCTGGGCCTCCCCGGGCTGCGGCGCTCCCCTCGTGGGCAGGGAGACAGGGTTGACCTCCCTGTCCCACCCACCAGCAAAGTCGCTCCTAGTCTGCACCCTGCTCAGTGTCCCAGCAAAGGCCACCTCTGTGACGTGTGTCCCTGAAGACACAGGAGCAGTCAGGCAACGTGAAGGGCACAGGAGAGGAGACAGGAGGGGGGGCGCACAGGGGTGGACGGCGCACAGGGGTGGACGGCGCACAGGTGTGGAGGACACGGTGCGCCGACCGCTCCCCCGCCCTCCGCACGGGCCTCAGTGACAGGTAACACAGACGCAGCAGGAGCCCTTCCCGGGGGCTCCTCCGCACCAGCCCGGGGAGCACCCCCGGGCGCACTGGCCCAACCCCGTGCTTCCAGCTCCCGGGCTGAGGGGGCTGCGTGGGCGTCCCCCCCCCGGAAGCCCTGGGGGCTCACCTCCGGGACCCGTGACGTCGGGATCCCGCGCAGGCGGCAGTAGTAGCGCAGGTGCTCCCAGCCAGTCAGGTGCTCGTCCAGGGCGTCCTGCTGCGGACAGTAGCCGACGCGGATGCCCGCCGCCTGGGCCGCACACAGGGCCACGTCCTCCCTGCGGAGAAGCAGACAGAGCGCCGTCCAGAACACCCCACTCCCGGCACCCGTCTCGGGGCCCCGCCGGCCCCGGAGGAGCTCACGGGGTCCGTGGAGTGAATGCGGCTCAGGAACTGGCACAGAGGGGCTCAGTGACGGCGGAGGCACCCAGGGGCCCAGGAGGCCGGGCCGGCGAGAAGCACCCCGCGTTGTCGCCGGCGCGCAGGCGAGCTCGGGAAGCGGCTGTCGGAACCGCTGCCCCCCCAAGACGGTCCACGTGAACCCCCGAGAGTCGATGACTGCCGTGCCCTTGGGGACCTGGTTTCAAGCAAACGGGCGGCGTAACGGCTGTGTCTGATCTGTCACCGAGCGGGCGGGAAGCAGGGAGAGACCCACGGTCGAGCCCTCCGCGATTTCTGGGGACCCCGCGGCGTGGCGAGCCCCCGCGCCGGGTCACAGGGCGGTCCCCGACGGGACGCAGGCGAGCAGGAGCCACGGCGGAGACAGCGCGCGCGAGGGCCTGCCCTGGTGCGCTCACCCCCCGCCGGCCGGAAGGGGCAGGCGGGCTCCGCGACGCTGCAGGAGGCACGCCCACCCGCCCGAGCCGGCGGCCGTCCGCAGACGGACCCCGAGCTGCCGCCGCGGAGGCAACCGGCCCCCCTGACACCGCGCCAGGGAGAGGACGCGACTCAGAAGGGGGCTCCCCCCCCCCCGGGGCGGGGAAGCTGTGCACTGTCATGGGGGGGGGGGCGGCAACGCCAGCGGCGTTTTTCACGGAAGCAGAAGGAAAGACCCTGAGCTCTCCCTGGTTTTCTAGCAGAGCTTGTTTCTCAGGTTTTCTTATTTTGTATCTCACACACAGAAATTCTTCACTTACTGACTTCACACAGGAGGGTATGTTTTATTGAAATGTATAACACTTTTGATGCAAATACGCCTTTTCCTTAAATTCTGTCAACGTGATATTGATATATGTACACATTTTAGTTTGTCTTTATTTGTCCAATTGCCACTCTCATTGTCAACGTTGCCTGTAACTTCGTTTAGCGTGCCATGCAGAACTGCGCGTTTCAGAGCAGCCGCTGCCGGGTGGCTGACCGTTCAAGGAGAGGCAGCCCCACAGGCTGCAGCGGGAAGCACAGGCCTCCTCCGGCATCGGCCCGTCCCCCAGACCGGCTCTCTCGCCGCCCCGGCGCTGTGGGCTGTGACCGGCAGGCTCCTGGTCTTCTGCTCTCAGAGGCCTGGGGCGGGCGAGCCTGCCGCCAGCCCAGAGCTGGTCCCCCCTCCCTCCTCCCTCCACTGTCTCCGGGGGGTCGGTCTGGTGACGCCCCGTCCTCCCAACCTGAGGCCCCTCCTCCCGAGCCCGAGGTCGGGACAGTGGTGGGGGAGGCCCGCACGCTCAGCTCCTGGCAGCGTGCGTGTGAGCGCGGTCCCGGCAACCACGACTGCTGCCATCGGTCAGGTTTACTCTGGGGTGAGGGCCCAGCCTGAGCGCGCAGAGGTGGCAGCAGTGGGGCAGCGAGGGGGGGGGTTGTGACCACCAGGCGCTGCGCCCCGACAAAGCACAGCAGCACTGCGTGGGGTTTGAACCCCGCGCGGCCACACTGTGAGAGGCCCTCGCCCGTCGCCTCTCAGGACGCGGCGCTGTCTCGATGAGGGAGGGGCTCACGGGCCGTGAGTGGGACCAGGGGTCGGCTTGAAACCCGTTCTCCAGGCGTGCCCTAGTGTCGAGCCTGAGCACACGCCTGCGCGTGCGCCAGCACGAGTGAGTCAGCCGAGGACAGGGCCCCGGTCCTCACGGCGCGGCCGGCCGCACACGGAGGCGGGCGGCTGCCTCCCGGCCAAGGCCTGGGCGACCTGCTCCAGGCGGGGAGACGGCTGGGCCTCGGGGGCGGGGAGACGGCGCACAGCAGCGCTCCCAGCGGCTGGGGACCGCTGCGCCCTCGCTGCGCATTGAATTCCTTGAATGCCAATGCACAATTAGCGTTACCAATAATCAAGGTTTAAAATATAATTAATGCAGCTGTGATTTAGTTATAATTAAACTAATTGCACAGACACGGAGCCTCATAAGGGACTTGCAGACCATCAGGAAAATGTAAATCCATTCGTGCTTTTGAGAACAGCCATTTGAATTTCATTTTCCAATTATTCTGGAAACCATAGAATGAAATTCTAAGGAGCCGGCCAGCCTCCCAGGGACAGGAAAATAGGCCATGTGTGTTCACTTCCTTCTGAGTTCCGATTGTTTTGTCCCTTTGTACTTGTCAGTAGAGAGGTTCCAGAAGAGGGAGAGCCCACCGCTCTGTCGGCAGAAACCCCTCCTCGAGCCCCGGCTGCAGGCAGGTGGGCGCTCGGCCCTGGAGTGAGTTTGGCACATTCGGCGGGACCCCCTCGGGGGAAGGAAGGAAGATGCAGTCCCATCGAGACATAAACCCCTTCTGGTTGCCATGCAAATTCGCTGCAATTCCAACCAAAACTCCAGTGCTGGGACATTTTTTAGAGGTTGATAGAGTTACTCCAAAAGTGTAAGGGTCCCAGAGTCATCCAAGCAATTCCGCAGAGGAAGACCCGGGGAGACGGACAGCCCGGCCAAGCCCGGGGCGGGCAGAGGCAGTGCTTCCAGCCCGCGGAGGGGAGGCGTCGCGTCCGACAGCGGCACCAGGGCCCGCTCGGGGGGCTCAGCGGGCCAGCGCGCCGCCTCCCACCCCTCACCACAGCCGCGGGCTCGGTCCCCAGTCAGGGCCGGCACAAGGGTCGGCGATGAACCCAAAGGTAAGTGGGGCAAGGAATTGAGTGGGGTTTTTTCCCTCTCTCTCATCAATCAATCAGTCAACCAGAACACGACCGTAGGCAAATTGGGATTCTGGATAGAAAAAAATAAAATTAAAACTATATTTCTACTATACCATGTACCTACATATAAACTCCACATAAACACATGCATGTAAAAAATCAGTTTTTGAAAGGAAAATGTGGAAAGTATCTTTGTGACGCAGAGAGAGAATTTGAGATTCAAAACCCAAGAAGAACAAAGGAAAAACGACACACGGCCCGAATCGGAAGCAAGAACTCCGGGCGCAGACGCTCCCACAGCGAAGCCGCAGCAACGGTGCCGGCGGGAGGCCGTGCTCAGCTGGCGCGGGGCCGGCGCCAGCTTCCCGGGGGGCCGTGCCAAGCGCCCCCGCGGGACACGCGGCCAGCGTCCGGCCAGCCCGTGGGACAGAAGACAGCGGGCGCCCCAGCCAGGGGCAGACGAAGCTGCATGGCGAGCGGCCCCGGGGGAGCAGCCGAGTCCAGCGGGGGGTCGGAGGTGCGGACCAGGGGGGCAGCGGGGCCCCGTGCCCGCCCGCCCACACCGGCTGCTGCGGAGGGGGGCTGCGGAGCACTCGGCCCGCGAGGGGCGCGGGCCGCCCTCACGGCCCCGGCTGGTGTTCAAGGCACGCCTCTCTGCCCAGCACCGCGCTGGGTCGCCCGCTCCTCACCCACACGTGAAGGTGACAGACGCAACTAGACACACGTGCAGACACGCATGCACACGGAAGTCAGGCGAGGAGGAGACGTCCGTGTGAACTGAACCTCAGGATCACAGAGAACACGCCGTCCTCGGTCTGCACATCACAGGGTCACCCGGGAGTCACCCGGGAGTCGTGGGTGCAAAGCGCTGGCCAGCTAGCGGGTGATGGTGACCGCCCAGACAACCTCTGCCGACTGCTGCGTCCGAACCCACACGCGAGCCTCCGGAGCGCAGCCCTCCCCGGCCCCTGGGGGAGGGGCTCCGCAGCCCCAGCGGGGGGAGGAGGAGCTTGGACAGCGCCGAGAACGTGGCGCCCGCTTACACCACGGCCCTGGAGGGAGGGCAGCAGGCGCCCGCCCGGCAGCAGACGCCGGACGCCCACTAGCAGGTCCCAGGAGCTGGCCCAGCAGGACAGGGGTCTGCACTGGGCCCTCGGCCCCTGCACTGGACACGAGAAGCGCGGACAGACGGGGCTCCGGGACTGTCCACACCGACGCACGCGAGGCGTGGGGCGGGGCGGCCAGAACACAGCCGTGCTGCCGGACCCGGAGCCCCGGCCACAGTGCCCAGCCCGCCCTTCCACACTCGGGGGGGGGGGGCGGCTCTCGGCACAGGTGCACTGGGAAGGGACGGCGTCCTCAGGCGCCAGTCCCGCGGGGGCCCAGGGGGGCCCCAGGCTCCACCACGGACGAGCTCCACGGGCAGAAAACGGGGAAAGGCGGCTCACCCGGCGGGCGTCCTGACGACGGCGTGCCCCGAGGTCGGGGCGACGTCCCCGCTCAGCATTTCGAAGGTGGTGGTCTTCCCAGCTCCGTTCACCCCCAGGAGCCCGAAGCACTGGGAGAGGGAAGAGGGCCGCGGTGAGGCCCGACCGCACCAGGAGCGGCCCCTGCTGGCGGCCGGCCCCGGGAGGGGGGGATCCTCAGACCCCCGACCTCGGGCGCTCGTGCGTGGCAGCCTGTGGACTCCGGAGCACGTCCAAGACACTCGTGGCTTCTGGACGGGACCCAGCGCCAGGAGTGCCCGACACACGCGTGCACTCGCGTGTGCAGAGCTCAGGGGGGGCGCGTGAGGGCCGTTGAGACAAACCCGCCCGCGCCCACCCCTCGGGGCCGCCGACCAGCTCCCAGCACGCCCCCCGGGGGCCAGGGCTCTGAGGGCCGGCAGCACAGGCAGCGTCGCCCCAGCCGCCCCGCCCACTGGAAGCGCTCCCTGCGAGGGTCCCAGGCCTGCACCCTGGACAGCTCAGCCCCCAGCCTGGGGTGGACCCCGGGTCACGGGACGGTGCCTGCTCCGCCGGCAGAGCCCGGCCACCCTGCACCTCCAAGCGCCCCCCTCCGCGACGCCTGCACCCCGCCCCCACACAGGGCAGCTGCGCGGACCACCCTGAGTGCTCGGGAGCAGCAGGGACCATCGGGGCCTGAGCGGGCGAGGAGGACAGCCACGAGGGCCTGCGGCGGGGACGCCCCCTCACCTCTCCGCGCCGCAGGCCCAGGCTCACGTCGTGCACGGCCGTGCGCCGCCCGGAGAGGCCGCGGTAGGTCTTGCCGAGGTTGCACAGCACCAGCAGGTCCCCGGCGGTGCCGCCCTTCAGCACCCGCGTCTGCTCCTTCTGCACGTCCGGGTCCTCGCAGGGCGTCACCGTGCCCTGAACGCTGGCGGCGCGGCTCCTGGGGTTGGACAGGGTCGGTTCACTGCCAGGAGTAGGGGGGCTGGAGGCCTCCAGACAGCGGGCGGGGTCGGAGGCCAGATGGGGGCCGGGTCTGCAGACGCTGCGGGGCCGGCTCCACGCCCCGTCCCCCTGGCGTCCCGGGTCCCCGTCCCGCCTTCAGCCCTGCGCAGAGTCAGACTGTGCCGGACGCATGCTCAACGGAGAGAGGGCTGACCACGCGGGCATCACAAGCAATCGCTCCGCCTGAGCGACTCCAGCAAACGGGCCAGTGAGCGAGTGGTCCTCGGGCAGGAGCACCCACGTCACAGCCACGGCACAGGCCCCCACCCTAACCCCACACCCCACACTGCGCGGGCGCAGACCACACGCAGGGCGGCGCGGCCCCAGCAGCAGCACCCAGGCTCTGGACCCATCGCCTGGCTGTCCGCGGTCCCGGGGAGACGCCGGGGGAGGCGTCCGCGGGGACTCTGTGCTCACCTGGCAGCTTCGTGTGCCCTGACCTGCTTTTCACCTGGCAGGAAGGCACGTGCCCCCTTCCCGGCCCCTCTCTGGCGGCCGCCCGTCCGCGGGCCGAGGAGCCTTGGGCGCCCCCCCCCCCGGGGGCCCAGCACCGCAGCGAACGTGCCGGGAAGTGCCGGAGGGGCCCTCCCTCGAGGGTTCGGAGCCTGTGGCCCCTCAGCAAGGTCCCCGGGACGTGGCCCCGGCGAGGACCTGCCCCCTGGGACCTCGCTGGGAGAGAATGAGGCCGGGGCACAGGCCGCGTGCCCTGGAGCGAGGGGGCGCAGCCACACACTCCTGCCGTGCCCACCGCAGCGCGCCAGCCGGCGGCGAACACTCGGACGCCCTGGCAGAGCCTCACGGAACCTACGCGTGTGGCAGGGACGTGTGGGCGTGCACCTGCACACACAGGCACACACCCCCCCACGTGGGGGACCACCCTCCAGGCTGGTGGGGGCTCCCCCGTGCCGTGGGCCACTGACACTGTCCCCCCCACGCCGATGCACCGCCCCCCCGCCGGACAAGGAGAAGAGACGGCGTGCGAGGTGACAGGAGCTGGCGGGGCAGAGGGCCCGCGGGCGTCAGCCCCGAGTCCCCGCCCTCCCTGCTCCCGGGAGCGAGCCGCCTCGCCCCGGAGGTCCGTCCGGCCGCCGCCCGCGCACCCGGGAGGTGCTGCAGCCGGGCATGGGCCCAGCACAACCGCAGCAGGAACGCTCCCCAAGACCGTGAGACAGCCACGCGCTCCCCCACAGGGCGGCCCCGGGCGGGGGGGCGCTGACGCCAGCCTCCCTGGAGCCCAGGACTCCCGCCGCCCCAGCGGGAGGAACCCAGCGCCCGCTCCCAAGGGCTGCACGTGGCGCCCAGCGCACTCGCCCGCGGGCTGCGGGCTGCAGGGGACGTCCCGCCCCCCACCCCCGGACGCAGGCGGCCGCAGCCCACACCTGGGCCACTGCAGGAGGTCCCCGTGCAGCAGCAGCCTCAGCAGCAGCAGGGCCGAGCCCTGGCAGGCCAGCTGCAGGAAGGTCCAGCCCAGGAAGCTCATCGCGAAGGGGCTGGCGTAGGAGTCGAGGCCGAAGCCGCGCGCCAGGTCGTACTTGATCTGGTTGTAGCAGAGCTCCACCAGCCCCTGGCCCAGGCAGAACTGCGGGAACAGCGCGAAGGCCCACCGGAGCGCGTCCGAGATGTCCTGTAAGTTCTGCGCGGGGACAGGAGGAGAAGGGGAGTCAGCTCACGAGCCCGTCACGGCGTCCAGTTCTCCGCGTCGGCCCCGAGTCCCAGGCGGCCGGCGAGCCACAGGGACTGCCCAGCTGGCTCCACAGTGCCAGGGCGGCCTCCCTGAGGGAGAGACACACACACACACACACACACACACACACACACACACACACGGCTGCCACTGGCCGGGCCACACCTTCGGGCAGGGCCCGAGCCACCCTCCCCCCCCCCCGGGGGGCTGCAGGCGCAGGTACCGGCTCACACACACTCAGTTCTGGTGGGAAAAGCAGCCGGGCCGGCTCGGGCCGGCCTCCCGTGCCGGTGCAGGCCCAGGGCCCGCGGCGCTCACCGACCTGGGCCCCGGAGACGATGGCCAGCAGCCGCGGCATGGTGGTCATCAGCAGGGTGCAGAGGCCGAAGACGAAGTTCAGCGAGACGTAGGCGATGAAGGCCACGTCGGCGCTGGGGAAGACCCTGGAGGCCAGGTACATCCACGGGAGGGTGGCGTACCTGCGTGCGGGGCCCGGGAGAGGCCTGCTTGTTCTCGGTCGTCTCCCTGGCGGCGGCGGACCGAGGGGTGCACTCTCCCCGCCCGGCCAGGCCTCCTCATGCGGCGAGCGGTCTGCGGGGCTGCGGAGGCCCGACAGCACGGAGCAGGCCCGAGCCCGGAGGCCTGTGGGCCTGGACCCGCAACCCCGCCACCCCAAGGAAGGCCGCGGGGTCCCCCGAGTCCCCCCGGAACAGGCCCGCCGCCGGGAAAGCAGCAATGACGCCTGCTGGTGGCGGTGGGCACCGAGCGGCGAGCGCGCGGGAAGCTGGGGCTCCGTGCGCACACCAGGCGCGAGGACGGACCCGGGGGCTCACCTCCGCCCCGCAGCCCGCGCCGGCAGGCAGCACGCCCTGGGCCTCCCCGCATGCCCGGCCCTCTCGTGTCCCGAGGCCATGGAGCGGCAGAGGGCTGCGCCCACGTTCCCGAAAACGGTCTGTGGGTCTCGTCCTCCCTCCCCACCCACCCGCCGCCGCATCCAGTCACCCGGCGACGACCGGGGGTGCCAGGTTCACCTAAACTCTGTCCCTGACTGTCTGGAGTGGGCCTGGGCCACTGGCATGGCTGCAGTTTATGTGAAACTCTTTTTATTTTTCACCTGTGGCTTAGACAAAAGGGGACAGCTTTGCTTTAAAAAGCCTCAGATTATGACAGACGGGCAGGTTAATTCCGTCCTCGCCACGAGCAAATCCCCGGAACGACGGGGCGGCGCGTGCAGCTCACGGGAGAAGCCGGTTCGGGGCCCTGGGGGTGAGCCCGGTTGGTGCCCACCACGGAGACACACGTGGGACGGCTTCTCTGCTCTTGCGTTGCCTCCGAGACCAACAGAGGTCCAGGTCAGAGGGACCGTCTCCCAACGACTAACCCCGAGGGGGTGGGGGGGACGCGGGCCAGACCAGGGGCCGGGGACCCCTGGGCGGCCACCCCGGAGCGCCCTGCCGCCGCACTCGGCCCCGATCTACGTCCCCCCTCCCGAGTCGGCCGGAGCGACCCTCTCGAAGGCAACGTAGCTGCCGGCTCGGAGCCACCCCGGGGCGCGCCGTCTCCAACAACGAGCCCTGACCCCCGGCCGCGCGGCCCCTCACGCACCCGAACAGCAGCAGCAGGAGGGCCGTGGCGGCCAGGTTCTGGCGGAAGGTGAAGGCCGGCAGCCCGAAGGCCAGGACGACGGCGACGCACAGGCAGACGGAGGCCGTGTAGACGAGCTGGGGGCGGGGAGGGGGGGCGAGGAGAGGGGCCCTGTGACCTCGGGGGCGGGGCCGGCCTCTGGGTAAGCGTGCCGGTTCCACACACGGCGAGTTTCGTAGCAGGGGGCTCAGCCCTGGAACGTCACCCACACACCACACCCGTGCACACACCACACACGTGCACATACCACATGCACAAACACAAGCAAACTGCATGCACACGTGTGCACATCTGTGCTAGGTACATACACGTGCCACACACCTGCGCACGCCACGTGCTGCACACGCACCCACCACACGTGTGCATGCACACCGCACACAAACACACACAAAGTGACTCACACGTGCACACACACCATACGTGCACGCACCACACACAAACACACACAAACCGACTCACACGTGCACACGCACCACACACACACTTCGACAGGCCACCGCAGCAGGGTACCCCCCAGGGACAGCCCCCAGTCCTACCATGTCGTACAGGAAGTTGGCGAACCAGTAGGTCCCGTGGCCCAGGCCGCTGATGTGCTGCAGCCTCTTGGCCCCGGTCACGCGGTCCCTGACCACGGCGCTGCCCCTGGAGGCCGTCAGGACGGAGAAGCCCAGCGCGATGCAGAGGGCCACGCCGCACTGGCGGACGCTCTCCAGGCTGCGGGCAAGCGCGGCTGTCAGCCGGAGACAGGGCTGGGCCCCTTCCTGCTGGGGACAGCCGGTGACGGGCCGGCGGGGGGACCAGCTGGCTGGGGGCGGGACCCCGCCCTGCATCCCCTGGGTGACCCCGACAGCATGGACGACTGGTCCCCACTGGCAGGGACAGAGCCGAGGGGCGCAGAGCTGAGGGGCATGGCCGAGTCTGCCGGTGTCCACGTCTCCTCCGGCCGCTGCTGCGCCCGGCCCCCAGTCACAGGGAAAGACGCCCGGGGTGCACTGCAGGGGCGCGGCCCTTGCCCAGGTTGGGTGCCCCACCCCACCCCACAGCGGTCCCACCAGGGGCGGGGGGCTGGCATTGGCCACGGCTCCACACGTCACCAACGTCAGGGACATCGCGCCCTCAGAGCAGCCTCCCCGCGGAGACGCCCTCTGGGTGTCACACCCACTGGCGCCACCTCGGCAGAGCACCGCCTCCCTGAAGGTCGCGGTCCCCGCGCTCGGTGAACACGGCCGGCCGGCACCACTAACCCCAAGTGCCGGAGCCACTCGGGGCGAGCGCAGGGACAGCACCAACCCCCCCGAGTAACCCAGAGACTGCGCTCCCCGGCGGGCCGCCCCCCCCACCCCGCCCCCCCCTCAACTCACATCCTGTCCTCGTTCAGCAGGGCCCCTCCGTGCGGGTGGCTGTGCAGTGTTATTCCTGCGGGAGACAACCCGGGGGTGGCCCGCACGCCCTCTCTCTCAAGGTCAGCCCCCTGCGCCCAGGGGGCTCTCCTGCTGGCTTTGCCCGGGGGCTGCACTGGTGTCCGGGAGCGGGACACCCCCCAGAACCGGCATGTGCCAGCGTGCATCGCCACGGCCCCACGCTGACACGGGACCACGTTCGACTGTCTGACCCTCAGACGCACGCCTGTGGCCTCGGGCAGCTACTGTCAGCCCATGCGCCCCGAGAGCTCCTGCAGCGTGCCACCCCCGGGCATTCCGCCCGTCTCTTCCGGGCGCGCTCCTCCCACGAAGGCTGCCGGTGTCCCCAAACCCCACCCGGGGCGGTCCGGCTCTCCGCGGGGCCGCGGGGCCACGTGAGAATGTGCAAGTCCGCCTCTGCCGGACACGCCCACCTTCACTGCACGACCCCGTGGGCCAGGGCTTCCAGACACAGGAGCCCCGAGAGCAGAGACGCCGTGTCCACGAGGTGCTCACGTCCTCGCCACCACACGGGGCTGGGCACGAGCCGTGACCGAAAGCGCTGACCGCCGCCCGGGCCGGGCTGGTGCATCCTCCTGGAGCAGCCACCCGCGTGAGCCGCCCACGGCGCTCATGGTCCTGGCGCTTGAGGGCGGCCGCGCCTGTCACAGACACCCTCTGCGCGGGACACTCGCCGGCTCTGGTGCAGCCCGGGCACTTCGGGGTGCAGGGGGCTCTCAGGCCACCCACCCCCTCCTTCGCCACGCAGACAAGCCGCCGTTCGGGGGTCCGTTTCAGGACACGGACCACACCAAGGGGCCTGCGTCGCTGCCCCATGAGCCTTCCCCCTCTCTGCTTGGAGAGCACGGCCCCCGAAAGCAGCGGCGCACGGGCACGCGGGGCCTCACCATATCGCCGCCAGTCCTCGGCGGGGGGCAGGAGCCTCCACAGGAGCAGGTTGTTGAGACGGTTCAGGTAGGAGGGCAGGGCGTGGATGCCCTTCTGGTTGTACCACACCTGGCGGAGAGGAGCCCCGCTGAGCCCGCCGGCCCGCCCGCCCCTCGCAGACACGGGCCCCGGGGCCAGGAGCTGCAGGGGCACCTGAGGCCGGGCCTGCCCACCCGGGGTGATGCCCCCGCCAGGCTAACCGGAGCATCGCCCCAGCCTCGGACTTCCTGCACACCACAGCGTGTAATTTACAGCTAAAAATAGACCGGTGCTCCCAGAGCGAGCCGGATGTTCTCTGCAATTACCACCCCCCCACCGCCCCCGCCAGCGAAAGGGACCGAGCCCACCGCTGCTTCCTCTCTCGGCCGGTGAGTGACGACGAGAGACGACACTTGACCTGTGCGGTGACAGTGGGGAGAGCGAGAGAGAGAGGGAGAGGGAGAGAGAGGGAGAGAGAGAGAGAGGGAGAGAGGGGGAGAGAGAGAGAGGGAGAGAGAGGGGAAGGAGAGAGAGGGAGGGAGAGAGAGGGAGAGGGAGAGAGAGGGAGGGAGAGAGGGAGAGAGAGAGAGGGAGGGAGGGAGAGAGGGGAGAGAGAGAGAGGGGGAGAGAGAGAGGGAGGGAGAGAGGGGGAGAGAGAGAGAGGGGGGGAGAGAGAGAGAGAGAGAGAGGGAGAGAGGGAGGGAGAGGGAGGAACTACTCCCAAATCATGGCTGGGTGTGGGCAGCACTTCTCCGACTACACAGACTGGACACGGGCCGGGAGGGGGTAAGGTCGCGGCCGCCAGGGAGCAGGTCGGGCGGAGGAGGGGACGGGAGACGGAGGGGCCCTGGGAGGCGGGACGGTAAGCTGCACGAAGAGGACCGTGAACCGACAGCACCGTATTTCAAAACTCTACCGTTCTAAGGAGAACTTTTAAACGTATTCTCAGCGTGGAAGGCTGACGAGTGTCTTGAAGACGTTAATGAATCAACTGGCAAAGTCTCGTCGTGATTGACAGGCGCATCCAGGGCAGAGCAGCCCCGCAGGGGTCGCCCCCGTGTGCGCAGCGCTCGCACCGGGTCCCAGAGCCCGCGCACCTCTCCCTCCCGAGAGGGGCGACCGGCCCGGAGCGCAGCCCTGCGCAGGCAGCGAGCGCGGGAGCAGCGCCCGCGGCACGTTCCCGGGTCCCTGCGCACCCGCGGCCGCACCCACGGCCCACAAAGTGGTACCACGCCTTGTGAACGAGCCCTGAAGGCCAAGTGCAAGGCCGGTCGGGGGCGAGCGGCAGTGGGGCAACCCGGTGTGCCGCCACAGCCCCCGCCAGGACGCACGGGCCCAGGCTCCGGGAGGGGAAGCCCGGCCACCAGCCGCTCCGGTCTCCGTGCACCCCTGCACCCGGCAAAGTGCATGCCAGGCAGCCCCGAGGACGGGACATGGGCGCCGGAATCGGTGTGACCGAAGTGACCTCACGGGGATCCGGTCACATTCTCTGACCACGCAGGTCATCGTGGACGGCCACGCCCTGGGCACGTGGCCTCTCCACTGAAAGGAGTGGGGCGCCTCAGGCCAGCCCTGCCGGTCCCTCTGGCATCCGGGCCAGCGCCCCCTCGAAAGGCCTCTTTTCCCGAGGCCTGGGAGGAGTGGGCACGCCACCCGGTCTCCCCCGGCCCCTCTGCCACGCCGAGTGCGCGCGGGGCCTGCCGGCCTGTGGAGCGTGGAGCTCGTCGAGATCCTGTGTCCCGCACGTGGTCGGTGTGGCGCAGCCGGGCCCAGGAAAACGCCGTGCAGACCAGGAGAGAGCCCTCCGGGAGAGGCTTTGGACGGCCTCAGGTCAGCGACGTCGGAACGGCGGGAGCCCCCGCGACACCGTCCGCACGGAAGACGGATCAGCACACGGAGGGAAGGGGGTGGGGGGGAGGGCGCGTGGGCCTGGCACGGCCTACCGCGGAGACGCAGCACCCCCCCACCCCGTCCATGCGAGGGCAGGGTGAGTGCAGATGAAAACGCCCCGGGCCCTCCGGAGACCACAGATCGCTCCCACTGACCAGGCGCCTTCTAACCACGGCCACGGCCTGCGTTCAAGCACCAGCCCAGGCTTGCGGGCCGCTCTGGCGTCGAGCTCTGCGTCCCCGTGTTCCCATGTAGAGCCGTGACCCTCCTCGCCGGCACAGCCTGCTCAGGAGGGGCTCTGGGGGTCTGCACCCCTGCACGGATGTTCCCTCGGGGACCACCCTGTGACACGCCTGCCGAGACCCTCCTCCGGGCGCAGTGGGGATGCCGGGATCCTCTGCAGAGCCTGTGCTCCGCTGAGCAAGCCGCCGGCACGCAGTCCCCGCCCGGCCAGCTCTCCAGGCTCCGGGGGGTGGGGGGTGGGGGGTGGAGGCCCCGACAAAGGCGGGGCGGGGTGCCCGCCCTCCGGGCTCACAGGTGCGTTGTGGCGAGTGGCCACACCTGTGCCACGACCTGCCCTTTCCCGATTTCTTCCTCGGCTGGGACACCACCAGACCATCTCCCACGCTGGACTGAGGCGTGGACTCTGCCACCTGTCCCACCCGAAGGCTGGGCGGACACAGAGGCTCTTCCTCCACCCCAGTCCACGTGCCCCTGCATGCACCAGCCCCGGGGAGCCCCAGGCCCCGCCCCCATCACTGGCGGCAGTGCCCGCAGACCCACGGTGGCCCAGTGAGGGGCTGCTGCCCCGTGTGCCACCCTCCTGGGGCCCGGCGGCCTCCCCGAGGAGGAGCGGTCAGGCCCACAGGGAAGCAGGAGCTCTGCCCCCAGGGACCCGGGGCCTCCGGCGAGGCCCTGGCTGGGGTGTCGCTGGAAGCTACCGTCCCCCTGGCTTCAGGCCCGTGAGGTGAGACCAGTGGCCAACTGCCACGCGGTCGGAAGGAAGCCTGCTCTCTCTCCCCGCTCCGGGGCCCGTGGAGCCCTTCCTCTCACAGGGACAGGCCGGGACGTCACTCGCCCCCGAGCCCGCGGGCGAGTCTGGGTGCCGGGACTCCCTGCACGCCGCCGCACCAGCAGCAGCAGCAGGGCGCAGCCGGAGACTCCTACCTTGGCCAGGCTCCTCGGCGTGGCCGCCGCCGCCGCCGCGTGGGCCTCTGGACCGGGACCTGGGGCTCGCACGCCGAAGGACCAGCCGCCCAGCCTGGGAACGGCGACCCCAGTCAGCGCTCTGCTCCGGTGGGGGGGGGCGGGGGGGGCGCCTGAAGGGGGGACGGCGCTCCGCCGCCCTGAGGCCCTGGGCAGTCAGGGCCCAGTCTCCCCTCCCCCGGGGCACTCGCTGGAATTTCCCGGAGCAAACTAGACCTTCCGTGGCCTGAAACGTGGCATTTGCCACGAGAGGCTCCCCACGGCGCTGCGGCCTGGCACCCACCGGGGCTGGTCGCTGGGCAGCAGCAGGAACTCCTCCAGGCGGGCGGCCGAGAGGTTCAGCAGCGAGTGGCCCAGGCGGCTGGTCAGCGTGGGGGCGCCGGCGCCGGTGCTGGCGTTGGGGCAGGCCTGCGGTCGTGTCCAAGGGGACCGGGGGGGCTGGGTCAGGGCCCGCCGACACGCAGGGTCCCGGGGCTGCCACACCTGAGGGTGACTCTCCACAGCGTGCAAGCGTCACCGAGTCGCCCGGGCCTCTTACACACCTATTTTCCCACCTACAGTGCACGCTTTTTTGCCCGAATTTTTTGAGACAAAAACGAGGATGCACATCATACATGGGTAGTAACAATTCTGCATCCACATACATGTTTTAAATTCTTTCACGCGTATGCGTTGGAAGTGTGACTCTAGAAAGCAATAACGATATCCGTGTGTTCTCAAATGAACGCTAAAATTCCTTTACAATACAAAACACAGGCATCTCAGTGTGAACAAATGACTGAACTAAAAAATTAAATGATGTTTTCCCTGCAAGTTTGGGCCAAAGCGTGGGTGTGCATTGATCACAGCCAAGCACCGCACGTCCCGACGTCTCAAACCTCCCTGGGCGCCGCCGACCCCTGGGAGTCGCCCAGCACCCCTCTGGGGACCCCGCTGGGACCTCAGGGGCCCGGCTGCCCGCACCTGCGGGCGGAGCTGTGAGGACCCAGGGGGAAACCCTCTCCGCGGGGCCGTCCTACGTCCGGGGACGACCAGCGCCGGCGGAGGGGCCGACTCAGGCAGAGGCCGGTGAGCAGGGGAGCCCCGCGGAGGGGAGCGCGCACTGTCCCGTGTGCTGTCCCGTGTGCTCCTCCCGTCAGGACACGGGCCCTGTGCCCGCCCCGCTCTCGCCCGCTCCCGGAAGGTGCGGGGGAGGCGCTGCACCGGGCACAGCCGAGACCCCGGGGCCGTGACACCTCCCCCGTCTGTCGGCTGGGGCGGCCCCGCGGGCCGCTGATGGGGGACGGACGGGCCTGCGGCTCCGGCTGGTGCCCTCGGAGTCCCCTCGGAGGTGCCTCCCAAGCGGGTCTTAGAGCCAGACCCCAGCGGGCGCCCCCCAGACAGGCAGCCCAGCGGCCGGGCGACAGGGGCCCGCCCTCACCTGCGCTCCCTGGGGGCCCGGCACCGCCAGAAAGCTCAGTGGCCTCTTGGCGCTCAGGCTGCAGCTCTGGGGACGCACACGGGAGGTCACGTGACAAGAGCCTCGTGGGCCTGCCCTGAACCCTGAAACGCTGCGGAGTCCCCCCCCCCGAGGGCGAGTCCCGCGTGCCCGTCCCTAAGGGAAGGTCAGGGCGGGGGGGCGGGGGGCTGCAGGCCCGCAGACCGCCTGCGCCGTCTGGCGCCCCCTCTGGCGGCGGAGCTCTTCCAGCCGCGCCCCACCACGCGTGCTGGGACCCCGCCGCTCCGGCAGTGCACGTGGTGTCGGCATCGCCGCCCCTCGAGGCTCAGCCTCACACGCAGCCGGGCTGCCGCAGAACCCACCGGACAGCCACAGGAAGCCGGGGCGTGGGGGCGGAGAGGCGGGTCCGAGCGCCAACAGGAAGGGTCCTTCCTGCAGAGAGGACACAGGGGCGGAGACGGCTCAGGCGACAGGGCCGCCGGGGCGGGCCCCGCGGGTGAGCACCGACCGGGCACCCCGCAGCGCCCGGCTCCCATGTGCGCCTTCCCGGCGGGCTGCCGGCCCGACAGCCGTGTCCCCGACGAGACAGGAGTCCCTGCTGGGTGGGTGGCGCTCTGCTGCCGGGGAAGGGGGGGCCGGGCCCCCCGGGACCTCGCTGGGGCCCTGAGGCTGCCTGTCCCCAACCCGAGCACCTTCCGCAGCGACACGGCCGCGAGTGAGCTCGGGGACTGCTCGTTCCTCCCCAGACACAGCGCCAGGGTGACCAGCTTTCAACGAGAGGCAACGGTTCCGCTCCTGCGCGAGGAGCGGCCGCACCCCGGCAGGGTCGTGAGGACAGCCCGCGGGCGCAGCTCACACCCTCGGGGACCCTGTCCACCCTCATGCGGAGGCCGGGCGTTAGCAGCGGCGGCTGTGCAAACAGAACTCTGGGTGTGCTCTGCTGTCCTGGGCATCCACTCTCCTGCTTTTCCTCTCGGGAGACCAGGGGACGGCCCGTCTCTTTCTGCCAGCGGCTCTGTCGCTGCGCCCACGCTGGGCCGGGCCCCCCGCTCGGGGTCGGGACCACCGTGCCGTCTCCCAGCGTCACCACGCCCTCGCCCCGCTCGCCCCAGTCGGGGCGAGAGGAAAGCACCGCCAGAGAAGCTCTCGCGCAGCTCCAGAAACCACTTTGCGTTCCAGGAGGACGCCAGAGGGAAACGGCGTAATCGATCTGCTGCCGACTCTTCCGCCCCGAGACCGTCAGCCACAGTCCAGCCCGGGGCTGAGGGCCCCGCGGCCGCAGGGCGGAACGGCAGCCACGGATCGGAGAGGCCCCGACACCGCAGCGCGGCCGGGCGTTTGCGTCCGTCACCGGGAGACGCGCGCTGCTGCTGCCCTTCCCGCACCGCCGCCGCGTCTTCCTCGCGCCCGGGTGCGCGGCACCCCCCCCCTCGGGCGGGCCTGAGGCCGGGCCCCCGTTCTGGCCGGCCCCCCACCCCAATAGCCCCGCAGCGCCCGTGACCCCGCAAAGCACGGCCGAGCAGAGCGAGAGGGGGAGTCCGTGAAGGAAGACGCGCCGTGTGGAGTTTTCGTTGAAAGGTCGTCTCTACTCGATCCTGGTCGTCCGGGAGAAAACATCCGGAGGAGCTCGCTCCCAGGCCGAACCTGCCCAACCCAACCTGCCCACTGGAGCCCCTTCAGTTAAAAACAGACGTTGCCGCCGGCTCCTCACACGCTCAAGCTCCCCCTGCAGGTGGGCCGCGGCCCGCACACGCCCCGGGTCCGACTGCACCCGGCGTCCGGCTCTGGGCTCTATCTCAGCACCTGGGCGCTGCCGACCACCGACCACTGACTACCGTGCGTGGTGATGACACAGACCCCGCGTGCACCGAGGGCGGGAGGGGACCCCGCGCGGCGAGCCCGCCCCCACGCGGAGGGCCCCTGCGGGAGCCTGAACCAGCACAGACGGCGGCGCCCGCCCAGCAAGGGCGACGGCACTTACGGGTCCGGGTCTGGGTCTCCGCCGGCGCAGAGCAGCCCCTCGGCCCCGAACGCCCGCAGCAGCACCTGGGCCAGCTCCCCGTCCTCGCTCCCGCCGCCGCCGCCGCTGCCACCGCTGCTGCCAGGAGACAAAGGACAGGCCGTGGGGCTGCAGGCACCGGCCGAGAGCACAGCCCGTGTGCGTGGGGGACCCGGACTGGCAGGGACGCCGAGACGCCCCTCAGAGGCGCGGTCCTGCCCCGCAGACGTGTGCTGGGTACACACACACGTGCACATGCGCCCGCACACACACACACACACACACGCCTTCGCAGCGAGCTGCTCTCCTCCTCTTCCCGCTTCCCGCTCCGATGCCGCCGGCCTCGGGCTCCCGCGCGGCTCTGACCGTGGGCTTCAGAGGCCGCACAGCGTCGCAACGAGCCGCCGCCCCGAGCTCTGTGCGGACACCCTGCTGGCGCCCGTGCTCCGGCCGGGTCGGGCTCTGGGTTCTGTGGCGCCCTCCCCCAGCGCCCCGCTCCCACGTCAGAGGAGCGAGACCCCAGCAGCAGCGTGAGGGCGTCCTGTGCGGGTCCCTCCGGTGGCGGGACTCGCACTGCTCTGAGCTCTGGCCCGGAGCCCGCAGGGGCCGGCCTCGCGCGGGGACAGGAAAGCCGGACGTCTCTCTGCAGGGGGCGTGCAGGCGCAGGCTGTGGCCCCGAGCAGCCGCGGGTGGGTGGCTCTGTGGAATGCACCGCCTACCTGCTTCTCTAAACCCCAAGAGTCTGGAGCAGACCCAGGCCCCTCCCCCCCGCCGCTCCAGCCGCGGGCCAGTGGGGGCCGGGCCCACTGCCCCTCAGCCAGTGTCACCACGTTCTCCCTCCCCCAGGGACCGGGTGGCCCTGGGGGCGGGAGTGGAGGCCAGGCCCGCCACGTTGGCCCTGAGCACCGGCCTGGCGGAGCCCGAGCTCCCCAGGGGCCCCCGTGCACGCAGATGTGCGGGTGACGAGAACACGCGTGTGCGGGGAGCTCTTACAAGCACCCATGCTGGGGTGGCACGTCCTCCATCTGACACGATTTCAAAGAGAAAGCAAAGGCCCCTCCCCAAAACAGTCTCTTACCTGAAAAAGGACGCTTCGGCCCCCTCGTGGTGGCCAGGGCTCAGCCGGAGGGGCGGGAACGCGACGGCCAGAGGCCGCACCATGAACAAGCCCATGGCCACGGCCACGAAGAGCACGGGCAGCAGCAGGTCCGCGAGCGTGCCGCCCCAGGCCCGGCGCGCGTGGCGCAGCCGCTGGGCCAGCAGGGCGGCCGCCTGGGCGAGGGTGCCGGCCGGGGCGCCGTCTGCGGGCGAGAGGGCCGAGCCCGAGTCACGCAGGAGCCGGCACCCCTGGTCCCGCGACCCCCCACCCACGGTCGGTGGCCCGGGGGCGGCTCCGAGCCCAGAGATGCTCTGCACGCTGGGGGCGGGGGGTCCCTGGAGAGCCCCGCACAGCAGGTCACGCTGGGGCGTCAGCGGCAAGACCGACTTCCAGGGTGGCCGGCGCCCGGGTTCCGAGGGCACGGCCGTGTGTCCCTTCCACGGCCGACAGGAGCCCGCCCCACGCCCGCCCCCACGCAGCGGTGGCCCGGAGCCCAGGCGCAGTGAGGCCCTGCGGCCGCGGGGAGCACATGTCAGGGGGGCTCGGCAAGTCTGCGGGGGGCGGCCCCACTCTCGGGGGGAAGATGAGTCCCCCCCCGCCTCCCCACCCGGGCTGGTCGGGCACGAAGGGGAAAAACAAAGGGCTGAGAGAGTGCACAGCCACGAATCAACACCAATCAAATATTCATGGCCAAACTCATAAACGTATTCACATGAATAATTTAACAGACACAATTAAAATGCTGAACCAAATTGTTATGAATTGTCTCGTTTGACTTACGAGTGCAATTACACTCAGGGATTCTGGTCGCAGCCACCACGAGGCGTCCCCGCGTGCCCCGACCGCGAGACCGCTCAGGGAACGTGGGCAGAGGTTCCCGTGTCGGCTGGGCGGCTCCCGCTGTCAAACACCAGTGCGGGGTGACTCAGCGCCGGCGGGAGGCGGCTCCGAACGCGAGGGCCCAGCGCCAGCCGCCGCACGCCAGCCCCACAGCCCCACAGCCCCCCAGCCCGGGCGCCTTCCAGGCGGAGACCAGCCCGAGCGGGAGACCAGCCAGCGGCGAGCACAGCGCGCACCCGGGAAACCGTCCACAGAACAGCCAGCAGCCCCGCCCACCAGCAGACCCCAGCCCAGCTCGGGCTCCGCCAGAGAGGACGTCCGACGAGACGGCCCGCCCCATCTCCCGGGACGCCACAGCGAGGCAGCGGAGGCGGCGGAGACGCCGCGGCGTCCGACCCGACCAGGGACGCGTGGAGCCAGCGAACACGGCCCGCGGGGAGCTGCGTTGACCTGCCCCGGGAACCAGTGCGGCTACACACGCACTGACGTGGGGACCCTCGCACCGCGTCGCAGGTGGACAGAGCAGCTTGAGACGGGGCGGGTCATCTTTTTAAGGGCGGGGCAGGGGCGACTGGCCGAAGAACACGCCTGGACGACCAAGGCCACGGACGGCCTGTGGGGACAGCTGGGGCGGCTGGGTGGAGGCCGGCAGGGGGGGAAACGGGGGCGACTGTCACAGCGCAGACGATGACACTCAGTAACAGGAAGCGAGGAGCGTCTGCAGGACTGGACACACCGAGTGGGGGAGGGACACTGTGTTTCAGCAGAACAGAAACTCCAGGGTTGACGCGTGCAGTGTGTGAGTGCGGGGACACACGCACACCAGACGAGCGGAGTGTGCCGCACAACCGCACACGCGCAGTGAGCGTGACTCACTGAATGCACTAGCGTTAAACTAGGAAAACTCGCATTTTGGCGTATGTCCTTTCAGGGAAAAGGTGTCTTTTACGCAGCAACTTCTGTGCTCTCGGCCACCTGACCGAGTGAGGGAGACCAGCGGGCCCAGCGGGTGCTGCGGGCCGGCGGGCTGGCCAGGTGCAGGGGCGGGGGTAAGGGGCGCAGCACAGGGGCCGTGCAGAGCGACGCGCCCGCCCCGCTGGACACCCCAGAGCGGAGTGCCCCCATGCACCTGGAGGCCCCCGGCCCCCTGTGCTGACCACCAGGGGTGCTGTAGACTCCAGGGGGTGGCACCGCCAGCCGAGCAGGCCCGTGGGTGGTGACCGCCGCCCCCGCCTGGGTCTGGAGGCGGTGACAGACGAGGGCGGCTGAGTGCGGGAGGGAGGTTCCCTTGTGCGCTTCTCAGCTGAGCCGCGAGCGGGAAAGCGCTTGAAAACAATCACGTCTGCTGTCAAAGGTCAGAAAGGGAACTGAACCGACACTGCTGGGCGGCGCACAGCTGGTCATCAGACCCCTGAGAAGACGGCCCACGTCACCACTTACGAGGAGAGCGTCCGCCGAAGCCACAGGGCCACCCACCCCGACACGCGCGTACGTGGCTGTGACCACAGAGACGGAAGCCCAGTGCGAGAAGCGCAAGACCGGGCGGCCGTCTTCGGCCTCCTGGCGTTGCAGACCGGGAGGCGGCCCGTGTGACAAGCCAAGTCTGGGCCCAGGACAGAGCGGTCGCGCCCGCACACGGTCGTTTGGGCCCGGCAGGGCGACACTCAGGGCCTCGAACCGCCCCGCCCCGCCCCCAGCCCCTTTCCCGCCGGGGGCGTGTCCTCACCGGGCGCGTCCCGCCCGCCCGCCCGCCCACCCGCAGACACGCAGCCAGCCCCCTGCACTCACCGTGGCGCCTGGGGCCCCGCCCCGGAGGCCCGCGGCTGCGCGACTCGGCCTCCGCCCCGGCGGCAGCCTCGGCTTGCTGTCCGGAGCCTTGCGAAAGCGCCAGGAACACCTGTTGGAGAACAAAACGCGAAGACGGTTCCACAGCCCAGGACGCTCCTGTCACGCTGCCCTTCTGGGCCCTGGCTGCCGCGGTCGGGGCGGTGCGCCCTTCCCTTGGGCGTCCGCGGGCTCCGCGGGGCTGCGAGGCCGGTTCCTGGCGGGCGGCGTGGGGCTGCTCACAGGACGTGTGGACCCGACCGTGACCCTGAGCGCGCGGGGGAGACGCGGGGTGCGGGGAGCCGGCGCTCCCCACGGTCTCGGCCCCCGCCCACCCCAAGTCCCCGGGTCCGGGGGATGGCGAGGCTCAGCCGGCCGCGTGCCGCGGGCGCCACCCCGTGGCGGCGGACCCTCACTGCAGGCACGCGCCCCGGAGGCCGCGAGAGGCTGGGGCTGTCCCACCGCGAGGAACCGGGAAGGGCCAGAACAGCAGGGAGGGCCTCCTTTCGCGCCAGCCCCTGCCTCCCGAGGTTGGCTTTTTGGTGGCGGGTGCCCGAGCCTCCGCTTCTGTTGGGGTGCAGCCTGGCAGGCACCTCGTGCCCACTGGGGGCGGGACAGACAGGCTCAGGCCCCAGGGGAGGAGGCGGCGAGACCCACCCCCGCCTGTGACGGGCCGCCGCGTGCCAGCCGGCGCGCCTCGGCGAGGACGCGGCAGGGGCCCCGCCGGGGCTGCGGGCGGGGACACGCGCGCCCAGAAGACAGGCGCTCCCGCGGGCCGACAGCCCCCCGGCCGGAAGGACGCGCGCGACCCGGACACCTGAAGGGCCCGCGAGGTCCGTCCGCACAGCTCCTCGTCCTCGCACCCGGCTCTCCTCTCGCGAGACCGCCAGGCCCTGCCCCCGGCCTGGGCTCGAGCTTCTCCCGTCCGAGACCCGCCCTCGACCCCCGAGTGCATGCGGGGGCGGGGGGGCACCCGAGCCCACACACCACCACCCCCCGCTGTCACCAGGCCCCTCCTGACAGAGACACAGGGGAGCCCACCGAACAGGCAGTGACCGGGGAAGAGGCGGCAGCCGCTGGGGCTGGCGACCAGGAGGAGATCCAGAGTCACTCCCTGGTGAGGACGGGAGGGGCGGGCCGTGGGGATCGCTGGGCCTCCGCTCGGGGGAGCTGTGCACCTGACCCGGCCCTAGGAGGGTCTGTGAGGCCCACCGCGGCCGCACGCCACTGGCAGCCCCACCCGGGGCTCAGACACGGTGCACGAGCGCCCCCACGCCCCAGGCGGCTGGGCTCCTGGCACACCCCCCACACACACACACACCCAGCACCCCCCAGGTCAACACCGGCCCTTGCCCCGGAGGAGACAGCGGAGATCGCGTCCTGAGGCTGGTGACGCCCATGGTCACGCCTCACAGCCACTCCCCGCGCCGGCCCGGCGAGCCCCGGCGAGGCGAGGGCAGAGCCGGCGCGCAGCGACTGCAGCCTCGCTGGCTGTGGTCGATACCAGGCAGGCGGTGGGAAAGTCGATACTCGCCGGGTAGAAAGGACAAAATTGGGTGAGATAGTTATTTTATAGACCACGCCACACAAAAGAAAGCTTTTTAAAGCACTTAATCTCTTTCCAATTTAGGATTTCTCGAACAGACCCAAATAGGCTGCGTTCTGCGCAGCTCAGGGCCCCCCTGGGGGTTGTCCTTCACGGGCCGACCTCTCCGTCAGCCCGTGCGCCTGCGGGGAACAGGGCGCGGGGGACCGCGACCGGCGGGCGTCTGTTCAGCGCCCGCTGCGTGCGTGCAGAGCGTGAGCCCACACGGCGCCGGGAACCCCTGCGAGACCCCGGAGCAGCGCAGGAAGCTCCACGGCGGCCGGGCAGCCGCTGCCGCGGCGGGCGAGGGGCTCCCGGGGGGACTCACGCGGGGACACACGCCGGGGCCAGCGTCTGCGGAGACGCCGGCTGCGCGGAAGGGCCACAGTGTGGACGGCAGGAGCGCCAGACCCCGTGTCTTCCGTGCGGGTGGCTCCCTGGCCCCACGCGCGTGTCGGCACCGACGGGAGTGGATTCCGCCTCGCGCAGCCTCACGAGCGAATGCCCCCCACGGGGCGCAGGGCACGGGGGACGGAGGCCTCTCCGAAAGCCACGTGGACGGGGAAGCAGAGCAGTGACGGACACCACGCCGGAAAGGAGAGGTCTCGGGGCGCAGCGGGAAGAGTTTCAGAGACCACCCCACGACGACGCGGCCCCCGAGACGTGAAAACACGGGGGGTCAGCGGTGCAGGGCGGCCTCGCGGCTGACGCCACAACGCACGCGGGGGGGACGGCGCGGCGACACCAGCAGGCCAGCCCCGGCGAGACCGCGGCTCTGCCGCCCGCACCGGGTCGGTCCCCACGCGGCCCCTCAGCCCCAGTGAGGACAGGCCACCCGCCGGCACCCGCTGCTGACAGCGGTGGCACATTGGGCGATTCCGGATCGGACACCGCCGTTCTCGCCCTTGAGGAGCCCCGGCCACCTGCCAGGTGCGTGAGTCCCGCCTGGTGCCCGTGCCTGACACCCGTCAGGGCCGGAGACGAATGGGAACGCAGGAGTCTGCACCCCTCCCCACGCCGCACCCACAGCCCGGCCCCAGTGGACGGTGACGACGCACCAGCGACAAAGCCGCTGGAGCCCCGGAGCCCCGTACCTCCTCCAGCGTGGGGTCCGAGAGCCCGCAGCCCGTGAGGCCCAGGCGGTGCTGGTGCTGCTCCAGGGCCTGGAAGAGCCCCGTGAGGCCGGCGTGGTTGGCGTCCGGGGGGACGGCGTAGCTCAGCTCGCGCCCACGGCTGTGTCGGAGGCGCGCCCGCGGGACGTAGGTCTGCACCAGGGACGTGGCGCACGCAGTGTGCTCCCGCTCGTCCGCCTCCGGGACGGAGGGCTGTCCAAACAAACCCAAGACCGGCAGCGGGTGTGAGTCCAGGCCACCATCTCCCCGGCCCCCACAGGGAGACACCCCCCGCCGAGGATCACCTGTCTCGTGAGCGTCAGGCGCAGGCCCCTGCCGCAGGCCTGGGCCAGGCAGAGGGGGGGCCCGCAGCCCCGCAGCCGGCCCTGCTGCAGCAGGGCCACGCGGTCGCTGAGGGCCTCCGCCTCGTCCAGGTGGTGGGTCGTGAAGATGATCGTCCGGCCTGTGTCCCGAGAAGGGGGCGTCAGCACTGGCGTGGGGAAGGCCCGGGGGACCCTCCAGCGGTCCTTCAGCGGGCGCCCGGGAGGCGAAGCAAAGGTCGCCGCCGACTTCAGAGCACAGACACCGGAGCCCTGCCCTCGGGGCTGACGCAGCTTCTGCCGCCCCACCTCGCTCGGACCCGGGGTGCCCCGACACGCGCAGAGGGTGAAACCGAGGCACCTGGCTCGAGCCCTGGGTCCTCCACCCGCTCTCTGGGACCCAGTCCACGGAGCAGATGCCCCGGGGGCAGCCCTGTGTGCCCCGACACTTGGGTGCCCTCGCCACCTGCAGGCCACAGCCTCGGGGTCACACGAGGAGGGTCTTCTCCGGGCGCGGCTGTCACACAAGAAGACGGGGCGGTGCTGAGCTACGTGACAGCAGGAGGTGGCGGTGGCACATGGGAGGGCCTTGAGGACCGGGGGGGGGGGGTGCCGCTGTAGGACCCACTCGTCCCGCGTGGTGGGGGGCAGTGGGCGTGGGCGCAGAGCACGCTCTGGGGGGTGGCCAGGGCGGGGCCGCCCCAGGGAGACGCCCCCTGGGCCTGGCAGAAGCCACGTCCCCCTCGAGGGTCCTCTGGGAATTCCGCCACCACGTCAGGTCTCACTGCCTTGGCGGGGGGGGGGGGGGTTGTGGGGGGTGGCGGGACCCGCCTCAGGAGGACAAGGCCGGACGCCGGAGGGTGTTTGCGTGAAGCTCAGGGCCTCTACGCAGAGGGCCTCGTGACGGCGGCCACCGTGATCCCCACTGGCCAGCCGACGGAGAGCCCGGGCCCTCAGACACAGAAGGGACCTCACCTGGAACGGGAATCTCCGCGGGCGGAGCCCGTCTGTGACCCCACTCGAGTTTGTGTGTTTAAGGGAGAGAGAGGCGAGGAGACCAGGCGCGTCTAAACCGAGAGCCCGGGTGGGGCCGGGGGCAGCCGGCGGGGCCCGGGGACCCCCCAGCCCCAGACGCCCCGGAGACCTCGGCCGCCTCTCCTGCACACGCCCTTCCGGGCTGGAGCGGCACGGCCCCGCCCTGGCCCCGGGGCCGCGGGTGTGCACTGCGACCGTGCTGCCCGCTGTCCGGGCGACACCTGCCCAGAGGCACGAGCCGCCAGAAGGGAGGCCCCAGCTGGGGTCTCGACCCCCGAGGAGCGTGGACACTGCTCTCGGGTTCGTCCAGCACGGCTTCCACCAGACGTGGGGGGCGTGGGAGGACGCGGGTCCCCGCGGGCCCCGCCGCCCTGCGCCTCCGCACAGCCCGCGCCCTCTCCCGGAACCACCCGCAGCGGGCAGGGCGCCTGTGCCACCCGCAGGGGGGACCGAAGCCGGAGGAGCTGGTTTCCCTGCGCCCGGCCTGCGCCCTCAGGCGCCCGCCCGCCTGGGAGAGGAAGCTCCACCCACACGGCACCGGCAGAAGCACACCCACGTCTCCGGGCGGGCTGAGCCGTGCACAGGCGGCCCCACGGAGACGCCCCGCCCACGCAGCGGGGACGTGGGCCCCACTTCTCAGAGCAGGTGCGGGCGCCGGTCCCGGGACCGCCACGTGCTCTCACTCTCGACGACCCTCTCCCTCCGCGAGCTGCTTCTCCGAGGGGCTCCCACCGGGGACCCCGCACCTCGGCCGCGCCGGGCGTCTCCAAGGGCGCCTCCAGGCCAGCGTCCGCGCCGACCCGCCCGGACGGCGGGGAAGGGCTCGCCCGCCGCAGCAGCAGGACGCGCACGAAGCCGCCCGCCCACCACCCCTGAAGTCCGGGGACAGGAGGGTGGCCCCTTCCTGTCCCTCCTGCGTCCTCCTCCCCCTCCTGCCCCAGCTCCTGCGCGGCTTCCAGCGACAGACGGGCAGCCTCCCCCAGCCCCGGGAGGGAATCTGAGGAGCCAGTCCTCTGGGAGCCACCAGGGGGCAGGGGCTTCCTTCTGGTCCTCTCTCTTGCCGACCCCGATCCCCCAGCCAGGGCAGCTTCCGGTCGAGTGGGGAGGAGGTTCTGGACCCAAGAGGCAGGAGAGCACCGCACGCCGCCTTACGCGGCTCTGCAGTGCCCCCCGGTGGAGCAGTGCGGAGCTGCGCACCAGGCCCGGCGTGTGTTTCCAGACCGGGGTGTCTGCGTGAGACCTGCACCTCGCGGCCAGCATCCCGCCGGCTGGCCGCTGCCGCCCGAGGCCCGGCGGGAGGACACTGCAGTGCAGTGAGCAGTGACGGCCCCCCGGCCCCCGGCCCCCCGCGCATGAACCCCCGTGGCTGGCGCCCCCTCTGCACCTCGGCCTGCCCCTGGAGGAGAGGAGGGCCTGGCCCAGGGTGGCATCGGAACGCCCCTTGGGACACCCTGGGCTTCCACAGCGACTGACCGGGTGGACGGTCACTGTCGACCGGGCCACGTGCAACAAGCGTGGACACCGCCCCTGCCGGCACCGGGGCAGACGGGCCCCGAGCGGCGAGTCCTCCCGCTGCAGACGCCGCGCCCGACACACCCCCGCCACAGCCCCGGGGAGAACCCCTCTCGGACAAGGTCATGTGTCCGTTCCCACTCGGGCTTCCCCCGCCGCCCCCCGCGGCAGGACGCTGGGCCAGAGCCGTGCCCACCTTGCCGGTGCCTGAGGAGGAAGTCCCAGATGCCGCGCCGGGAGCAGGGGTCCACCCCGCTGGTGGGCTCGTCCAGAACCACGGTCCTCGGCCCGCCGAGCACAGCGGCGCCAATGGAGAGCTTCCGCCTCAGGCCCCCCGAGAGGGCGCGGGCCTGCTGGTGCCGGTGCTGCTCCAGGCCCACGTCCCGCAGGGTTCTGGAACGAGAGCCGGCCCGTGCTCGTCCGGGCCCCTCCGAGTGCCGCGCGGTGGGGGCCTCCCCTCCGTGAGATGGCCGCCCGGGACCAGGGGCTTTGTGAGCCCGGGGGCAGGCGGGAGGCCTGCAGCCACCCCCACCTCGAGGTCTGAGGGGACCCGGCCACCGCTGCGCACCCTGCCGGCGGGGCCACCACACGCTGGGGTTCGGAAAGCCCACAGGCGCGCCCCTCGCTGGAGCCCGCTTGTCGCGGACTCCCCGCTGCCCCAGCCCTGGCGTCCCGGCGGAGGCGGTGGTGGCCCGGGAAGCCCGGAGGGGAAGGCGGGGCCCAGCTGCAGCAGCCGGACCCCGTCAGCCCCGCCCTGACCGCAAAGCTGTGCTCAGTGCAAACGGCCAGCTGCCGAGACCGCCCGGCTCTCCGGCGCCGAGGGCCCCACACCCCAGGCGCCCAGCAGGGAGCAAGCCCCCACCTCAAGCGCCACTCCTCCGCGGTCCCCCCCTTCTCTCACACAGGATGGCCCGCCCCCTCCATGGGGGGGCCGTCCACTCTGCCCCGCCCCGCCCCTGCTCCCCCCCCCCCCCCCAGCTCAGGCCTCCCGCAGGGCTGAGAACGCACTCCCGTGCTGCCTTCCCTGAAGCCGTCTGAGCACGGGACCTGGAGGGCCCCCCCCTGCCCCCCGCTGAGCTCCCGCTTGCCCGCCGGCACTCAACGGGCCGGAACTGGATGCGCGCCCCAGAAAGTTCCAGAAGCCCAGACGAGGACTTGGGCAAAACTCAAAGACTGGCCACATGCGTGCGGAGTCGAGGCCCCACGTCTGTCCCGTGGCGAGCGGGCTCCCGCCCGGGCCCAGGGAGGGCTTCCCCCACCGCCCCGCCCCGGCACTCGGCCACCGGGCAGGTCTCGGCCCGGGCGCCCCACTGCTGACGACACCCCACCTGGGCAGGTGGTCGGGGACCCGGCGTCAGGCCCCGCCACGAGGACCTCGCTGCCCCCAGATGGAAGTGGCTCTGACGGAACGCGGGCCGGGGCCGGGACCGTGTCTGCTGGGGGCGACGCAGGCTGTGCCCCGCCGGTCGCCCCTTGGAGACTGGTGCCGCTTCTCAGAGCGACGGCGCGGCCACCGAGCACAGTCAGCACCCGCCCGGCGACCCGCATGTCTGCCGCCACGGGCACGGGGGAGACGAGGCGGCGGGGGCCGGGGGCCTGGGGGGGCAGGGGCAGCTCTGTGGGGGGGTGACAGGCGGCGGCGGGAATGCACAGCAGAGGGGGCGGAGCGGCTGCGTGGAGGGCAGGGTCTCGCGGTGCAGCACTGTTTGAGAGGCGTCGCTGGGTCTCCGGGAACAGGACCCAGGTGCGCGAAGGGAGTGGCACCTTGAAGACTCGTCCCCGTCCTCACCGTGGGGCTGGCGGCACAGGCGGAGTTCCGCCACTGAGGGCAGAGCGCCCACCACCCGCACACTACCACCCCCCCCCCCCGGGCTCAGGGCAGGCCCGTCCCCACGACAAAACCCACGGGCAGGGTCCAGCGCAGCAAACAGCGGGAGCGGGAGGGCTTGTGCCCCCCACCCCCACCCCAGGGGTGTGCACACCGCTCACGCGCCGCCCTGGGGCGAGGAGAGCAGCAGTGCTGGCACAGGACCCAGGCTCCCCACCCCCACCCCCACCCCCGCCTCCTCTGTGCCACCCCCACCCCCCGGCCCACCCTCCCCGCTCGTCTCCCGGAAACGCCACTTGGCCTCATCACCGGCGACCTCCGCTGCCCCTCGTCCCCCTGCTCTAAGCTCCTTCCTGTCCCCAGTGAGACGGAGACTCGCATCCCCTCCCGCCCCCCCCAGTCAGCTCCTCCTCCCGCCCACGCCCCCCCCACCCCTGCCTCTGGGACACACCCCCAGCCCGGACATCGCCCCCCGCCCCTCGCTCCCAGGGGCAGGTCTGCAGCCGCCCTGGCAGCGGTCTCTGCTCTGGTCACAGGCGCGCGTCCTGGTCCCGGCCAGGTCCCCCTCCTGCAGGACGGCGCCCCCACCCCTCGGCTCCTCACTCCCAGCCCCCGCCCCCCCAACCCCCGCCACACGACTCATTTCAGGGCTCCCACCTGCACCCGCATTCCCAGGCACCCTTCTGCCAGCAGCCCCCGCCTCCTGCCCACCAGAGCGCGCCTGCCCCCACCTCAAGGGCAGGTCGAGGGCCCAGCCCCCGGGGGCCTGTCCGGCGACCCCGGGGTGGCAGGCAGTGTCGCGAGTCCACAGCAGAGACCCATGCGCTCACTTTCCTTCCCACAGTCAAGGCTCTGACAGGCATCCCCTCGTCCAGACGGGCAGGACAGGGCACCGAGGGAGGGGACTGGCACTCACGCGTCCACGTGCCGCTGCCGCTCCGCCGCGGCCCACTGCGGCGACCTGAGGGACGCGAAGAGCAGCAGGTGCTCCCGGACGGTGAGGCGGTCGAGCAGGACGTCCCGCTGAGGACACACCCCCAGCTCCCTCCTGACCGCGGGCAGGTCCGTCTGCAGGTCCCGGCCATCGACGAGGATGGTGCCAGAGGTGGGGGCCTGCAGCCCCGTCAGCATGGACCTGCAGCAGGGGCAGCGGGTCAGCGGGGACAGCGCCGCCACACAGCGCCCTGCTCTCCATCGGGGGTCGGGGCGGGGGGTCGGCGGGGGGCAGGAGCCCAGCGGCGTTGGCCCAACCTCAGCGACGCGGGCTCGGGGCGCGTTCCCACCCCTGGGACACGCGGGGGCCGCAGGGCAGCGCGGCTGCACCGCGGTCTGAGACCGCGAGAATGCCGCGCTCACGGACGCCGGAGCCACCCAGGCCCGAGGGGGGGGGGGGCTGCCGCGTTTCCCCCTCCGTCTGTCCTTCTGTCCTCGCCGCGAGCCTCCCGGCGCTGCGTGTGCGTACAGAAGGGAGGGCCGTTCTCGCTTTCCAGCGCAGCCCGCTGCGGGGCCGCTCAGCCGGGCCGCCGCAGAACAAAGGCAGCAGGCGCTGCCACAGGTGAGCCCCACGGCCACCCGAGGGCCGGCCTTCACAGGCCTGTCTCCCGGGGCAGCGGGGGCTGCCCCCCGGGGGCCCGGGCTCCCTGGTTCCCTGGCATCGCGGGACTGGACTCTCTCACTGAACTGGGAGCCTTTGGGTCCTGAACCAGACACTCAAACCTTAAAGCACAGGCAACCCCACAACACCGGGGCTCGAGGAAAAACCGAGTCAGTGCTCAGAACAGCACAGACGTCGTTCTGAATCTCATCCTCCCGCAGAAATGCGGGCACAACTAAACGTGGGGGGGAAACGGGAAAGGTCGTAAGACTTCCAAAGGTTAAGGCGACAGCAGGTGAGTTATTCGTAGGGATAAAGGAGTTCTGAAGGTTTCTGAAACCCACCTGACTGCCCCCCACCACGCCGGCTCCAGACCCGCAGGGGACGGCCACTGAGGCCGCGAGAGCGTGGCCTGAGCCTGGGTTCCCTCCTGCCTCTGAGCGGCCGGCGCCGGAGCAGAAAGGGATCCCCCCACGGCCCCCCACCCCCACCCCCGGTCTCCGGGGGAAACTGCGCTGAGGGCGGGGCCCCAGGAAGGGGACGCACAGCACGGTGGTCTTCCCGGCGCCGTTGGTGCCCAGCAGGGCCGTGACCTGGTCTCTGTGGAAGGTGAGGGTCAGGTCGCGCACGGCCGCCTGGCGGGGCTGGTACTCCTTGGTCACCGACACCAGGGTGACGCCTGGGGCGCGCTCCTCTCCGGGTGGCGGGGGCGAGCCTGGAGGGAGACACGAGTGCCCGGGAGAGGACGTGCTCACGCCCCGAGTCGTCCTCGGGCGGGAGGACGGGGGAGGGCCCTGACCGCGGTGCACCGGGCCCCCCGCCCGACTTTGTCTGCAGGGGCTCACTCGGGGCAGGAGCCTGGTCGGACTGGCTCTCAGCGACCAGAGCAAACTCCCAGGCGTCCTACCCTGGACAGCGGCCCCGAGATGGCACACGCAGGAGCCGGCGGGTCAGCGGTCGCGGCCACACTGCAGCAGCTGCCGCACCCTTCGGATGGCACCTGACGGCTGCACCCACACCCGGGCAGCGCGTGCAGGCTCTCCAGGAGAACCACCGGCCCCAGACGCCACCGCGCCCCGCCTGAGCGAGGCCTTCCTGGCACCATCCGGCACAGTGCAAAAGTGGCGGGCCCCTTCCTGCAGGCAGGCCGCCTGTCCCAGAACCCTCCCTGCCTCACCCCCCACCCTCCCCCCCCACCCCCCACCCCCGAGCCCCGAGCCCAGACACACTCTTCCCCACGACCTGCCCCCTTTCTCCCCGAGCTCACCGTGGGACGGCCCCGTCGGCCCTGGGAGGGGCCCTGCTGCTGAGGACTGGGCGGGAGCCCCAGCGCCTGGCCCTCCTCTGGCCGCAGGGCTCCACACACCCTTCCTCTCAGGACGACCCTCGGCCTCGAGGTTCCGGGTGTGAGCCGGACCCGCCCACCGCGTGCACGGCCTGCACCGCCCCAGGGGGCTCTCACCACTTGGCCCCGCCCGTCGCCCTGCTCCCGAGCCCACGGTGGCCCGTGCAGGGCCGGGAGACACGCACAAGGTCACGAAGGCGCAGCCAGAGGAAACCCGGGGCCGAGCCCGGCGGAGAGCAGGCCCTGTCCCAGCTGCGGCTCCTCACGAACCTGCAGGGTCCGAGTCCGCGCAGGGCAGGGGCCGGCCAGAACACAGGCCACGCAGCCCCTGGGCCGCCACGCCGCAGGCGCTCCTCCAGTGGGCCGCGGTGAACGGGAAGTACCACGGCTTCCTGACGCCGAAGGTTCCTGGAAAACAGGACAGCGGCCAGCTCAGGCCAGCTTCTCCTCTCCTCTTCTCTTCTTCTTTCTCTTCTCTGCAGCCTCTCCGAGGACATTTTTTCGTTGCTTTTCAAGAGAGAGGAAGAGAGAGAGAGAACCGATGCGAGGGAGGAGCCTTGACGGGCCGCCTCCCATACACGCCCGACCAGGGACCGAGCCCACGACCTAGGCTCCCGCCCTGCGCCGGGATCGAACCCACGACCTTTCGGTGCACACGAGGACACTGCAGCCGCCCGAGCCGCCTGGCCAGGGCGGCCCAGCTTCTTCTCCGCGCAGCAGCGGACCCTGGGGCGGGACGGCCGGCCAACGAGCACGCAGTCTCCGCCGCGTCAGCGGGCTCCACGCACACCCCGCCCACGGCCCAAGGACGGACGGGGACAACCTGGGCCCCCCCACCGCACTCCCAAGGGGGCCTCCGAGCAAGCGCTCAGAGACGGGCAGGGTCGGCTGGCACCGAGAGCAGCCTGGGCAGGCGCCGGGCACTCCCCGAGCGCAGCCCCCCGCCCTGCCCCTGTCCCTGACGTTCGCAGGGACCACCAGGCGCAGGCCGTGGCCAGGAAGGACTTGACCGACCGCAGGCCCATGGAGCAGGGTGGTCTGACCCCTCGTCCGCCTCCTGCCGGCGTCCAGCCCCCTTTATCGCACAGACACACAGACACCACCTCCGCCACTCTGGGCGCAGCCGCAGTGACTTCCCTGCCGCTCCTTCTGCCCCCCAGCGGGACAGAGCCCAGGTCCCTCACGTCTGGTCGGGAGCAGCACTGCCCAGATTGGGTTCTTCAACCAACACCAGGCCAGTCTGCTCCCCAAACACGCCTCCCCCGCTATGTAGCTGTGTGCCCCCCAAACACATGTCTCTTCTTCTTTCATTACATGGGCTAGCATTTTAAAAAAACAAAAATGTAAAATATATAGTCAATTCTTCCAGCTTCATTAAGTTACAGGAAAAGTGCATGATTAAAGCAGAAACGAGAAACAGAGGAAAACGTTGCATAAATCCATAAAAACACAATTTTTTAAACTATTAAGAGATGTGTTCTAAAAATTAGATTTGAGAACTTTGTCATTTTGTTTAGTTTTTATAAGTTTGACTTAAACTCTTATACTGGAAAACACTACCGATTTCTGTTATTCGTGTCTTTGGTTCTAGGAAGGCATTCCCTGTCTTTAAAAATTACACTTGCCCTCCTCACTCCTTACCTGCTGTGACACCTACTTCTGACGAACGTACGAGCAAGTCTAACCCGCTCTCCCTGAGAGACGGTGGACGAGTGCGCCCTCTCCCACTGACCAGAAGTGCACACGGCACCGCGAGGAAACGCCCGTCTACGGGGGGCTGGTCACCGCCCGTCCTCCAGGGGGCCCACCCGTCCCCGCAGGAGGCCCTCAGGGTGCTAACCCCAGCCCGCTCGCAGCACGGCGCCGGCTCAGCAGCAGCCACCACCCGCTGCCGTCACGTCCACTGACTGTCGGACACCATCGCTGACCGGCTCATCTGCCGGGGCCTCTCTCGCTCCCACGGGCACCGCGGTGTGGCGCGACGGCACGCGAGTGTGCGCACCGGTTTTCCAGCCTGTCCTCCCAGCTCGCGAACCGTGGGACTCTCACCGGGAATCAGGCTGCTCAGGTACCACCCACAGAGCAGGTAGAGGCCCGAGTCCAGCAGCAGCACCCAGCACACCGCGCCGAAGGCCATGCCCACCGGCTCCGGGGACTGCTCCACATTGCCCCACTGGACCCCTGCAGGGAGGGAGGGGGGAGGGGGGAGGGGGCCGAGTCAGAGCGAGTGGGGCAGGGGGGCTGGTCAGTCAGCCGACGGCAGCGAGAGCCAGAGGCAGGCCGAGGCCGCGGGCCCGGGTCCTCGGAGGGGCGTCCGCGCGTCAGCCTGGCCCTGGACTCGATGCGGCGGGCAGAGCGACCGTCAGCACCGCAGTATCTCATGCTCAAGTGTTTAGAGCGTGCTTTACTTGGTGTAGAGAAAACAACCGTGTTATAAAAACAAGAAGGCTGGGAAGAAAGAGGAGCTGGGAAAGTGGGCTGAGGTGCTGCAGACGTGTTCCAGTGGGCAATGCCCCGCACACGGGACACGTGTGCACCCGGAGACGGGTTCCAGTGGGCAATGCCCTGCACATGGGACACACGTGTGCACCCGGAGACGGGTTCCAGTGGGCAATGCCCTGCACATGGGACACATGTGCACCCGGAGACAGGTTCCAGTGGGCAATGCCCCGCACACGGGACACACGTGTGCACCCACAGACATGTTCCAGTGGGCAATGCCCCGCACACAGGACACATGTGTACACCAGTTGTGGGACGAGTGTGGAGGGTCACTAAGTCACCGCGGGCGCCGTGGTATCACGAGGACCAGCTGGCGGGCTGACCCAGATGGCGGCTGACCCACGGGCGCACGGCTATTCCTGACTGTGCCCAAAACCAGGGCGACCGGATGCGGGTGGCGGCCCGTCGGCCACGCCCGACACCAGGTCTCGACCCAAAGGCTCGGCTCTGCGAGGAAGACTCTCCACTGCCCCACCTGCCACGGGGCGGCACGTTCCCAAACGCCCGAGCCACCGAGAGTCGCTGCTGGAAGGCGCGCCCCCTCACCTGCCTCCTGCCCTTCCAGGAAGGTGATGAGGAACACGCCCTGCCCAAAGGCCGTGGTGGAGAAGAGGCACTGGGGGGAGGAACAGCAGAGACAGCGGTTAGTGTGCCACGGGCCGCAGGCCCACGGCGCCGCCTCCGAACCTCCCCGCGGAGGAGGGGGCGGTGGCAGCGTCTGCACGGGAGCGCGGCAGCAGCAGCTGGCAGTGCCCCAGGTTAAAAGGAACTCTCTCTCCTTGAGGGGCCCCGAGGGAACCTGTTCCACTTCCAGGGTCGAGGCCCCCACCCCCCTCAGGGAGAAGTCACGGGACGCGTCTCCTGTTGAACGCACAGCGTGCCGGAGCTGGCCGCTGTCCCCCTGGCGCACGAGAAAGGAGAGGAGACCCTGCGGGGTGAGGCCCCAAGGGCGGTCCTCGCCCCTCTCCCTGTGCGGACGCCCGTCTGCGGCCCCAGACGGCCAGGGGCTCCACTTTCCCTGAAATGCAGGACGGGCTCTGGCCCAGAAGCTGGCCACACGAGGGGCACGAATCGCTGGACGAACAGCTGATGGGCCAGGACCGCCCCCCCCCAGCCCCGTGGACCTGAGCGTGCCCACAGTGCCGGTGGGAAGCCTGGGCCGAGGGTGTCCTGGCGCTGGAGGAAAGGACCCGGCTCCCCCAGCGCTGTTTCACCCTATGGCTCCCGACCAGCCGAGAGGGGGCCCGTCCCAACGAGGGAGGGCGCAGCAGCCCCCCCCCCCGCCCCCCAGAAGCTCGCCCGACCCCGGGCAGCAGCGAGCCGGCGCCTGCGGCTCGGCCGGGCTCCTCTCGCCAGCATCCTGCCCCCAACACCCTGGCGCTGCGCCGTTCCTGCTCCGCGGCCAGCATGCACGGCCAGGCCAGGGTCGAACAGGAGCCCCGTCCTCCCCCAGGGTCGAGCGCGGACCTGAGCCGCTCTGACGCTGTCTCGGGAGGTGCTGCACCTTCGATGGGTGAGCGACTCCCACGGACAGGTTTTCCCACTTAAGGTGGCGTGATTCATGGCACTTCAAGCAAAGTGCTTATCTGTCTGCTCCTGGAATAGCCACGGAAACCCGTTTCTCCCCACGCGTGAAGCCAAGAGAAGGAAGTCCTAGGCCCTCCAGTCGACGCCAGCAACTGTCCTGAGAGCCCCCGCCAGACGCACCGCTCACGCGAGCACGGCCCGAGCCCTGGGCCGCCCACCCGCCGGCCCGCTCCTGCGGCAGCGGCAGGGAGGGCCGTGCAGCCCACGCCGCGTGACGGGAGCCGCACGCTGCCAGGGGCGGGCAGCAGCTCTGCCTGCTCTGCCTGCCCTGCCCTGGAGACTCCCGCCCGGCGGCCGCCTACCAGACAGGCCTGTGCCGCGGCGCCCAGCCGGCCACGCAGCACCAGCAGGACGACGTAGGGCAGGAAGCTGGTCACGTAGAGCAGGCTGCTGCAGAGGGCGGCCGTGCTCGCCCGGCGGAAGAGCGCGCTCAGCAGGTAGCTCAGCGCGGTGACCGACACCCCGAAGTCCAGGAGGAAGAGGAAGACCAGGAGGGCGTCGCTGTGCGCGAAGATGCCGCTGGCCTTCAGGGCGACCGCCAGGACGGCGCTGCCGACCGCCGCCACCGCCACGTTCTCCAGGAACCAGGCCAGGAAGTGGGTGCCAGGGTGCACCCCCATCATGCTCAGGTACTGTGGGGGAGGGGCGGGAGCGCCCTGTTAGCCCGGGGGGCAGGGGGGTTGTGCTCCCGGACAAGCGGACAAGCTCCCGGCCCCCACCCCGCACTCCTCGGGGCAGCAAGCCCCACGGGAGCGGATGACCTGAGCCTGCCGCCTCCCGGCCTCACTCTCCCGCAGGCTAAAGGGGGAGGCAGGTTTTTCCAGAAGCTTCCGCAGACTTTCTCTCTGAACGGCAGTGTGGACAGTCTGCGCGTTAACGGTGTCAGGGCGACAGCACACAGGCTGCGCTTGCAGAGCCCCAGCCGAAAGTCGTGACGGCGGCCGCCGTGTGTCTCTGGGGGCTTCCTCCCGTCGCCATCACCGTCTCGTGCGGGAGGACGAGCCTGCTCTCGGCCCAGCGGGTGTCACACCCCCCAGCGACTCCCCCCGCCCCGGACAGCCCAGCAGGGGACGGCAGAGGAGGCCCCGTCCAGGGCGAGCTCCAGGGCTACTCACCCCGTCCAGCTGGATCTCCCTCTCGCGCACCAGCTGCCGGACCGTGCTGGCCACGGACACCACCCAGGCCAGCATCAGGATCAGCGGGAAGAAGAAGCCCACCTTGCTCAGGAACCTGGGGCACAAGCCAGGGCACGCCTGAGGGCCGCCCCGGTGGCCCCGCTCCGAGTCGGCCGCGGTCAGCCTCGCGAGGCCCTCACGGGCGGGGAGCGCTGCCAGGGCCCCGCCACAGCACGGGGCCGCCCCCGCAGGCCGGGGGCTGGGCAGGGCGGGACGCTCTCTGGGCCCAGGTCACCGCCCCTGCAGACGCCCCAGGTCCCTTGGGCACACCGCCCCCGTGGTCTCCGGCACCCCCCTCGGCAGAGCACCCCCATGGGGATGGCCCCTTGCACACACAGGGCGTGCGACGCAGGCAGGGAGCACGCCGGAAGGTCCTGCACTGAGGGGGCGGGGGGGGGACACTAACGACAGAGACAGACAGAGCGTGGCCCGCACAGAAATGGCTTTGCCAGCGGTGGGGACGGATGCTGCTTCCCACGGGGCGGCTGGCCAGGCGCCCGGGGCAGGCAGGGCAGCTCAGGAGAGGGACCACTTCCCTGCCTTTGACACCGGGGGGGCCTGACCGACCGGCACCCGCTCCCCGGCCAGGACGGCGCCCACGGCCTCTGCCGCGCTCGCATGAGCACAGGAAGGGCAGGGACCTTCAACACGAGGTTTCTCCACCCACCCCCAGGCCGTGTCGCCACGGGATTAAGCATGTCAGGCCCCCCCATCAGCGAGCCAGGGCGGGGGCAGGGAGGAGCACCCCGGGGCTCGGAGCTCCGAGGGTAAACAGAAACCTCAGCCGAGAACAAGGCTGTGGCCACACAGAGAGGCAGGGCGTCCCGTGCGACCCCGGAGACAGTCCAGGAAAAGAAGCGACGAAGATGTGCATGTGGGGAGGCCCCCTCGCCGTCCGGTGTGCGTCCTGCCGGGGTGTTTTCAGGGATGGGAGCCTGACCCCTGAGTGTGAGTTCCCGTCGGCCCTCCGCTCTGGGCTCCCCCAGCGCCGACCAGACCCGGGCGCCACGCGCTCAGAGCTGCCCCTCACCCCCGCGCAGCCCCGCCCAACAGCCCCCCCCCCCCCCCGGGCGGACTGATGGCGCCCAGACGCCCTGAGGGAAGCCCCAGGCGACCTGCAGAGAAGCACCCTCTGGAACCTTCCGCGGCGCTGCTGCTGCTGCTTTCTCGGCCTGAAACCCTCCCCTCGACGCCGCCCTGCTCCCCTGAGCGACGTGTGGGCCCTGGAAGGTCTCTGCTTTCGGGAAGGACGCGCCGCCCCACCACCGCGCGGTCCTGCGAGAGCCGCCCATTCGCCCCGCGGCTGGAGGGACGTGAACGGGGAGCTTCACGCGGTCCCGCTGCGCCCAGCCCCGCACCCCTCAGGCGCACTCCCCCGTGTGGGCCCTGCAGACGGCAGCCCCGGGGCCGCCCCACACACCGAGCGAGCAAGGGGCGGCGGAGGGAGACGCAGGCTCGGACGGAGAGGCACGAGGTCCGGCGCGTGGGGCCGGCCTGTGTCCCCAGAGGAGCGGCTCTGCGGCCCCTCCCTGCTCTCCGGCTGGTTGCCAGCCCGACGCCTCCCCGCAGTCTCCCCGACCGGGTCCTCACCCATCTGCAGCCCTCCCTGCCGCCCCCTGCAGGCGGCACCCCCATTCCCCGAGAGTCTGCTCCGAAGAGGACACAGCCGTTTTCCGCTCCCCGCGTCCATCGGGCGGGGGCGGGGCTGGGGTCAGACCGGCAGAGCCCCGGTGGACACCGTGCCCCCAGGCGGCGGGAGGGCCTTTGAAGCCGCCTGCCGTCCAGTGCGCAGCCCCCGGGGCACAGCGTCTCCACACCCGCCCTCCCCGCGGGTGGCTCAGGCGGGGAGACGTGCACCTAGGACACCCCAGCGGGGACCGGCGTCCTCCCGCCCCTGGACCGCGTGCAGGGAAGCCGCAGACGCCCCCCCCCCGCCCCCGAGAGTCTCGCGCTGTGAGTGGGCGGGGCTGGGGGGACGCGGGACTCACAGGTCGCTGTGGTGGCAGGGGTAGGGCATGGCCTGCGCCTGCACGGCCGGGCCCGCGGCCCCCTGCCCAGTCTGCTCCAGGACCAGGGCCCTCTCGATCATGTCTTGCAGCGGGGCGAACACGTAGTTGTACCGGAACCCGTCAGCCGGCAGGCTCTGCGGGTGGAACCTCCAGAAGGGGTTCCTCGCCAGGTCGGTCCTCAGGCTGTACAGCAAGCTGGTGCGGATGGTGTAGGAGACGCGGGGCGGCAGCTGGCGGGGGCCCGCCCCGGAGCTGCTGCCGCCGGCCGCGGGTGTGTTGAAGGTGACGCCTGACGGGGAGGGGAGCAGGCCCGTCACCACCGGAGCCGCGCAGGCCGTCAGCACAGCGGGTCCGGGCTCTGGGCCACGAGACCAGCGCCGCGGGCTGCGCCCCGCCGCCCGCCGCAGCAGAGCCGAGTGGAAGCAGCCCGCCGCGTGGGGCGCACCCGAGTGGCAGAGAGGGTGTGAGGACCCGGGGTCGTTCCCTGAGACCGGCGAGCCGGAGCAGCGGGTGGGTCGGCCGCGGCCCTCCCTCCCGCTCAGCCCGGGACGCACGGCACCGTGGTGCAATGAGAGTGGCTGGCGGCGGGAGCCAGAGGGGGCCTTGAACCAGGAAACGCGTAAGCTGTCCCCGGAGACTGAACCGCGGCACCGCCGGGCACAGCGGTGACACAGACGCGGTGAGCGCACTGGGCCGAGGCCGGCGGCAGCACCGGAGTCCCCACGGTACGAGGCCCTCTTCCCCCCGCCCAGCGGGACGGCTCCGCCTGATTCCACCCTGCGCGGAAAGGACGCCTCCCTCTCCGCGCCACGCGAGGCACGCTCGGGGGGGGGGGGGGCCACGGCCTGCTGGCCCTGGCCCCGGGCACTTACTGGCCAGGAAGCTGTTCTCCCGCATGAGCTCCCGAGCTGCGGCCTCCAGCTCGGCGACGGACTCCAGCCCCCGGAAGCGGTCCAGCGCCACGCAGGAGGACAGGTTGACCAGGACGCGGCCCAGGGCGAGGACGCGGGCAGTGCCCGCGTGGCTCAGCATCCTGCCCAGGGTGCCCCCTGAGGACGTGAACACACAGACGTGGCGACACCCCCGCACAGCAGCTCCCGCCCCCACGGTGGACATGGTGCGAGCGCCCTGGACGCGCGGCTCACTCCCTCCGGGGGGAGCGCACTCCCCAGACGCTGACTCTGTCCACGGGCACCCTGGCTGCTCCCGGCGGAGGGTGCCCGCCCCGTCACGGCCGTCCCCTGACCAGACCCTCTCACGCGGGCGGGAAGGGACGGCTGACGTGCGCGGGGCTGGTCGGCGGGGACAGAGAGGAGCCGAGAGCGGCCTGGGCGGCAGGAAGGGGCTGGCACCCGGAGCGTGGCAAACATGTTCCTCTCCCGGCCGGAACGTCCCTTCCCGGGAGCCTGGCCTGCGCCACGGCCGGTGGCTCGGTGGCACGTCCGTCGCACCGGCAGCCGTGCTGGGAGGCGTGTCGCCACGGAGGGAGCCCCTCCCACCGGGCTCGTGCGCTTGCAGCAGGGCGGAGCTGGGGCCACGTGAAAACTCGCCCAGGAGGGGACGCCAGGGAGGGCTCTGGTGTCCGGAGGAGCCGGGACAGAGACTCGGAGGAGCCAACGATCCCCGGAAGGTCGGTGCGGGGAGAACCCCCGGACGCCCAGAGCAGGAGAGCAGTGACCAAAGGTCACCAAGAGCGTGGTGCCAGGGCCTGTGGAGGAATCGCGTCCCCAGGCTTGCTCCGGCCAGGGCCGCCCACGGGCCCGTCACAGCATCAGCAAAATTGTGTGTGAGCGGAGGCGGGGGGCCCCTCGCCCGGCCGGGACACGGCTCGCAGCCCCGGGACTCCTGCCACCCCTCCCCCAGGCCCCGACCTCTGACAAGACCTGCGGAGACTCTTGCTCAGGACCTCACGGGAAAGGGAGAGAGTCCATCAAGACGGGACCACGCACGAAAACACACCCACACCCACACTCACACACACGCTCACACCCACACACATGCACACATACACTCACACACTCACACACACACACACACACACACACCACAAAGCTGTGCAGACAGAGCCCGCGCGGGCCCCTCTCCGGCCTGGGGACTGGCCTTTCCTAGCTTCTGAGGCTGGTGGGCGTCAGCTCCCGGCCACGGCTTCCTCTCAGAAAGCACGCACGGGACAGAGGGGTGCCCCCACCCAGCCCCAGGTCTGTCAGACGGAGCAGAACCGTCGACCGGGAGACAGCGGGACAGAAACAGACGGAGCCCTGGGGGGTGGCCGAGCGCCTGCCAGACGACACCCTGTGCAGACGCGCCCGCCGGCCCCAGGCTCCCCGGTGTGCGGAAGGCAGAGCTGAGCCCCGGACGGACCCGCGGGTTCACGGCCTGCACACGCGGAAGAGCCGTGTGCCCCGTGGCCCTTTCTAAACCTGAACTCCGAGTTTTCACATCAGTGTAACTGCTCTCAGTTGACTGCCAACTCCGAACTACTAACTCGCTTTGTAGAGTGACTTCACACCTCGCCAGTCTCGCGTTCAGATCAGAAGCCTTCCTTTCCGACTACCTTCCTTCCTAATCGAGCCGGAGTCAGCCGGTCAGAGGCCCAAGCGGGAGCGCCTGTGCGGGGCGGGAGGCGGGGCCTGTCGCCTGCAGACGGCAGGCGGGACCGCACGGGACGTGGCTTGTCAGCGGCCCCAGACACCCGGTGGCCAAAGGGCGAGCCACCCACTTACGCCCGCATTTTACTCTCACACACCCACACACATGCACACACCACACCCACACTGACTCTTACACTCACACGTGTGTGGGCACAGGCACACTCTTACACACTCACACTTGCACGCACAAGTGCACACACCTGGTCACACACGTACACCCACACTCCCATACACACAGACTCGGATGCTCACACATGTGTAGGCACAGACACGCTCTTACACACACACACTTGCATGCACAAGTACACGCACCCACTCACACACCCACACACATGCACACACAGACTCTTACACTCACACGTGTAGACAGACACACTCTTACTCACACTTGCATGCCAAGTACACACACCTGCTTACACACCCACACACGTGCACACACCCACACACACTGACTCTTACACTCACACGTGTGTAGGCACAGGTGCACATGCTCACACTTGCACACACAAGTGCACACACCTGGTCACACATGTACACCCACACTCCCATACACACAGACTCGAATGCTCACACATGTGTAGGCACAGACACACTCTTACACACTCACACTTGTGTGCCCAAGCACACACACCCACTTACAGACCCACACACCCACACTGGCACGCTGACATGCCCCCACTGGCACACTCACACACACACACACACGTGCAAGCACACACCCACGCTCACTCACCGTACGTCTGGAGCCGTTCCATCAGCTGGTCCATGTCGATGCGCAGCTGGGTGCCCACAAAGTTTCTCACGAACCTGTTCCTCAGGGCCTCCTGCAGGGAGACCGGGCGGCTGAGGGACGGCGGCACCCCCGGCCCCGCGGCAGCCCTGCCTGGTGCGTCCATGGTTCCCTCGTGTGCGCGTGAGTCGCCCGAACAGAGGCGCGGAAACCCGGCCCACGGACACCGAGGGCCCCTGCCCACCTGCAGCTGGCCGAGCAGCTGGCTGTCCCCGCCACTCTGAAAAACGCCGGACGCCTTCAGCAACGCTTCTGCGACGGCCCGCAGCTTGTCCACAAACAGGAAGGTGTGATTGGCCTGCAGAACGAGGCCCACTGGTCACACCGGCAGGCCGGCGAGGAGCGCCCACAGTGCCGCGGCATGGAGACCCCCGTGGGAGGGCCCGGCCAGCAGGGCAGAGTGGTCTGCCGCGGCCACCTGCAGGCCGGCCCACACTCCCCGGGCCAGGTGGCCTGTGCCGACGCCCTCCCAGCCCAGCTGCGGCCCCGAGACCTCTCGTCCCCGTTCCTCCCATCAGGTGCCACCCCGTCCACTAAAGAGCCCCCTTCCTCCCTGTCCTGACGCCCCCATTCCCCTCGGTGTCCTCATGGTGTCCCCAGCGTTCCCCTCATTGTCCACACGGACGCCCCCAACACACACCGGCTGACTGAAACGATGTTTGTGGGGCGGAGAGCGGAGCCCAGGCACCAGGGGCCGGCACAGCCTTCGGCGCCACGGACACAGGCCCCGACCCCCCAGCACAGTGGCCACGCCTCCCTCTCGAGGCAGAGCTCTGTCCTCGGGAAGCAGGTGAGACGTGCGGCCACACCCACAAAGCGCCCATTGCAGCGTTATGTCAGTGCCAAAGAGAGGAGGGTGAGGAGGGCTGGGGCCCCGGGGAGCCCCGATAATGGCGCCGGTCACCCCCGGTCGGTGGGGGGGAGGCGGCCGCCACCCTAAGGGCTGCACTCCTGCTGGGCACCGAGCTGTGCGCCCCGCGTCCCTGGCCCCGCCACCACCCCCCCGGTCCTGCGTCTGTCCCCACGCTGCTGAAGCCCAGCGGGCCCCACGCGTCTGCCCCCACACAGACCTGAGATGCGGGCCCCCCTGGGGGAGCGCAGCGCCTACTTCCAGGGGCGAACACCCGTGGGCCTGTGCAAAGGCCCCCCTTGTAAAGGAGGGGCCGACGCAGGAGTCGAAGTCCTCGTCTGAGACTGACTTTAAGGAGACGGGGGAAACGGAGGAAATATTTCCTTCGTGTTTTCAAGCAAAGTGAAACGGGGGAGGAGGCCACGAGGAAGGGCCCTCGGCCCCGAGGAGGCGCCGCCCGCACACCAGGCGCCAGGCGGTTGGGGGCTGGACTCCGCGAGAGCAGGACAGCAGGAGGGCCCCTCACTGTGAGGGGGCCGAGGCCGCTTCTCACCGACCGCGCCCTCCTGCTGCAGAGGCGAAACCAGCAAAGGCAGCTGCACTCTTTATTAGACCCAAACAGTGACTTCAGGAGTCAAGCAAAAACAAAAAAGCTAGAAATGTTAATGGCAAACAAACCCCAGCAAAAAGGGTACACGATGCAAACACTGTTTTGTTCTGAAAAAAGCTCACAGTTCACGACGGTCACTCGTCAGGCCCTCGTCGCCCCCGCACGGGAAGACGAGGACACGGCTGCCACCAGGGGAGGGCCTGACAGGCGCCGAACGGCAGGACCTGCCGGGGAGGACTCGAGCCCGAGCCGCGGGCAAGACTCCGTCTGCGGCTGGAGTCCCGGCCCCACTACCCCCTCGCTGCGGCTGTGCGGTCGCAGCCCAGTCACTGAGAACCTCAGCCCGGCTTCCAAATGGGCGGGGGGGGGCTGCTGCTGCGGGGGCTGAGAACACTGATGCTCCCCCTCCCCCCGCACCAGCACCGGGCCAGGCCCGCCCGGGGCGACCGTGCAGCGAGGCCGCCTGCGCGGTCAAACTGCAGAGAGACGGGGAGGGGGAGGGAGCGTGTTACCGCAGCCGGCAGGTTGGTAAACACGTTTGTCTTCTTTTCTGCAGACACAGAATGCCCACACTTCCTTCTCAGCGGGGCAAAAGCAGGCTCTCCGCTGTTCGTGTGCAAAACAGCACAGCCAGTAAATAACAACACACCGATGGGTTCTGGTTCACGTGCTTGCGACTGTAAACCTCCCTGCGCCCCGACCTGTGTGTACGATGCGGTTTCTGCGTTTGTAAGCGTGTTCACACACAGCCGGTCACTGCCCCTTGACGAGGTGGGGAGCCCCGGCCTAGCCCGTGCCCGCGCACCCTCCCTCTCCTCGGGCCCGGGAAGCACCCCTGAAATCAGCGTCGTGCTCGGGCACAGAGCAGCTGCTCATATAATAACTGCTAATACGGAGCAACTGCTAATAAAACCCAAAACATGTACATGATTCAGGTGTTTATTGTGAGATGAGAAATTCTTAGCAAAAACTTGTGTAAGCACTTTTAAAATGAACAAGTTAAAACATTTTAGGTATTATCGTGAACATCTCCCATTTAAGGACATTCTTTCGAAATGGTTATATGGGAAATTATAATAATAAAGATATCGGCTGTAGAAGATACTGAATGTAACCAGCATTCAGACTCAATGCGTTTGTTATGAAACTAGGAAATGGAAACCGACCACCGAGGCGTCCCCCGACCACGCCGACAGAGCGCGGGAGCTGCCTCCGAGGCCAGCGGATGCAGGGACCGGGTACGCCGGCGGCGAACGACGGGCGAGCGGGAGAGACGGCACCTGCCCGCCCGATCAGATGCAGGCATGCACCTCTGCGGAGCCTCCTTCCAAGTTACTTCAGGTTGCTCAAGCGTGAGGCGGCATCTAAGTCACAGTATCTAACTCCAACTTAAATATTCAAGCCGCTGAAAAACGCTGACACCTAACTAACACGCCAGAGGCCTCGGCACGACCAGGAGACACCTGCCGGCGCACACCGGGCGTCAGGGGTCTCGGCAGAGGCGGACCCCGCCCTGCTGGCCACCGCGGCACACACGGGGCAGAGCCCAGCGCCTGCGCGGGGGCCGCGGGCGCTCTTGACAGTGGGGACACTCAGTCACTCGCGATGTCAGCGACCACAAAGCTCACGGCCTGGCTCTAAAATCCGCCTAAAAAGGAAGCGCAGACGGAGCCATTTCCTTGGATGGGGGGGTGGGGAGGTGGTCTCCCCGCGGCCCCGAGGGCTCCTTGCTCCCGCACGCGCGGGTCCACGCCCCTTCACTGTGAGCTGCAGACACACTCAGGGCAGCGGCGGCCAGCGCAGCCCCCGAGCCGCGTCCCCTCTGCAGTGTGGGAGCCCACCGTGAACGGACATGGCCGCTGCCCTCTGGGTCCGGTCTGAGGTCACATCGTCCCCGGTCCTCTGTGGGGACCTGCAGGCCCACGGGCTCACTCCCCGCCGTCAGACGGGAAACAAGACCCCAGGGAAAGACGGCGCGACCATTCCTAAGGACGGCGCGAGGGCGAACAGGAGCGAGTCCTGGCGTGAGCGGCGGGGAGAACTCAGCCATGTGAGACGGGGACACAAGTGTCCAACAGCGACGCTGAACCCCCGGCAGACACCGTCTGGGGCTCCCCTCCAGAGCTCACCCGCCCCGGGGCGCGGCCCACCCCTGCCAGGTAACTCCGGGCACCCGGGTACCCGCCCGCAGGTGCCGCAGGGGGCTCCCCGTCAGCCCCCAGGCGCACCCAGCGCCTGCGCCCCCAGCTCCCCTGCACCTGCCCGCGCCGGCCCTCCTGCCTGTCTCTCCGTCCTCGCGGGGCGGCTGCTCCGAGGCCACCCGCCGCCAGGACGTCCACCTCGGGGAGCCGGGCTCTGGGAGCCTGGCACCAAGGGCAGGGACAGGGACACAGGCCACAGCGGACTGGACTCAACCTGTGGGACCCCGCGGGGAGCCAGCCCACGGGACGATCACGGGGACTGCGTTAAAAGACCCGCCCTGCCATGCGGGCCGCTCGGCCGTCACGCCCTAGCTCGCTCGCTGGCCGGAGCCTACCTTCCGAATGACCCTGCTGACCTCCGGGGTGTTCGGGGCGTACAGGATCCGCCCGAGCAGCACGGGTTCCAGGAAGGACCACACCAGGGCGCCGTCCGGGGACCGCAGGATCTCCTGGTAGAGCTCCAGGCAGAACGGAGCTGAGCAGTGTTAGAGGAAAATACAAAAGGCGTCATTGGAGACACAGGGAGCCCTGAGAGCGGGGACCCTCACCCCCGAATCCACACACCCCCACTCGGCGAGCGGCCAGCGCGGCTCTCACTGGGGCAGGCCCTCGGCAGTGCGGTTCCCGACGCCACACTCGGGGCTCTGTCTCCTGAGAGACGTCAGGACCCCGTGCGCGCCCACCCTCGGGAGGGAGGGAGGGGGAGCGTGGCCTGCGCGGTTCCCACCGCGCGGCTGTGACGGCGCAGTCACCGGTGGCAGCGCTGAGCAGCGGCCAGGCCCTGAACGCTGTGGTGGAAAAGGGACACCCTGGCTTTCACTCCAGGAGACACTCCGCACAACCACACGGCTCTGGGCCCAGAACGAGGGAATACAGTCTTAGCTCTATCATCAGTGGCCCCTGCACGGTCTTCGCTGCGCCGCACAGGGCTGGCGAACTTCCTGCTTTGATGCACGGTCCACCCAGATCCCCCACGGCGGCTCCGGCCTTGGCCGCCCCACAGTGGGAGCGGACTTGACTCCACCCACGGAGGCCTCGTGAGGGCGGAGCCTCCGCCGCCCCGAGACTCGGGACCCCCCAGTACGGGCTCTGAGTAAGGGGGCAGTGGGAGCTTCCGGGTCGCTAGTCCCCTGTCCCCCGCAGAGAACGTTCAGGGCAGAGATATTATCTTGGCTCTAAAGTCCTGACCCCCAGCGTCCAGGACGTGAAGAGTACTGCTGTGAATGTTTCCAGTACTCACTTCGCCTTCCAAAGTCACCATTTCAAAAGAAAGACAAGTTCTTTTTATTCAAAAAGCACTGTAAAATTGATAGAGGCAATCCCACAAAATATAAATTTAAAGAGCATGACTCCACGATGAGTTTTAAAGCATGAGCTCCGGAGCTCGCCCTCACTGGTATTTTACCAACGTACACGTCAGGCTGTGACGACTCCGACTGCAGAAACGACACACTCGCACGTGTGCGCCGGCAGCGTGCCGGCGCCCGGCAGCCTCCCGCCCAGGAAGGCCACTCAGCCGAGAGTCTCCGCCACCCGAGGGTGCTGCGTTGTGTCAGTCGCCCTTTCTGCGCCTGTGGGTGCGCCCGTGTGCCTCTCGCCTCTCCCCTGGTTCACGCGGTGTATCGTGCCCGTCGTCTGGCAGGCGCTGGACCAGCCGTGCGCGCCGGGGGCGAATCCCACCGAGCGTGGCGCTGCTCTCTTCAGCGCAGCGCCGAGTCCGGCCTGTTAACACTCCGCTGGGGGGCGCTAACATCCGCACCTTCGCTGCCGGAGGCACACGAGGCTCCCAGGGCCGGGGGAGACCACCTCCCACGTCACACAAGCGTCCCCCGCTGTGTTGCCCACCGGAACTAACGTGGCGTCGAGTGTCGACGTGCCTGAGACTGCAAACCCCACGGACACACGGGACACGGGCAGAGGGCCCGGCAGGGGCCCCCGGCCCCTCCCCCCAGAGGGCCCCGCGCAGAGCAGAGCAGAGCGAGCCACCGGCGTGCGCACCGCTCTGAAGGGGCGTGGCTTGCTGCCCGCTTACTGGCGTCCTCAGGAACGTGGAACTTCTCCTTGTCCGCGCCCAGGAGCTCGTCGACTCTGGGCAAGTGCAGGAGCGGGCGCGAGCCGCCGAGGAAGGACGCTTCCTCCTTGCAAACCGTCTTCATCAGCTCCTGGAAGGAGCCGAAGGCGGACCTCTGGGCCTGCTCCCCGGGCGGCGCCTGGGGGGGACGAGTGGGAGACGCACTTCAGTGCCGCAGGGACGCGGGCCACGCCCCCTCCCAGAGCACGGTGCCCCCTCCCATGGAAACACACTCGGGCCCGGCAGGCCGGGGGACGCGGCTGCAAGGGGCCCTGCTGTCCCCGCCGGCCCAGCTGCCCGGAGAGCAGGCAGGCGTCACCCCACACCAGCAAAGCCTTGTCCGGCGGCGAGGCGCTGACCCGTAGACGGGCACTGACTCGGACGGCAGTCCTGCACCGTCCACGACACGGGCTGCGTGTCGCTGCTGCCGAACCACGGGACCCGGGGCGCCTCCCCAAACCGCCCCTCATGGACGGGCACACGGAGCCCCCGCCCCCGAGGCAGCCCGAGGGCGCCACTGTCCGCCACATCCGCACCCCGAGTCCGCACGCTCCCACACCGCCCCCGCCGCCGGTTCCGAGCCCGCAGAGCGTTCAAGCAAAGGCGAGTATCCCGCCACCGACCCCGCTCCAGTGAGTGTGTATTCGCAGAAGCGGGCTGCAATTTGTAAGCCAACCATTTGGGTGCAAATACATGTTCCAAGGTTTCTGAAGGCAGTTTACTCTCCGAATTAGTTGCGGTGGCCCCTGGAATCTCGTCGGTGCTGACAATGGGTCCAGGGACCTCCAGCCTCCCCGACCACGCGGGACCTGCCCCGTGGCGGGGGGGGGCGAGTGGGCCCACAGGCCTCCCGCGCCGGCGCTCAGGACCCGCCGGACCTTGCTCTCTGTCGGGCAGGCGTTGCCTCCAAGCCCTCACGAGGCGCTCCTGCCCCGGCCTGCCGCTGTCTCCTCTCGGGCAGCAGGCGGGGGTCGGAGGAGACGTGTGGGCGGGAGGGACCGGGCCTGGCACGCCGGGCTGTGTCCCGAGGCCCAGAGCGCAGGCGCACCTGGTGGAAGCCGGACACGTCCAGCAAGGCTGAGATCCCCGACGCGCGGAGGAACTCGGGGAGGTGCTCCAGGACGCGGCCGGCTCTGGGGAGCAGGCGGCTGAGCCGGGAGACCACGTCCAGCAGGGAGCGGAGCACGCGGTTGGCTCCCGCCGGTATCAGCGTCTGGAAGGAAAAACACCACGGAGTGACCCAGGCCACAGGGCTAGCGCTCACGCGCCCCTCTGAGCGGGGACGGCTCACCGGTGACGCGTCACCCGGGGCCCGCGTGCCCCGCTGCTGCAGCTGAGATCGTTTCAGAGCGTCGTCCCGCGTCTCCGCGGCACCGAAGGGCACGTCTCAGGAGAGGACCAGGGCGGGACAATCCCCGAGAGTGAGACAAGGTCAGCCCTGCCGCTTCCCGGGGTCCCGGCGGGCCCACGGGCTTGGGGACAGGGCTCATTATGCGGGCTGTCGGCTGAGGACACTGAGGCCTGGGAGGTCCCCTCGCCACGCGAAAGGGCAGAGCGGGGGCGGGGCTTAACCTCAGACGTCAGTGCACTCTGACACCCTCACCCCGCCCCCTGGGGTCACTTATTGTCTGCGGCTGCTCTGGAGAACGAGCCCCCCCAGCAGGCGGGGGTCTCCCTGCCCGCCGCGGTTGTTCCCGCGGCCACAGGGACAGACGGGAAGGGCCGGCGGTGCCAGCTGCTCACTAAGTGTGCGCTGGACGGGTGGACAGGCGGGCGAGGACATGCAGCCTCCTCCTCCTCCTCCTCATGGGAAGCAGGAACCCCAGCCCGCACCCTCCCCCAGCACAGCCCGCGCCCTCCCCCAGCGCCAGCGGCGCCCGGGCGTTTCCAGTCCTCGGACCGGCCGCAGCCCCGCCCTCACCGCTCCACTCCGGCCCCTCAGCTCGGCGGCCACGGCTGGCCGCTGCCCTTTGCTGTCCCACCTGCTGCCCTTTGCTGCCCCGCCTGCGGCAGAGGCCACGGCCCACCTCCCACAGCCGAGCTCGTCCAGCAATGCCGGGCTCCCGCAGCGGGGAGATGGCAGAGATGGCTCGGCAGGAGCGACGCCCTGACCCCCTCCGGTCACCCGCACCACTGGCCTTTCCAAGGCGGCGGCTCCGGAGAAGTGGTGCCCGGCAACCCGATTCCTGGTGGGCGGGCGGGGGCTGTCACCGCGCTGGAGCCCAGGTGAGCGCACCCACCGACGTGGCCCACGGCGCTCTGCAGGGGCTCAGCAGCACCCGTGCGGTCTCGGGGCAGGCCGGGCCGCGCCGGCATCTGCTGGGCTGACACCTCCCACCGAGGGCCGAGGGCAGCTCCAGCAGCACCCAGCAGCGCAGAGAACTAGCCAGCCACCCAGGGCCTGTGCCTGGAAGCTTCCTGATGGTGCCCGGGAGCTGCTGCGGATGAACGGCTGCGTCGTTTCCCGTGTCTGGGAGACGGGCCCCCACCCTGTGTTGGCACCCTCAGGGTGCTGGGCCTCGGAGAGAAGGGGCCTGGCAGTGAGCCTGGGGGTGTTTTCCGCTGCTGACCTTCTGTACTGACGACCATCGGTGGGTGGGCCGCCCCCACTGCTGCCAGATGTCCTGAGGGGCCGACACCCCTTGGTCCCGGGCCCCACCCCAGAGTCTGCACACAGGAGACGGCGAGGGTGGCTGAGGGCCCCGCAGCCCTCGCTGCTGTCTACTCGTCTCCGCACCAGGAGCGAGGCCCCGACAGACACCCACGGGGCGTCCCCCGGCCGTCACCCCCGTACCTTGTAAACGAAGCGGCGCGGGTCCAGGTGCCGACCCACGGACACCAGCAGGGAGTAGGTGGCGGCCCCGGGCAGGCTGCACAGCTCCCTCGCGGCCGGCGCGGGCCGCTCGCCCCCCGGGAAGGCCAGCAGGAGGCGCAGCACGGCCTCGTCGCACCTCCCGGACAGAGCCGCCGCCAGGGCGCCCGGCAGGACCTGCCCAGGGCACGAGGGTCAGAGGGACACACGGAGCGCTGCGGCCCGACTCCCCGACTCCCCGACCCCCGAGGAGCCCCGACGCCGGTCTCCCAGAACGCCAAGGGCCTCCCGGAGCCGCCCCAGCCTGGCCCCTGCCCTGGTTCCCGCCTTCGGAAGGAGCCGTCTCAGAAGCGGCTCGGGGCTCAGGCCGTCTGCCCTTCTGGCGACTGGGAGCTCAACCCCCGGCGCCCCCCTCCCCCGGGGCAGCCCCCAGGAGGGGGGACCCTGTCTCTGCTCCGCGCTGAGTCTCAGCCTTCGCTCCGTCCTCACTGTCGCCCGAGTGAGACTGTCTGCCCCACTCCGCTTCCAAACTGGAGCCGCCCCCCGCACTCGCTGCCACTGCTTGGGGAGGGAAGGCGCCCGGAGCCCGAGGAGGGGCCGGGGACGCCGTGTCCACTGTGCTTCGTCCGTGTCTCTGCGCCCGTCGTGGGGCGGAGCTGCGCCCCCGGGTGGGCATGCTGTCGGCGAACGACCTTCGTGACGCGACAAGCCACGAGCTTCCTGCCCGCGTCCACCCTGACGGGCGTGGCTGCCGGGGGAGACCCTCGGAGACCAGGAGCCTAGAGAGCGGCAGGGCTCACGGGGCGCCGTCACCGCCCCCACCCCGCACCTGTGAGTGGGGAACGTGCGCCTCCAGAACACTGCTGACGGTCCCCTCCGAGAGGGGGACAGCTCGAAGTGCCTCGGCGGCCTCGGTGGCGTTCCTCATCAGCTCTCTCACCGTCACGCCTAGAAGACAGCAAGAGACACAATGAGACAGCCCGTGCCCGGGCTGCTGCTGCGGAAGCAGACTTCCATGGTCACCCCGCAGGGACCACTTCCTGCAGACCCCAGCTCCGGTCTCAGGGACCTGCCCCAGGCAGGAGCTCCACCGCGCACCGTCGGGGGCAGAGACGCCCCTCTCCGGGGTGGGGCTGCCCCCCTGCTCACGCCCGTGCATCTAGCATCTGCTCCAGGAAGCGGTCTGCCCCGGGAGCAGCAACCGCGGGCCACCAGACCCCCACCTCCCCCTGCATCTACTTGAGTCCCTTCTCACCCCAGAGGAGGGCCAGGCAGGACTTGCAGCAGCCTTCGGACGCAGCCTGTCGAGGCCGCCAGGCCTGGAGGGCCCGGGCGCCAGGCCGGAGACCGGGTCAGGGGCGGCCACACCACCGGAGGCCCCTCCCCTCCCCCGGCTGTGGTGCCCGGCCTCGGGGCTCGCCTGCTCAGCCCCCGTGCGTCAGGAGAGCCGCGCTCTACATCGTCACCGACCTCGACGGCACGGCTTTCCCTTCGCGGGTTTACTCGTGGTCGTGCTTCTGCGTGAGGGACTGAATTTCATCTTGAATCGCGCGACTGTGGAGGAGGAAGCACACACTCACCCGGGGTCACCGAGAAGTTGCCGAGAAGCGCCATGACCGGCGTCCCAGAGAACAGAGTCTCCCCGAGTCTTCGGGCCAGCCTAGAACGGCACAAAAAGGAGGCGCGTCTCCACGGGCGGAACGGCAGACACCGCGCCGGGTGAGTGGCACCGCCTGGCGCCCAGGGGCGCGCGAGGCCACCCGGTGGCGTCTCACAAGGCCTGCGGGCAGCCCCGCACCGTGTCCCCGGCGCCGTGTGTGCGCACCCCCAGACACCACGGCCCCCAGCCCCGCCCCCTGGGGCCCGCCGGGCGGGGGAGTCCGGGGAAGGCGGGAGCATCAGGAGCAGCTGTCCGCAGGCGTGGACGGAGTGGACCGGGCAGACCACGGGCGCCCGGGGCCTCAGACCCCAGGAAGTCAGAACCCCGGTGAGCGGGCCGCCGGCACAGCACCGAGTGCCGACGTCCCCGCCCCCGGGGGGCTCATGCTTGGGGAACAGGGACAGAGCCAGCCCCGCACGAGGCAGCGACTGGAAGACCCTGTGTGAGCCCAGACGCACTGCATGCGGCTGCGTCGTCTCGGTCCGACGCCCTGATCTGAGGCCCCGACGCCCGCCAGCCTCAGAGCTGACGCTGCTCGCACACCTCACAGCCAAAACGTGAGGTCCTGCCGCACGCGGGCGCGGCTCAGAAACCGTGCGCATCGACACGCGTGTTGCAGGGGCGGCGCACAGAGCCGTCTGCGGTGTGTCCCTGAAGGGTGCGAGCCAGCCCGCCCCGAGGGAGACCCGGGAGCGGCGGCCCGGATGTACCTGAGCAGGTGCTGCGGGGCCCAGTCCGGCGCGGATGCGCGCGCACAGCCCTGGGCGCTGGCGTGCCGCAAGCGGCTCCTGAAGAGCTCCCAGGCGCGGGAGAGGTTCCCGCTGAGACCCTCGCAGCTGAGCACCTCGTGGGGCGAGGACCACCCCTCCTCCAGCTCCTGGAAGACACCGCAGCGCCGCGGTCAGGAGGAGGCCCCCGGCTGCTCCCCCGGGCAGCGCGCCTGGAGGCCCGGCCAGGAGCTCCAACCAGCCCCCCCCCCCCCGAAGTGCGGGGCCTGGCCGGGCGTCTGCCGGCTGCGCAAGCGGCGTCTGGTCCTCGTGCAGCTCCGCACTGTGACTCCCGGCTGCCTGGGCAGGGAGGGGGGGGTTCGAAGCGAACTTGCCTCACGGCCATCCCATCAGCCGAGACCCTCCCTCCGAGGGGAGTCCGTGCCGACAGTGGGAAAGCCCGGCGGACGCAGAGACTGGGAGACTGAGCGTGGCCCTGAGCCTGCGGCTCCCCGGGGACAGGAGTCTTCTGTGCACAAGGCGTCGCTGGCGTGAGTGCTGCCCCGGTGGCCTCGCTCCTGCCCCGCCGGTAGCCCCTGAGCGCAGGCCTGGGAAGGGCGTGCGGCAGCACGCACCACGGCACTGTGCACGCCCAGCGGGCGTGAGCCGGCACGGGGCGGAGCCCGGCGGGCAACAGGCTGAAGTGACGAGGGCTGCGAGTCCGGAGTCTGGGTCACCTTTTGAGCACCACTCAACCACACGGTCACAGGACTTGATTGTAACGGAGTGGCTGTGTAACAGCCAGCTTGCAAACTTCCTGAAAACTGCGCAGCCCGCTCCCGGAGTCTGGGCAGCCCCCGGCGCACCCCGGGGAGAACCCGAGAGGGGAGGGCGCCCCTCGTTCTGCAGCCCTGACCGCCTGCGGCCCCCAGCCGGGCTGGCACGGCCCCGTCAGCACGCGAGAGGCGGCCTACCTGGTAGAGGTCGCACAGCACAGCGGCCGCCTGCAGAGCAGCAGCGACCAGCCGCCGCCCCCAGCCTGGCCCGCGGGTCCGGGCGGCGCACAGCAGGGCCTCGGCCGTGGAGGGGTGCTCTGCCGGAGGAAGTGGGCAGACGGGGGTCAGCGTCAGCGACGACTCGCTCCTCAGCCAGCTGCGCTCGCAGCGGCGGTCGTGCAGGTGCACAGTGACAGGGATCCGCAGACACTCCCTGAATCACCCAAACGAACCTTCGGGACGCGAGGGGAACACCGCACCTGCGCCTGCGCCTGTGCGTCCCGACTGTAGCCCCCCACCTCCTTTCTCCTGGGCCTCCCTGCGTGTGCAGGGGCTCGTTTCCCTCCGGCACGTTCCCTATCGGCCCCCCTTCTGCACCTCGGGTGCCTCCCACCACCACCGCCCCCCCCACCTGGGCCTGCCCTGGGCCGTCCTGTGAGCAGAGGCAGGTGCTGACCCACAGGGCGAGAGGAGGGCTCCCATCCGGCCTGTCTCTTGGGTCTGGGGGACAGCGCCCCCTCACAGCCCCATCCCTCTCCCCAGCCCCGCCCCCCCGCCCCCCGCCCCGGCCTCCGAAGCCTTCCTCTCTGAGCCTGGCTCCTCCTGAGGGCAGACGGCCGTTAGGGGGCCAACCACAGCCCCCGGCCGCCGCCTCCTCCCGTGTTCTCCTGTCTCCCCACAGCCCCTGCGCCTCCTGCCCTGCAGCCACCCCCCTCCAACCTGCCTGTCAGGGCCCGGCCTCAGACGCCTGCGTCCCCAGCCACGTGGACACTGCAGCACACGCGTGCTGGGCCGGGCGGGGAAGGGCTGCGCACGCTCCCCGTCCCAGGTCACTGCGAGAGCCCGGGACACGGCTCTGCGCCCGCTCGGGGCTTGGCAAACACTCTCCCGTTGCTCGGTACGGGAGATTCACTGGGTTTTGTGAGTAACAAAACCCTCCATTTTCCCGACCGGAGGGAAAACTCGGGCCTGCCTCCCACAGCATCTGAAACACCGCGCTTCTCAAGGGCACTCTGCAAAGCCGACACAACTCCGCACGGCGTGGAGCGCCTGAAACACGCCCCAGGTCTTCTCGTCAATCTCGCTGCCCCTCGGACTTCGAAAGCCGAGCTCCTGGTTGAGCCAAACTTAGTTCCTCTCTTAGGAAAACGCCACTGGGGCGACTGACGCAGCACGTGTCCCGGGGCGGCGGCCCTCTGCCCGGGGAAGACGAAGCCAGCCCGCCCCACACACTCCGTTTTCACTCGCGAACAGCTCTCCGGGAGCTGGGAAGGGAGCAGCAACACCGCGGCGGAGCGCACCCTGCAACCCTGCACGAGCAGCCCACCCCCACGCGCAGCCCACCCGCACGCGCAGCCCACCCGCACGCGCAGCCCACCTGCGAGCCTGAGGAGCGCACGCAAGAGCAGCATCTTCACCCTCCGCAGGGCGGCCGCGGCCGCCGGGGGCTGCGCGGGCGGCTGGGGGTCCTCACACAGTCCAGCAGTGCTGCGCGGAGAGAAGGGCCAGGTCTCCCGTGAGCCCCGCGGGGGTGGGCACACTTCCCGGCTCCTGCGCGACCACCCACTGCACGCGTGAGGGAGCGAACCTCCAGAGCCGGGGGGCCCCCCCCGCCGCGCACCCGAGCCCCCCTTCAGCCCGAGGGTGCGGCGCACGCGCGCGCGCACGGAAGTGAGCGGGACGGGGACGCGCGCTGCGGACGGGCGCTGACGTCCTCGAGCTGCAGGGGACACTCCCGCACGGTCCCACGAGCTCCCACCAGCTCCCACGAGCTCCCGGCAGGCTGGGGACTCTGCGGTCACCTGACGCCTCTGAAGGTCGGGGGATGGTGCGGGAGCCAGACGCAGGGCCGCGCACTGCTCTGGACGGTGAGCGCGCAGGCCCGTGCTCGGCGGGGAGACACGGCGTTGGGCCCGGAACCACGCCGGCGGAGTCCAGTCGCCCCTGCCCCGTGGTTCAGAGCGCAGACAGACAGACACACGCCCGCACTCCAGCCTTCCCTGGCCGGGAGGACGACAGGGTCGTGTGCAGGGCCGTCCCTTGGTCACCGTCTGGGAGAGCACGTTCTGGCGCGCTGTGGGCTCCAACTGTGCACCCCGGGTGGGCCAGCGTCGCCGTCGGCCCACCGCCTCAGCCCCCGCACGGCCGCCCAGGCGGCCTCCCCCTCGCGCAGGACACCTTGTCCCGAGCGGGACGGGGAACTGCCCGCGAGGACCCCGTCTGACCGCCGTCCCCACTGACGCGGGGCTTGCCTCGCCGGCCGAACTGTGGAGCCAGCCCCTTGTCCCGGCCCCACCCCCGGGGCCGGGCCCTCACTGAAACGGCGTCCTACGGCCCCTGGACCCCTCCCGCCTTCTCTCCAGCGAGCTCAGGGGCGTGAAAAGCGTATCGGGGGGAAAAAACAGAATGTGACTCTTAGCTTTAAGTTTTTGGAATTTTATCAATTCCAAATATGAATAAACACCACAGTAGGTAAATTGAAAATATTTAAAGCCCTTAGTTACGATTAGGCGGTCAAGAATTACGCGGTGATATTCTATACACATACATTTTTAAAACCTAATCTGCACTTTTTATAAAGTAGAATTTCATAGTTACTTTCATCACCGGAAAACATTCCAAAGTGTGGTAAGCGCTGACCTTTGCCAGGGGCTGGGTTTCCATAGTTCCCTAGTTCCACGACGATCGTCAGCATGACTCACCTCGACCTCTTCACAAGAGGGGCCCCCGAGACACAGCCACTCCGAGAGCGCCCCGAGGTGCCGGGCTGCGTGCCGCCGCCGGTGCACGTGCACCCCAGGGAGCCCCACACGGGACACTCACCTCCCCTCCGCGGCGGCGGCGGCCCTGCGGAAACCTCTCGGCAGGACGGACGCTCTCTTCTCGGGGCCTTCCTTGTCCAGGAGGGGGAAGAACGCTTCCAGAAGCTGTCCCGCGAACTCCACTACGCTTCCTGGAGGCGGAGTCATCCTCTCACCCTCTCCTGACTGTGCTGGGGTCAAGGTGAGGTTCAAGAGATCCGTGATGGGAAGGTCGCGGCCACCGACACTCCAGGCCGCTTCTGGAGGACTCGCAGCCAAGTTACTGACTGAGTTAATCAGGAAGCTTTCCAAAAGCAACCGGACAACGGAGACATTCGATGGCTGCTCCCGGTCCACCGGTTGAGTGAGAAGGCCAGCACCAAAATCACCTTCTCTAGCAACGCTCTTGAGGTAACCCAGAAAGGTAGTGACGCCTGCAGTCAGCAAAGCGGTGTGGTCAGGTGAACTCCCATTGGCTGTAAGAGGAGATAATGCTTGTATCATTCTGGAGTATTCCTCATTTGCATATTTATGAAGCCAGTTTTTCATGACCGATGGAAAATCTTCAGTAATTTCTAATGCCTGCGATGAAGTCAGGTTTTCCAAAAAATGGGCAAGTTGCAAGGTTACATTTAGAAGAGCCACTGAGTTAATGGTTTGAATTTCTTTGTTACTGTCAGAGAACAGGGGTCTGCTATTTAACTCACGGTTTAGGTCTTTCACGATTTGCTCAGACTTAAGCCACAGATCCTCAAAACTGTAAGCTGCTTCACGTTTTTTAAGAAAACTCGATAGCGCTTTGAAACCCCTTCCCGTTAGGTTTGCGTTCAGAAACGTCATGAACAGAGAGGCGAGAGAGCGGGTGCCATTCCCCAGGCTCTGGTCGCCGGAAAGCGACTTCATCATCCTTCCCAAGAACACGGAAATGTTCCTAAGAGACGCCTGCGTGCCTTCGTTGCTAAGGACCTTGTTTAAAGCAGCTAGCTTACCCAGAATGTCTTCATCCGGTGTGGCTTCTGTAAAATTAACGTTTTTCAGTGTTTCTATGATCTGTAAAGCAGCCTGCTTTATGGGGCCACTGGGACAAAGTCCGGAGATGCTGCCGTCGCTCTGATTTCCAAAAGAGGGGACAAACGGCAACACCTTCTGCCAAACTCCCTGCACCGCCCTCACGTGCTTTAACGTGGAAGTCTTCACGTGGAGGACTTCGGACAGCACCGGGAGGAGGGAGGCCCAGTCCACTAGTCCCTGAATCGCGCAGACCGCTCTCCCAGTCACCTCCAGCTGTGCACTCTCGTCTGAACACCACGAAGCTTCCCCCGGGGGAGACAGGTGGAGGCTGTCCAGAACACTGGCCACTCTGCTGTGGATGTGGCCGTGGCAGGCTGCGAACTTTGGATTCTGCTGAGATCCGGAACTTGTGCGGTTCCGGCACCAAACCACAGGGAGGCAAGTTAAGGCCTCCCCAAGGAGGCTCGGTTTGTCTGATGCCAGCGCAACGGTGTCCAGAAGGGTTTTTATCGCATCAGCCAAGTCTTCCTTGGTGACACTGGAAATGCTTGTGCCGTGAAGGACCGTGAAGTTGTAGAGGTCCCGAAGGACCTCCGTGACGTTGCGGCCCGCCGCTCTCTGCAGGAGCCTGGCGGCGTGAGGGAGGGCGTAGTATAGGCCCAACATGACATCCACGTCCTGTCGGGGGAACAGGCGGGACAGCCTCAGCAGCTGGTTGGCGTTCCAAGCACGGGAGCTGTCTACCAGCTTTTCCATCAGGCCGACAAGCAGGTCGACCCCCACGTTATCAGCGCCTGGCCTACTTATGTTCTTAAAAAATTCCATTAGGCTTTCGCCAACTTGTTCAAGTTGGTCCACCAGAAGGTCTATGTCGGTGTTCCTCAGGGCACGCAGAAGAGAAGCCACCTTCTTCATAACTTTATGATTGCCTGGACCTTCCGGAACATTGTGAAGGACAGAGGGCGTCAGGGAGTTGAACAGATCCCTAATCAACTGAATACCAAGACCCACAGCTTTCACTACTTCACGTGGAATTATTTTGGGTGAATTTCGGAGCTCATGTGATAAGTTGAATGCAAGGTAACTAGCTAAATGAAAAAGTGAATGGCCTAGATGATTTATATACTTTTCCTTTGGACTGGTAGTAAATATACTTAAAAACATTTCAGCTTTGGAAGAGAGGTTATTTTCCAGAATGGTAGGGGAAATATCTCTCACAAGTTCTTGAATTTCTTTCCCCAGAGCTACTAAATGCAGCCAAATATTTTGAAATTGGCTAGGAATTTCATCGGACACTTCTATGGGTTGTAGAATTAACTCAGTAAACCGTTTCCAGGTGGGTGGAGATGCAAACTCAAAGTCCCTGGTTAGGTTGCTGACAATCATCCTTACTTGGTTTGTGGAATCATTTAAAAGAGTTAATAACATCTCGAATTTGGGTACCTTTTCTTTTTCAAAGACTGTAGTGAGAATAACATGTAGAAAGTCAGTTATGTTTTTTAAGTAAATATTCACACAATTTATATTTGACATATTCAATGGACAGCCAGGTTCTACTGTATTCAACAGCCAAGTAATGAGGGTCAACGTAGAGTTAATTTTGTTTTCCACGTCTCCGAAACTCCTCAGAACGCCCTGAAGATGGTCTTGTGAAGAACTAGGGTTGCCTCTCCCACAGAGATGGTTTATGCCGTGCGCCCGTTCGATGCACCCTTTCAGTCTGCTGATGGAGCCCTCAGAGTCAAACGAGGAGTTTAACAGGGCCAGGATATGCAATGTCCTTCGTGAAGTGTTTACATGTGACAAGCCGTCTTCCAAAATAAACTCAGTAATATTTTGGAAAATATCAGCACAGGACAGTAAGTCTCGGTCATGTGACACGTTTCTAAGAAATAATATTGTTTCTCTAAGGTCAGCGATGACACTTTCAAGCTGTGCCTCATAATCCGTGAGGTTACTGGAAAGCAAGCGACCTATCAAACGGGCATGTCTGTCTCTGGGTTCTGAGGCGTCGCCTAGCTCCATGAAGACACCCAGCAGGGATCGGAAAAACTCCCTGCCGGCACTCGTGTTCAGCGGGAACGCCCCCAGCCGACGCAGGGCAGTTTCCACGGCGAAGAGGGACCGCTCGACTTGGTCCCAGGGCAGCGACTCGACTCTGACTAACGCACCACGGAGCGCCGCCCAGAGATGCCGGAGAGCCAGAAGCCCCTCCCGGTCACAGGAGCCACCCCCTGGAGGCAGGCTTTTAAGTAGACGTAACAGAAGCCTCGCAGGGCGATGGGTAGGAAACAGCCCCCGGCAGCTTTCGGAAATCTTCACATCACTTTCCAGTTCCTCCGCAAGCTGAGAGAGGCCAGCATGCAGAGGGGCGAAGACGCTCGCATCCCACTGCAGCACCTGCGCCGCCGTGCCTGCCCAGACCTCAGCCCACATCCGCAGCCATGGGACGAAGCAGTGCAGAGCCTGCAGCTCGCCGAACACGCCATCGCGGGTGGAGCGGTGTGAAAAGACCTGCCCCTGGGGAGACCCCCCGTCTGCGGAACGGCTCACAGGAGGAGCGCTTTTGTTACCCCACGCAAAGCACTCGCTGCCCAGCGAGGCTGCTGCTGAACCCTCGAAGAGCTGGTTCACATACTGGAATAAAGAAACACGAAAATCTTCGTCCTCCGTGAAGAGCTGCTTGAGGCCCATCAAGGTCGCGTGGGTCGCTTCCCACGCTGGGCCCTCCGTAGACACCAGGGAGTGCACTTGATGCTCCAGAAAGTTGAAAACAGAAAGTAATTGTTGACAGTAGGGTAATTCAGAAATCCCTCCAAGAAATTCTGTTGTCTCATATAAAAATGCAAATGCTGCACTGATGTTTTGAAAATTAAATTGTTTTATGATTTCCAAAATGTGTTTTGAGGTTTGTGTAAGGGAAGATAGCAAAGACTCTCTACTCTGAATGCCCGAGAATTTATAAATATACTGGTGAAATGAAGAATACACCTGCAGAAGAAAAGCTGTATCTTCATCCTTAAAGACATTTAGATACAAGTGAGTCAATATTTTACCCACTTCTTGTTTCTGGGGTTCAGAAAGGGCTGAGAGGAGGTCAGAGGCGTTCCTGACAGCACGCACTGTGCCCAGAGCTTCTGAAACTTGTTCCGGCCCCAGAAACCCAAACTCACAGAGAATGTCTAGTATAGTTTCGCTCAGATGAACAAAATCCACTTTCACAGCTGCCGACTTAGGCCAATCCAACCACAACAACTGGGAAACGTTAAAGCTTTTGCTAAGAATCCTCTCATTTCTTAGAACAGAAAAATTTAAAAGTGCAGACAGGGTTTCCAGCTTAGCTCTGTCTCCTTCTGGAATGCCATACATCCACAATTCCAGTAGCTTGGGATTAATCTCAAAAAGTATTGTTTCTATAAGTCTCAAGATATAGCCTGATTCCTTCTTTTCAACAGTTTGTGTTTTTTCAATCATCTCTTGGCCAAATTCCCAAAGTTTCTTCTGAGTGTCAATACCAGATGGCTTTCTTTCTAAACCCTTGAAATGATTCACCAAAAAATGACTCGTATTCAGAACAGTCTCAGTGGGCCCACTGGGTGAGTTGAAAGGGTTGGGCAATAACAATTTCTCCAAAAATTCCACAAACGACAAGAGAAAGTTCATTTGCTCATCTTCAAGGGTATGCAACTTCTTATCCATCATTAGAAGCTCCTTGGTAGAATTTAAGATCCTATAATGTTAATAGAACCATATTAATATCAGAAAAAAATAAGTTAAAGACAAATTCAACTTACCAACTTTTTCACGATAATACTCAAGACTTATTTACAGTAAAAGATACATGAAATATTTTTGGACAACATGTTTTCCCAACAGGAATTAGTGTGAGCATTTGAGAGTGTTTTAGGACTACCATAGTTAGCTTCAGACTTGATTGCTGCACCAAAAACAATGCATTTTATTTTATTCCACGAGTTGATATGTATGGTTGTTGACAATAAATTTGCTACTCCTGCCAGAGCCACCTTAGGATTCGATCCCTATGAAATCTCAGAGCGTCCTGGCTGCCGAGGTTGCCCGAATAGCAGGGTGCGTGAGAACCTGCCCACATGGTTTAGGGACCTGTTGGGTGTGCCTGTGCCAGAAGGCGATTCCTGTGCGTTTGAACAATCCTGTGCCTCCCACCGTGAGAAACTCACTATTGCAGATGGCGCGCTTTCCCTCCGCGTGTTTGTTTTTTAAAATACACGCCTTGAAAGTAGGAGTCCTCACAGCAGGAACTCCGGGCGGGGACAAGCCCACACTTGGTGACAGGAGACCCCAGCGGGGGAAGACTTGGGGCCCGCACGTCCACCCAGACACCCCTGGGCCCTCTGCGTCCAGACCTGAGGAAGACAGCGTGGTGCATCTCTCAGATGTGCGCCGGTGCCCCCTCACCCACGGGCACTGGGGCAGCCCCTTCTCAACCCACCGACACGCCGGTCCACGGCGAAACCTGCGGGTGGACTCGGCGTGGGGTCCGCAGACTCAGTAACACTCAGGCCGCTGTGCAGTGAGTCTGACCCAACCGACAGAGGTTCTGAGACTCCAGAAACGCAGGAAACCCCCACTCTTATAATTGGTCATTTCTCTGTCTCTTACTTCAGGACTGCCTGGAGAAGGGGCACTCCACCGCCGAGACCGTCGTCAGCATGGTCGGTGTTTGCGAACAGTCTGGGCAGTGAAAGTAGGAAATCCCAGATTTGGGGCTGCTGGTGAAGGCTTTCCAATTTCGATATCACCTCCTCTGTCTTATTGAGATCTATCTAACAGAAGAAAGAAAAAAAAAAAAAAACACCAAGAGTTTGCCTCTTTAGTTTGGATGAATTAAATGACCGAGGGTGGGGGAGGGGGCCGCAAAGGTGTAAAAGAAACCAGAACCTCAGGCAGCAGAGACTAGGCTGGATACGTCAGTAGTTTGAACAGGTAAGACCTAAAACTGATTCGGTGAGGGTGGGTTTTTAAACGCTGTGAAAGCGTGAACAGGGAAACAGAGAGGTCTGTTTTTGGAACAAGCTGCCCCGCTCCCAGCGGAACCCAGCGGCCCTCGCTGCAGCGCGTCAGTAACTGGTCACTCCCCCGCACAGACGTCCCCGACCCCCGGCCCCGCCCCCGGAAGGGCTGACTTTGGCGGCCCAACCAACAGAATTCCAGTCTGCAGAGAGGCACACACAAGATCACGGCTGAAAGAGCATGGTGCCAACACGCCCAGATGTTTTCCCTGGGGGCCGGGGGGCGACTCTCGGGGAAGGAGGTAAAGACGGTCATTCTGTGGGACGCAGAGCGCTTTGTCCCAGGCCACGGCGTGGGGAAGGGGCGGCCGCGGGCCACCGCTCTACCGGCAGCCGCCGGACGGGACAGGAGGGGGCAGCCAGGCGGGGCCGAAGGGCGCAGCGGTGGCCCCAGCTCTCGGGAAACGTGCACGGCGTGGCCGGGGACCCCTCTGCGTGCGGCCCGGGGGACAAAGAGGAGGACATCCTGTGCGCCCGGGCATCTTGCCCCCCGCGCCCCAGGCTGGGTGGGGGTGACCCCGGGCCCCGCGTGTCTGTGCAGCCCCACGCATCACTGCCTTCCTGCTCTCGGCCCCGGGTCTCTTCAGCTGCGTTTGTTCCCGCAGGGCCGTGGCGCCCAAGCTGCCTCCCGTGCGCATCTCCGACCCGCGGCCACGTGCCGCCTCGTCTGCAGGATCCGGACTTCCGGCCCGCAGGCACTACTTCCGGCCCGCAGACACTGCCTCCGGCTCGACCCCCGCGAGGCCAGGCTTCCGCGCACCCCGCTCGGTCGTCACGCCGCCTGGTGCTTGAGCCTCTTGGCACCGGCATCGCGAGTGCCACGCTCGAGCGCGCGGCCGCGCACGTGAGTGTACCATCCACGTGAGCCGCCTGAGGGACAGGCGCCGACGGCCTCGCTGCGGCCCGGTTCATGCCTCGCTGGGTGTTCGCGGGGACACTGCCAACTGTCCCCACGTCGTCCCACGTCCCACAGGGACAAAATGTCCGCTGCTGACCACCGGCCCACTCACGGGAACCGGGCCCTGGCGGCCTTCCCTCCAGTGTTGCCGTGTCTTTCAGGAGTCACAGTCCCCTCACAGCTCTGGGACTGCCCACCAGGGAGCCAAAGGCGGCGGCGCGGCCAGGCTGACACGGGGACCTCGCGGTCCTCTTGGTCCTCAGGGACCCATTCCCAGAAGTCGCAGTGCCTGGAAGTGTTGGCCGGCCGGAAGGAAAACCCAAGGGCACAAGGAGTGTGTGCCTTCAACCAATCAGATCCCTCCGGGACAGGCCACGGCACTTCCTTCCGGTTTCCTACTTCCTTCCGGTTCCCGCTTCTGTCCCGATTCCCTCACTTAAATGACTCAAAGCCAACGCTTTCCAGTCAGGACCGCATCGGAATGAACAGATATGGACGACCCCTTATCATCCCCACCCTTTCAACGTGCGGGACCCTTCTCTGAGCCCATCTGAGGTCCCCTCCCGGCCTTTCTGGGGTTCTGGCCCGTCCCGGGCGCCGCAGAGACCCGTCTGCGGCTGCGCAAGTGTCCTGGGCGAGGCACAGGGACCGCCAGACGCAGGATGCAGCGTCGGCCTCACGTCCGTGACGTCAGGGCCACGCCCCCGGCCTCCCCGCACCACCACCCCCCCCCCCCACCCCCGTCCCCGGACCCAGGGCCTCTTTCCGCGCACGTGCTCGGGGAGTGCGTCCCCGAACGGAGGAGGTGAAACCCATGTTTCAGCCCCACCGTCGTGTCCTGGAGGCCGGGGGTCACGCTCGCGCCACGGTACTTACTGTGAAAAAACCGGAGCCGTGAGGGGAACCTGCGATAAAGAAGATTTCGGACGCGTTAGTTCCATCGGGGCGCGTCTGCTGGGCGGGCGCCTGTTTTAGGTCCCCGATCCGACGGCTCGACCCTGACCCCGGGCCCCGAACGGGCCCACACCCCGGACTCGGGAGTCAGCAGCCACTGCCGCGTTCCGGAGCACACCGACAGTGAATGAATGCCTGGAAAATGGCTGGCACACCGGATTCCAGCGGTTTGCGGGAAACGCACACTGTTACCAATGTCTGGCTCCACGGGCGTCGGGAGCGTTGAGGTCGGGACAGAGATAGCCAAGGGAGAAGGAAGAAAAGGGGAGAAATAAGGTCGAAGAGGAAAAGTGAAACTGATCTCTCAGGCCCCGTGGGCATCCACGGAGAATTGGAAACTCAGTGGGCAGAGAAAACCACACTCCGTTGTGAGTGGAGGAGGTTCCCTTGTGCACAGATATCGTGGGGAGTGGCTCCAGCCGTAGGAAATTGAAAATCCACTGAAGGTCCATTTCCTCCAAAACAGTTAGTTTTCCTTTAATAGCCTGTTGAAATCTTACTTGGAAAACGTGTCATAAAAGTGGGATTGTTGGGCAGCGGTCAGCAGTGAGCGGCCAGAGGGGAAGCAGAGGCAGGCCCTCAGCGTCCCAGTCTAAGGAAGAACGTGACACAGGAGGCTAGACGCAGAAGGGACGCCTGTCCCGTCCACCAGGTCAGCAGTCCCCAGCTCGGCCTCACACGGTTGCCAGTGTCCCGGGCATCACAAGCAAAACAGCACAGGAGGAGCGGCGGGTCCTTGAGACCCTGCTGAGGACAGGGGCTTCTGTAGCAACCTCACGGAGACAAGGAGCCTTGGCCGGCTGAGAAAGCAAGCCTTCACAGCTGCACATTGCCCCGGGGTTTCGAAGGGGGAGAAGGAGGGAACCTAGACGCTGACTGAGGAATGGAACCCCTGAACCCCAGTAGCCGGTGTGCTTGGGTTAGCTGAGTGCCCACTCGTAGCCTCGGCTCAGGTCCGTGGAACAAACTTCCTGAGGAGCTTGCGAGCAATGCTATTTCCTCTATGTGTGGGGCGTTTGGACTAGCCCGGCGCCTGCTGGCAGCTCTGTGCTCATGTGTGTATCAGAACTAAACTTGCCATCTCGTTGCCACTGTCAGTGTTTGTCTCTCACTTGCAGTGCTCTCTTGTGAGCGAGACAAGAACTGGGAGGGGCGGGGCAGGTGGCAGGGGGTTCTCCGGACTCAGGTCTGTCTCTCCCCATCTGTTACAGAATGACCCCATGACAGCACCCAATGTGAGAGCTCCATCATTTGGTCTTTGCAGCTGTCCTGGTCTCTGGGTAAGGCCTTTGATCCATTGTGAAATCCGCCCCACCTTGCTCCATCCTGGACAGAGGTGTTGGTTCCTGTCTTAGGAATAATATATAATATCCCCTTCTTCATTCTGCTGTCAAACTTGTTGTTCCACTTCCTCATATTACTCCGTAAAGAGAAAAATATATATAAAAAGAAAAATTGGAAGTGAGCACTTAGGGATGCCAGATTTAGCAAGTAAAAACAAACAATACTAACAAAATTATTCGTTGTTTACATGAAATTCAAATTTAATTGAATGTCCTGCATTTTATTTGGCGACTCTGGATGGGGTTGTGTTTAAAAAGGGAGGGGCAGGATCACTGTGACCCCAACATATTGATGAAACATGTCGGCAATAACTGAGCTATGTAATGATGGGCAATTACCGGCCCCACACCCTTGAGGTCCGAACATCCAAGACCAGCATTAAAGTGTTACTAACACAGAAATACCTACCAGACGGAGGAACCAAGTGATCAAGGGGTGTGTCTGTGTGTGTGTGTGTGTGTGTGTGTGTGGTGGGGTCAGATCTAAGAACAGCGGAAGAGGGGGTGAGAAAGGAAGCTCACCACCGAAGGAGGAGAAGGGAGGATGGGGAGAGGGCACCTGCATGCAGAGCGGAGACGAGGCTGGGCTGCAGCCTCTCCCAGGGCTGTGCCCAAGGCACCGTCCCGGGGGAAGGGGTGGAAACCGAGCTTCGCCCTCCACAAGCCCCTGTGGGCGCTGGGCCTCCCACCTGGCGGCTGTGCCTCTTCTAAGACCTCCAACGATAGCCAGGTGGGGCGAGGGGCCGTTACCTGAACTGGACTTCAAGGGCATTGCGGGTGCCCACAGCCTCACCGGCCCCGCCTAAGCCTGAGTCCAGGTCGGGGCTGACAGCGGGAGAGAGTTACTTGCCTGGTGTCTCGGATCTTTCTACCCAAAGCTTCTTTAAGTTGGCGGCCTCATCCATCACTTCGCAAACTTCAGTGGCCAGGTCCTGCATGTCTTGTAGGAAGACCAGGTCATCGATCGCCTCGTGACGGCCGGCCGAGGCTTGGAACGCAGGCGAACTGAAAGCAAGGAGAAGAGAAGCTGCCAGTGTAACTCTTCACAGGAAGGGGTGTCCGCAGCGTTTTTAAGATTCTTGACACCAAATAGCAATTCGTTTCCAACCAAACTTGCCCCCATTTCATCCCCACCGACCGCCCTCAGGAGCCCGTTTTGCTGCACTATGGTCCAGAACGGAAGCCGCCCTTCCAACCCTTGACCTGTTTGAACGAGAGAGTCGCTCTCCATGCCCTCATCGCCGTCTGTGAAGTTTAAGCGCTTGACAGGCTCGCCAGCCACGCCCTGCTTCCTCGCTCCCCTCCCACACGGCCGCGGCCCGCCCTGCGGCGCCAGGTGCCCGGAGGAAGCACCCGGCAGCCAGAGCAGGCACCTCTGTCCCTGCCCGCTTGGGAGGCAGGAGAGGAGGACGCAGATGTGCCTGACAAGTGTGGGCCGAAGTGGACGCCAGGAAGAAAATCGGTGAGATCGATGGGACGGGACGTGCGTGGAAAAGCCCGTTGCAGAGATGGTGCCGTCGGGCTGGAACCCGAAAACACCACCCGGGCGGCCAGTGGGAAGAAGGGGGTGGCGGGCTGGTCGGGGGAGACAGTCCCAATGCCCAGAGGTGGGGGTGGCTGAGGACGGAGAGGGGTGTGAGGAGTGCCCACCGGACACAGCCCCAGTCGTGGGGAAGACCCTGCCCAGAGGTGGGGAGCTGGGGTGGGTCCCACGGGGCCACCTGGTCTGGCTGCAGGGGGGAGCTGAGTCAGAAGAACAGGGTAGGAGGGGGGACCAGTGATGGGGTCGGGCCTGCCCTGAAAGGGGACAGAGAGGACCTTAATGGCCTGGACGTAGGGGTGTGAGCCAGTCTTTGATTTCCTGCAGCCCTGAGATGTGCTGACCACTGGGCCTGCAGGGGGAGGGGCCCAGGGCCAGTCTCCTCCTGAGCCTGGCCCCACGGTGGTTCTGGCAGAGGCCCCGTGGACCAACCAACCTCAGGGTGCAGGGAGAGTGTATCCCGTGTGACTCTGATTGGAAAATGATGATACCGTTGCTAGGATAAGGGGAAATACTTTTTTTACTAGTAAACAAGAGAAAATGTTCTCACAGCCTCTGAAATCAGCTGCCCACCCTGTCTACGTCCAATCTCAAATGCGGTGGGAATCTGTGCTTAACCAGTAAGAAGCAACGGATTCAAAGTAAACTAGAAAGTCCTTTCGCAAGACGCTGTGAGTTTGTTAAAGTAAGTAGGTGGTCGATTACATTTAGCATAACCAGGAAGAAAAAAGGGAAAAATTGGGAAATTTTCTTGATTAGAAAGTTATAGAACCTATTGGGTTTTTTACATCCCAGTCCTTTATCTCACAGGCTAGAGAGCACTGAGCAAACGAAGCGCCAGCCGTCAGCGGGAGACTCCACCATGAGACGGAATAACAAAGCCCGCACCGCCCCTCCCACGGACGTGAATTTGCGCCACCTGTAAGGAAGAAGCCGGCGCAGGCTCCACAAACACTGCTGACGAATAAAATCAGCTCAGTGGCTCTCGGAGCACAGTCCACTCAGAGACGCCGCGATGAACCCCAGAGAATCCAAGAGTTTCCCAAAACCAACGAGACAGGCACGACGCAGCCAGGTCCAGGCCGAGCCGGCCGAGCACTGGGCCCGTCCCCTGTCTCACGCCGCACCCAACGCCCACCTCTGCAGGCACCTGGCCTTCACCTTGAGTGGGTCAGAGTTCCAAAAGCACGACAAAAAGTCAGTCATTGCCCTGTCACGACCTCATGTTGAACAACCACAGTGACCATCTCGTAAAGGACCCCTGGAAGGGGTGGACCAGGATGCAAGTTCTCCTGGCTCCGTCTCCATGGGACTCTGGGCCGGGGGCACAGAATTGTCGGGTGACAGGTCTGAGGCCACTCGCAGTGACATCCCCTGTGAGAGGCATTGGTGTTGTGTCCTTTCTCTCTCGTACTTCCAAAGTGCCTTCATGTGCTCCCCAGGCAGGATTGAGAGCCGAGCTGAAGTGAAGATGTTCACGGCAGAAAAATACGCGGGAAACCCTGGACTAAACATTGAGGAGAGAGAGACCGCGGCCAGGCCTGCGGAGCCCCAGGGAGCTCGCGCACACAGCGGGGTGTGGGCGGGGAGCACTTTCCTCCTCCCCAGTCCGGCTCGCCCCTTGGCCTTGTGTGGGTAACAAGAGGACTTGTAAGGAGGAGGCGGAACAAAGAAGATTAGGACGGACGGGAACGAGAAAAGGCCACTTGGCAGGTGACGGAACTTCCCTCTCAGCCCTCAGACTAGTGACGAAGCCACTTTCCCACACGGCCGGGCCCAGACACAGAAGAGCGCCGGCACTGTGAACGACGGAGAGACGGCGCGTCCAGGCAGGAGAGCAGGAAGCGCAGCTGTGTCTGCGGAACGCACAGTCGCGTACGTAGAAGATCCCAAAGGACAGGATAGAAAGGTGCTAGAACTGGTTGCCCGTATTTTTAAAAATTTAAAACAATACCAGAAAACATGAACTTAGGAACAGATTAGTACAAAAAAACCCTGACATTTTTTTAAAAAACAGTTAAAGGGAGAACTATATCATGCCCGTTAAAAGATTCAATGTTGTTAAAATATCAGTTCTTTCCCAGCTCATCTACAAGCTAACTGTAACCCCCTGGGACAGCTGGACACCCAAGCACAAAAGAAGGGACCCCTTCCTCACTCCACACACAAAAGTCAGCCCAAAGGGATCCCAGACCCAAACGTAGGATCTAAAATGATAAAATTCTTGGAAGAAAACACAGGAGGAAATCTTCACCGTCATGAGGTAGGCAGAGCCTTTTCAATACGACAGCTAAAACACAAGCAACAAAAGAAAAAATAAGTGAGACTTCATCAAAATTAAAAATTTTGCATCAAAAGATACGATCCAAAAGCAGAAAGACAACCCAAAAATGGAGGGTTGGGAATGTACAAATCATATTTTTGAACAAAACTGGTATAAACATGAAACAAATTTTGTTGGGGAGAAATGTACAGAAAAAAAATAACACACCCAATGTCCCACGTCCCGATAACGCACAAAGAGGGAGGCAGCTCAGACTGGGCCCCGGGGAGAGGCCAGCCCCGCGGAGCTGAGCGCCGGCGGGGGGACGTCTGGGCGACCTGTGGTGCGTCACTCACACCTGCGGTCCTCCTTCATTCTGCCTCAAGTGCCATCCTCCTCCTCGGTGTCAGAGCAGCCTTGCAGCACACAAGGATCGACTTCTTAGCTGCTTGGGGTGGAGAAAGAGGATTCTGCTACTTATAAAGAAGCAGGGCCCTGGAATAGGGAAAATTACAGACACTGGGAAATAGTAGAGTGAGAAGTAGAACGCAACACCACCGTCACGCTGCCAGATCACTGAGATCGAGCGGGCTGGGGCGGGAGGAGACCATTCTGCTCCCAGAACTTGAACATCAGAGCGCTGCAGTCCTGGACCGATGCCTGCATGTCCGCCAGACCTCCAGATAGCCCTCTGGCTGCCCCTGGAGGGCTAGGAAAAGAGCATTTCTGTGTCCAGAGCTCCGGCCACCCAGGTGCCCTCTGGAACCAGCCTGGAGGCGAAGAAGGCAGAGCTGATGCACCTCGAGCACCAGCTCCTTCCGGACGATGCCCTCAGACTCTCTCTCTCGTTCGGAAAACTCTGGGCACCGCCTCGCTGTGTTCCCGGTGTGCAAGCCCTGAGACCCTTGAGTGAGTGTTTATCGTTTCCTTCCAGCCTGACTCTTCTTGAGCTTGCTCGACGCAGATTGTAGGGTTCGGAAGACACGCTAAATAGAGTCCAAAGTTAAAAGCCAACCAAGAAACCGAGAGGCGAGGCGGCCGCAGGCCCTGAGCGAACGAGATGGGGAAGCAGGAGTTGACGTGGCAAGGAGGTGGAGACCGGGACGCACTCGGGGCCTGAGTGCACCGAGAATAAAACAGGGCAGAAGCACTCCTGACGGTGGAGTGGTGATCGTAGGGCACAACTGGGAGTGGTTATAAGGAGAACATCTGGAGGGGGTGGGGCGAAGACGACTCGGCCAAGGCTGGAGGGAGCGCAGCGGCCGTGAGAACAAGGGGAGTTCCGGGCGGGGGTCCTGCGGCCCCCTGCAGGTCACCGACGTGCGCAGTCACACCGTAAGGCGTCTCCGGTGTGCGCGTGCGCGTCAGCTTCCCCTCGGACGAACCAGGCGTGCTCCGCGGTGCTGCGTGAGACCACCCTCTTCACCTGCGGTCAGTGACGGTCTGCGTGTTTGCTCGGAAGCCCTCTGGTAAGAGGCAACAGCAAGGTCCGTACCCACACCAGGAAGGGGAACTGGATTTCCAGAACCGTAACCCTGGTCCAATGAAGTTTGGGATCTCGGCCCGGAGTGAAGTTTCCCAGGGCAGTCACAAAGGGCGTGGAAATCCGCAGGCTCAATTAGCCATGCGAGTGCGTCAGTGGACTTGAAATGGAAACTGGCTTTCAGACACTGGCACGCTGAGACAAAGGAGTCAGAGGGGGCGTGTACCTGTGGCGTTGGGGACCCCTGAATGCGAGCCCAGTGAGACAGGCTCGGTCACGTGGCCAGGTCTGGAGCCAGAGGCGAGCCTGGCCGTGTGGGGCTCCTTCCTGGCGCCCTTTCTCACGGTCCCTCTTCCTCCTCGCCCCTCCGGATTTCTGCGCTTCCTCCCGCATTCCCCACACCCCGGCCTCGGGCACGGCCAGGCAGGAGCTGTCTCCTCCTCGTCCCGGTCAAACAGAGCAGGCCCCCGGCAGTGGGGGCGGGGTGAAGCACTGTCACCGGGCTGGTGTCACGATCCCCGTGTTTCAGCAAACCGAAGCGAGGGTGTTGAAGTGGAGGCACCGGGTGAAAAGGGACGGCTACTCCCTGGTGTGCAAAAGCTATTTTCACTGCGGCCAGAGTAATAAGAACTTGCTGTCGTTAGCACCCATTGGCGGCGTGCTCTGCCGCAGGCCGGATGCCGTCGGTGTCGCCTGTGGCACTCACAACTGTGTCGTTTGGGTGCGAAGCCCCGCTTTCCCCACCAGAGCAGCACAAGGAGGGGGACGAGAAAGGCCCCCACTTCCCCCCCCGGAGCAGCACAAGGGGGGGGACCAGAGAAGCCCCACTTCCCCCCCCGGAGCAGCACAAGGAGGGGGACCAGAGAGGCCTGAAGTGGGAAGGCCGATCTGCCTTGAACCCTTGTAACCTCCTCAGAAAGAGTTTCGTGTGCTTTCTTTTCCCTCCTCACTCTACGTCCTGCATTTTTCATGACCTCTGACCTGTTCCAAATTACTGAGGCTTTGCTAAAAGCTTCTCGCCCCGGCGTCCCGTGACCTCTGAAAAGGATGCTTGTATTTCTCACCGGAACTGGTGCTCCGAGGACTCGGCATAGCTTCGGTTCCTGCAGGTCGCCCCGGTGTTGCAGAGGAGGCTTCGCAGGAAGGGGAAGACGCCCCGGCTGGGCAGATCCCGGGGCTGCAGGTAACCTGGGCGCGGGCACAGGGGGCAGATGAGTCCAGACGACTAACGAGGCAGCGGCGGAATCCCCACCAGTCGGAGCAAGAGCAGTAGCGCTTCGTGTCATGCTGTTGTGTGGTCAGTCCTGCTCTCCCCATGGTGGCGATCTGCACACACACCAAACAGGGAAAGAACACAAAAGAACGGGAAAAGAAGGGGGGGGGGAGAGAGAGAGAGAGAGAAGGACGGAAGAAAGAAAGGAAAGGAAAGGAGGGAAAGAAGAAAAGGAAGGAAGGAAGGAAGGAAGGAAGGAAGAGAGAGAAAGAAGAAAGAAAGAAAAAAGAAAGAAAGAAAGAAAGAAAAAGAAAGAGGAAAGAAAAGGGAGGGAGGGAAAGAAAAAGAAAGAAAGAGAAAGAAAGGAGGGAGGGAGGGAGGGAAAGAAAGAAAAAGGAAGAAAGAAAGACCTTTCCCTACATCTGACACCTCCCCCAGGCTCTGCGAGGCCACAGCTGTGCGACCAGAGTGGCCGTGACCCCAGACACAGTCCTCTCTGTGCGCAAACCGGGGGCAGGAAGGAGAACAAGATGTACTTCTTCTCATCTCATATAAAAATGTAGCGGTTTTGAGTGTGCTCCAGATTTTGAAGTCTAATATATCTTGGATTCTTCAATGTTTAAGGGCAGTTGCCAAAGGTCATATAAAATGAAGTTTAGAAAAACTGGGCTGGACCCTAGGTTTTCAGGTCAAATGTGGTCAACGAGACACTCCCCTTAGTAAAGTGCTCGGGTCCCTCCCCCCTCACGCACACCCCGGCCCTGCACAGCTACGGTGACCCTCCAGTGGAGCCCGACCCATGCACGCCACTCGGACTCAGAGATTCTGTAAAGACGGAGGAAAGGGCGCACGGCTTTGCTCTGGAGACCGGCAGCGGGAGCAGGACTTACAGTTGTCTCTGTGCCGGGGAGGCTCCTGGAACCGAAGCACCATCAGGATCAGGAACAGGATGCACGGCCAGAAGAATTCGGCGAGGGAAAGGACCTGGGGACATTACCAGAAAATGAAATCAGTGCTTGAGTAAATTGGGGAGCATTAGGGTATCTCCATTTCCCGGATGTGGCGCACTGGCCGGGGCGCTCCTCCTCTCGGGGAGCCCACTGTCACCCCTCCCGGGGGTCTCCACCCACAGAGAAGGTCACCTGTCTTCACACCCAGCTGCTGGACCGGGTCACTCCTTGCCCTTCTGCCCCGGGGCCGCTTGCTCCGTCTATTTATTTATTTATTGTGGACTTTATGACACTGAACGTTCGATAAATAAATGACTTCATTCCAACAAATGAACTATTTTTATTTTTCTAATCTCTTAGACATTCCTGACTTTTCCATCCAAACAGCCATTTTGCCCGAGCTGGTGGGGAGGACGGTCACTGGCGTGTTACGGATATTTCTCACATCGCCACGGTAGGCTCATGGCTGGCGTCCTACCCACCACACGACATTCCTACCAGGCGGACTTTCCACTTCACACTGCTCTGCCGGTGAGGATTTCACACGCAAACAGTGTTCCCACTGAACTGTCTTGAGATTGAAACAAGCCCCTAAAACTCGGACTGTTGGAGTCAGACCTCTTGACACAAACCACAAAAGTGCAGCCCATAAAAATCGTCATCGTTTGCATAATTCTGAATTTTCAAAGTCAAAAGAATGGGAACTGCCATTGATACATGAAATGTAACTACTGGGGAGAGAAATACTGTTGTCAGGAACAGCCCGGCGAAAACTGCATTTGTGGGAGATCCTGTCATCCTGTGCCCCACGTCTGTGCCCCCGAGTCTGTGTCCCATGTCTGTCTCCCGGAGTCTGTGTCCCACGTTTTTAGAGCAGACAACCTGCTCCCGCGGATTCCTGCCCCCGTCACTTTATAAACACGTGAGCATCGAGCAAGGCACAAACAGGCCCGAGGGCCGCAGCGCGGTGTTAAGCCTGCTCGTCCCGCGAGGAGGAGGGAGCCCCGCTCTCCCGGCTCCCTGCTGCAGCACTCTGGGGTCCGGTGGGGTCCAGCTGCTGCAGCCCCTTCGCTCCTGACCTGCCGCGTCCCCCCGTCCCAGTGCTTCCCGGAAAAGTCTGGCAAACCCACCCAATGTGGCCAGGGGAGGGCACGTGGCTGGGACCATGAAGACAGAACACAGACAGAAAAGAATATTTGCTCCTGTTCTCGTGGAAGCAGAAAGCACCCACAGTGAATTGTTTGTGAGGGTGTCATTTCTTGTGCACAGAGCGCACCATTAGGAGCAGTTCTCTGAGAGAGCGCTGGAATCGGGTACCGTTGGTCCTGGTGACCGAGGGGACGCCTGCGCGAGGCCACCCTCTGGTGCCCAAGGCCGTAATTAAACCAGAAGGGAAGGCCGGGACCCCTCACTCAGATCCCAGTTCATTTAAGTCATTCTGGTCATTTTCTGCAGCAAATGACTCATTGCGGGGGGCCACGGCAGTCGGAGCGGGAAGGGTAGGGTTCCAGGATTAATTCTGGTGAGTATAAACGTGCAAAATAGGAATTGTGACTGTGCCTTGATACCGTGAAGGAGAACAATACATTTCTTTTGTTTTTTAGACTTTAATGAAGTATGACTACTTTTAAGATGAAGAGGTATGCAGAAAACAGAAAATAGGGACTCTAAATAAGTAATATGTGGATGGTTAGGAAACACAGAAAGAACAGAAGAAGTACAATCACTTCCCCCAAAATTAACTATCTGAACAGGTTTCTGAATCCCTTTCTAAAAGCACACGAATTCACAAAGCTAATGTTGCTGGATCGGTTTCCCACGGCAGCACCTACAGTTGTGCCTCCTGTTCTTGGGGACCGAGTACCGACCTGCCGCACGGGAGATGCAGCGAACCGGCCACCGGGGCACGGGAGCCTGCGAGGCTTCCTGCCCACGCCCAGCGGCCACCCCGACTGTCCCATCCGGCTGACGGCCGCAGGGCAGGCGGGTCTGTGGGTGGCCTTGCTGATGGGGACGGCCGCGTCAAACAGGACGTGATTGTTAACTTGGGGTTTTAGTTTGGGTTCATGCAACAAAAATGCCCGCACTGACGGCTAAACCAGCCATCGTCACCCCGATCACACCCGACATTAGTGAGCTTTTAAGTGAATCTCTGTCAAAGTTTTGCCAAACCGATATGCAAAATGAGTAATAATAATATTTCTTTAATTACGAAGATCAAGCGTTTCTGTAAGTGAAGCCTGTAATAACTCAGGTCTGTTCGCCCCTTGGTCCGCCCTGGGCCCCGTTTTCTGTTACGTTGTCAATCATCATTTCCCGTCCTTCTCTTTCTTTAAAAAAGAACCCAGCTCTTCCTGGACTGCAAATGTTTCCCCCTGTTCCTTATTTGCCTTTGGATTGCCCAAGTCTCTTTGGCAATCATTTCCCAGTCTTTCGTGTGTCTCATCGGCCTGGTATTTCCTGCCCCCACCCCCAGATGGAGACTTCAAAGACCTTGGGGGGCCACAAGGAAACAGTCGCAATCCTAACATCACAACCAGTTACCCGTCCGGTCGTAAAACCAAGGGCAGGCCTCCAGTTCCAAACGGAAAAACGTCGTCCGAAATCTTTAGCTCTGCATCTCCCCACGGAGACGTTTCTCGGGAGACGCTGGAGGGAACGCAGAGCCCGCAGCCCCCACCGCTGAGCTCCCCGCAAGCCCATCGCTGACGCCTCCGGAAGGCGGAAGGCCGGCAGGGGAGGAAGGTCTCCACGCAGGAGAGCGGGTCCCGCGGTCCCGCCGGGCCCCTGTCCTTGGCCAGCGAGGAATCGCCACCTTCCAGGAGCCTCCGAAACAGCTTATCTTTCTCCCCACATTTTTGTGTCACGTTCTTCTTCCCCTGTGTCACGGTCACCCTTAAATCTTTAACAGTTTTGATCTTACCCTCGTTACATGGGAATGAATTTTAGATTCGGGGCTTCCCGCGCCTCCCACACCTCGCTGGCCCCACCCGGGAGTGGCTTCTCGGCCGGGGGACAGGGCCCTGGACAGCGGGGCGGCGCTGTCCGGAGACGGCCGGACAAGTGGCCATCAGGAGACCCGTCTGCGCTCACGAAACGCCACCACCACCCAAAGGACCGGAAGCCCTGTCCTTCAGGCAGAGGGTCCCCGGACAGGAGATGGCGGAGTGCCCAGGGCTACCCCCACCCGTCACCTCGGGTGACAGTGCCCCTCACCGTGACTTTCGTGGGCACAATACACACGTGCCAGCAGGGACACACGGAGGAGCCCAGGTAGGGTGGCATGGTGGACCCTCCTCACAGGCGTCTTTTCCCAGACAAAATGGGGAGGGAGGAGAAAAAACTTAGGGGAGAGAGAAAGCTTGTCCTTAAAAAAATGTCAGAAACTAAGTTTCTGGAGCAGATCAGACAGAGGCACTGTGGCCCAGTCCTAACCCGGCCCCCAACCAGCAGAGCTGTCACGACCCACCCCCACCACCCCAGGGCTGTCCTGGTCCCCGAGTCTGGGGCTACGAGAACCCCCGAGGCCCTGGCCGCCTTCTGCAGGCAGAGGGGCTGGGAAAGTCACGCCTGTGACTGACCGAAACGCAGACCGTGGGCAAGAAGGCCGATGCTGGCAGAGGCACTGGTGGGGCCTCACGTAAAAACGGGGGAAAAATGCCAACTTGGGAGAATGATTTCCCCAACTCGGTGGCATGAACATGGTGTGAGACACGCAACAGAATCTGAGAGGACGTCACAGAGTCTGGCGCGTGTCATAACGATGGCTTCTCACCTCCGCTGGGTCCCCCCACCTCCACTGTCGTCCCAACCTCCCCCCCCCGCGACAGAAAGGGGGTCCCTGCAGAATACGCTCAGGGGTCACTGGAGTTCGGAGCAGAAACGAAACTGCTCGATTGCTGAAAATACAGTGCAGAGCAAACATAACGCCTGGGCTGTGCTGGCCACGGGTGAACCCGGTCAAAAGGAAAAGCCAACCAGCTATCTAGACATTCTGGAGAGAAACACACTACAAGGCCAGCAAAAGAAAGTGACAGAGCGTGAGTGGGGAAAAAACTCCAGTAAAGAGGTTTTTTTGTTTTCTCAGCTGTTTCATGAAGAAGGACAATTTAGTAAGAACGAATACTCGGGAAACAAGGGCTCAAAAAAGATGATAAAGGGATGAAAAGAGAGGCTGCAGATCTAAGGGAACGACCTGAAAAATCGCCAGGACTCCCAGTGGCCGAGGAGCCCCAGGAAGAGAAGACACACGGGTGAAAGCTGAACTTCCGCAGGAGAGAAACAGTTTGCCATAACAACGGTGACTTCAAAGAACAGTTTTAAAAGCAAGAATAACTGACAGAGAACAGCTAATATCTTTCCAGCACGAAGGCTGTGCAACGTAAGGACTGCCCCTGAGTAGAAACACAACACGCCATCGAAGACAGAACCCAGGAGAGTTTCCCTGAGGGAGGAAAGACTCTGTCCGCAGACTGGAAGCGTAGTCCGCATCTCAGGAAAATTCCGTTGCAGTTGAACGACAGCCACGGAACTTCAAAGGTACAGGAAGGCTGGACACCACAGGCGTCCGGGCGAGGAGAGCCGTGCGCTAACGAGGGGCTACATCGGTCTGGCTTCCAACACAGCCTCGAATGTTTGGTGCCAGATGCCAACACGCCAGTATTTACAAAGGTCTGAGATAAAGAGAGTGTGATGAATACAATCCCCAGGCAAGACGGCCCTGGAGTGAAAACCCAACATCCACGTAGTCTCAATCATAAGAGAATACAGACACTTTATTAACCACGAACCCTGAGATGGAAAGCGCCTGGTGATGACATCCAGCCAAAATGAAAGGGGCAGGACCTGAAACCCAGGAAGGCCAGTCCCAGGACCAGGCCAACAGAAACGGAAGGGAAGTCCCTGCTGGAAGGAAGCGTGCAGCGTCGTCGCTGTGCGGGTGGTGGAACTCCGAAGGGCTGGGGCAGGGGAGTGACGGAAAAAAAAAACTCATCAAAAAGAAGGAAGGAGAATGTGTCCCTGAAGCGGAATGGAGAGAGAGCAGGCAAGAGGACATTTAAATAACTAATGGCTGAGACTTTTCCAGAACATAAAAAAGACACAATGTCATAGGCGAATAGAATATTTACCAAGAAACCCAGATCCACGTTGAAAACGTCAGCACAACTGAGTCAGAGAGAAGACCTCGGCAGCAATTCAAGACGCACAGACACACGACCTCAAAGGAAGAACTAGACTTACCCAGGACTCGTCAATAGAAAAGACCCAGAAGATGATTAACTATCTTTAGACTACTTGGAAAATTCCGTCAGTCTAGAACTGTGCACCGAGAAAACTTCCCTCTCAAGAATGAAGGTAGAAGAAAACTTTTCAACAACCAGAACCAACATAAGGGCACAGACTGGTCGAAAGTGAAAAGAAGGAGACACACCAGGTAAACAGTGTACGAATTAGCTGTGATAACATCAGACAACAGCGTCCATGACGAAGAAAATTACCAGATTTGACAGGATCACAACATAATACAAAGAGTGAGGCAATAGGAAGGTATGATCATTTATGCGCTTAAATCCGTAATGAACATCCTCAAAATGCATGAAGCGATGGCTGATAGAACTACACAAAGTAAATTCCAAATTCACTCTCATCAGAGAAGAATCCAATACCTGTCACACAGTAATTTCCTACACCAACCAGAATCGGTAAGAACATGTGTTTTTTAAAGAAAAACACCATTTATATGGTCAACAACAAGTATAAAGCACCTGACAGGAGTGGGAATCTAACCAGCACATGTGCCATTATGAGAAAATTATGAAGCTTCGTTGAAAAGCACCAATATAAACACCTAAATCAATGAGTGGACAAATACTTAATGCATAAGAAACTGATCTATCATATTCAATGCAACTCCAATGGAATGCCAAAAGGTTCTCATTAGTTCTGTTTTGATTTTGCTGTGGTGGCCGTCATATTTAATGAGCTGGTCCTAGGCTGTATTTGGGAGGACACACGTCAAAAGAAGACACACGAGACGGCCTGCACAAACTGTTGTTGGAAGAGTCCGCCCTTGTGCACATCAGAGCTTTCTACCCCATCATCACACGCAGGACAGTGTGCGTGCGGTTAGTTCACAACGTGGACCCTGGCCCGCGGGCTGGCAGAGGGGCCCAGAGCAGAGGTCTGCATGTTTGGAATCTCGGTGTAGGAAAAGGCGGGGTCCACGGATCCAGGGAGAAACCTGCCATTCCACGAGTGCGCCACGCAATCGGTTATCCTCAGAGTGGGAGGGGTCGGGGGAGGCACGGGGGTATGGGGCCCTTACCGCCGATCACCAGACATGGAACTCCAAATGTGAAAAAAGAAAACCTTAGAATAATGTTTTGAAGGAAACAGAGCATGTTTTGTTTGTCTTAAATAAGACACAAAAAAACATAAACCACAAAAAAATTAAGCCATATGAAGCTCTCTGGTCTTCGGAAAAGCTATTTTAAAAGTGGGAAAGCCAGAAGCAAAAAATAACACTAGACCACAATTTGTCCCCACACACAAAAATTAATTCAAAATGGATCAAAGATTTAAATACAAGATCTGAAGCAACAAATTTCATAATTACAAAGTTACGGCCCTTGTGTTAGAGAAGATTTAATGAATTGGACCCCAAGGGCAAGGGGAGTAGAGGCAAAAACAAATGAATGGGACTATATCCAACTAAAAAGTTTCCACACAGCAAAAGGAAGTGCCAACAAAACAAAACTTCGACCAACCATATGGGAGGAGATATTTGCAAACAACATCTCTGGCAAGAGGTTAACTGTTGGAAACTGCCCTGCCTGGTTCCAGAAGCTATAACCTCCCAAGACTAAGGCTGAGTGAGAGACCTTGGGACCATAAGCCACTAAGGAGACAAAGCTTATCTCCCTGGCAGGGGTGCTGCCTCTGCCCCTTTCACTTCACCCCGCCTGGCCCCCAGTGCATGACCAGTTAGCCAATGAAGGGTATGATTCCTCAAGGGAGGGATGACCTAAGACAGGCCCGATCACGGGTGGCCCTCAGGGAAGGAAGGACTTGGGGGGCTGTGAAGAAAGGGGGTGATAGACCCTCACCCCTCGGCTTTGACATAGCCTGAGTCCTCATCCTATCTGTAAGAAGTCCCCTAATCTCTTGGCTGCCTTACCTCTCCTGCCTGACTTAGTCCTGAAACAATGACGGAGGGCGGTGCAGCCCTGTGCTGGAAAGGGTGGGTTCCCCAGGGTGATCAGGCCTGAGAAAGCATGCAAAAAATCCTGTGAAACCTGCTTTGCTAAGAATGTCCTCAATTAAATGATAAGAATCCAAGCAGGAAATGAATTTGTTTCCCAAAGTTTTATAGCCCTTTAGCTATCTGACCCTGGCTGAGAATAAGCCCTAGCAGTTCTTTGTATGCTATCCATTGTTTGACCCTCACTGCCTGACAATGACTGATGAGCTTCACCTGAATTCCTGTGTAAAATGAACTCAATAAAAGCCCATGGAGGAAGAGGCCCTTGGCCCTTCTCCTCTGAGAGATTGGCCACCTTTCCTCCCCAAGCAGATCATGTCTTGGTAGACTTATTCTCATCCGTGGCAGCCGGGCGGCGGGGGCGGGGGGGGCCTGCAGGCAGAGCCCCCAACACAGTTAACATCCAAAATATTTAAAGAACTCATACAACTCAACACCAAACAATCCAATTTAAAAGTGGACAGAGGACCTGAACAGACACCTCTCCCAAGAAGACATACAAATGGCCGACAGATTTATGAAAAGACGCTCAACTTCACTAGCTATTGGGGAAAAGCAAATCAAAACTCCAGTGAGCTAGCACCTCACAGCAGTCAGAGTGACCAGCAGCAACAGCACAGGAAGTAGCAAGCGGTGGAGAGGAGGTGGGGAAAAGGAGCTCGTTCGGTGCTGGGGGGGATGCAGACCGGTGCAGCCGCTGTGGAAACCAGTATGAGGGTCCTCAAAAAGTTAAGAATAGATTTGCCCTACGACCCATCAGTGCCTCTCGTGGGGCTCTACCTGAAAACAACCGAAAACATTTATTCACAAAGACATGTGCACCCCTATGCTCACTGCATGATTACTCACAGTAGCCAAGAGGTAGAAATAATGGAAGTGCCCTCACATAGAGGACTGGGTACAGGAGGTGTGGTCCATGAATCCTGTGGAACACCACTCGGCCGTCAGAAGAGATGAAACACTGTCATTCGTGACGACACGGATGGACCTCAAGAATATCGTGCTCAGTGAGATGAGTCAGTCG